AGAGTGCCCTGGAGAGAGTGCCCTGGAGAGAGTGCCCTGGAGAGAGTGCCCTAGAGAGAAGTGCTATGTGGAGGGTGCCCTGGAGAGAGTGTATAGTAGTAGTGACTTCTGGAGCTCTGTACGCGACTTAGCATTAGTTGCAGCCGCTACTCGCTACGTATATTTTATCCCAACCACAACCCCGGTTGCCAAGGCTCATTCACACACGACGATGTAATCTGCACAATGGTCATCGTGTGCTGACGCTATCATTGTCATCCTTGACGCTGGCGCAAGATTGCTAGGCCCTTTTTCTGGAACGATGGTTCGACCAACTCAATGTACATACTTGGATCGGAAGAACACGCATGCAGATGACATGGGTCTGCCCATACAAGATCATCTCCTGCCTCTGCCCTCCTGCCTGCCAGTCGACGTGCAGATAGTATCCGAATTTCAAGCATGGAGGAAATGCCGGTGACACAGCTCTAACTTGTTCTATCACCCTGGTTAGGGTATTGAAGATGTTTATTCGTAGCTTTGGGCATCATCATCGGGTTTTCTATCCATGCGTATGTTGCCATATGCAGGAGCCAAATCAGATGAATGACTCGACAAGGCCATGTGCTGGCTATTCCTCGCACTTGACCTCCCAGCATGACGAATCTCGCATAGAGACTGTGTAACTGCAGACTCGTACGGATGGATTCAGACTATCCAACCCTCCGTCTCTGGACATGATGCTCCTGGTTGGTGGGTGAGGCCATGATGGTGTGTCTTGGAGCGTGGGTCAAGTACCTTAAGTTGTTCACTGCACCTTGAGCCCTGCACTCCGCTGCATTCGACCACTCGTCATCTGCACCTCTGCCAATCTGTCACGTCTGTTCAATCTTGTCCCCTGCCGACTACCCATCAGACAACACACCACACTACCACAACAACCACTCCGATCGCTACCACTACTACAGCCGTATTCGAGACAGCCTGCCGCTCTTGCCATCCTCCCGGCCTGCGAATTGCTCCTATGCACAAACCTCAACCTCATTTGTCGCTTGATCATCTTCACCAACTCGACTAGCCACCAGGCCATGGTTTACAAAGTCCCCCGCCCTCGAGCGGGCTGATCCCTCAGCCATACCAGGCTGCTCCACAAGAATGTGTCGATAATGACCCTGGTTCAAAAGCATGTCTACCTTGCCACCTTTGCTGCATTCGTTGCCTGGGGCTTGGCTGTTCGGTCGCTGCCGATACTGCGATTCATCGGTTACGCCTTCACCGCCGGTGTCTTGCTCTCTCTATGTCTCCTTCTCGCCGCCACTCTCTTCTTCTCGAGGCCGCGCACCAGACAAGGCAATGCACGCCCTCTAAGTAGCCCAATCCCAAACTTCTTGATCCCTTCCAAGTGGGCCTCCGAACTAGCCTCCCTCGACTCCTCCCGGCAATATGATTCGGTCGACCTGTACGATCGGTCCTTCGTCGTCTCCCAGGCCATTGATAGGCTGATAGCTTTGGCCCTGCGAGATTTCGTCTCCTCTTGGTATGGAAACATCACCAAGCAACCAACTTTTGTCAATGAGGTGGATAGAAACATTCGCGCAGCGTTGGAGGAACTCCGTGATCGCATACTGCGTCAGGACATGGTCAATATCCTCGTGTCCAAGATTGTGCCCATCGTCACAACCCATCTTCGGGATTACGACCATGCTGAGCGCTTGGTCCGTGGTAGAGCATTGAATAGAAATGTGACCGAGTCTGAAGAGCTCGAAATGGCCATCGCCACAAAGTATCGAGACGGCAAACTACACCCCGCTGCGGCCCTCACCTATTCCGACACCAAAACTGTCCAGCAAGGCCACCTTCGAAAAGTGCTGGTGCGCATCTTACCCGACCTTCTCTCGCCGAGTATGATGGGCAGTCGCGCTACCATGGTCCTGGTCAAGGAAATAGTCGCCTGTGCAGTTCTCTTTCCCGTCATCCAGTTGTTGGCTGACCCTGACACCTGGAATCAAATCATAGAAGCCTACGGCAGGACAACTCTTCAGGATCGAAAGACAGTCAAGCGCATGCGTGCTGCATTAGACGAGCATACTTCTCCACTTCCGAGATCCAAACCCGAGCAAGAACTGCCCCGATTGGCTCCTGGCGACAGCGAGCGTGCGTTTGAGCGTTTTGTTAGAGCCATTCGCAAGACCAGAAACCTTTCGGACGCTCGTCGTTTCCGAAGTTCCATTGCTAGCCAAATCCAGCGTGAAAGCCTCGTTGAAGGACAAGATCCGGTCTATCTGCGACGTCTCGAAATGGCCAAGCGCGTCCTCGATCAAAAGATATCGAAATTGAGTCAATCTTCTTCGGCTCCACCAATCAATCAGCCACAGCCTGATGCGCGCTCTTCGACCCCTGCCAAACCTCGTGAATGGACCTTGATCGACATCATGCATACCGCCTCAGGGCTCTCTTACTTCATGGAGTACATGGACCGACAACGCAAAATGTCCTTGGTCCAGTTCTGGGTTGTCGTGGATGGTTTCCGCAATCCTCTCGAGGACGACTTTGGTGACGAGGGAATCTCCGGCTTCCAGCAGACTTGGACAGATGCAGACCGTATGGATATTGCTCAAATTAGCGAGGCGTACATGACGAAGCCTGAGCTGGAGATACCCAACGAATCTAAAGAAGCAATCAGAGCCTTCCTCGTCGCTGGAAGGAACGCAACTCCACCGCAATATCGGGCTGCAAGGACTGCAATCCTGTCCGCTCAATCCGCTGTCTTGGAAGACTTGACAACAAATCATCTCCCCAATTTTCAGAAATCGGACCTCTACTACAAATTTCTTGCATCGGTAGAAGTTCCTGCCGCAGCACAGCGTGTGCAGAGCGCAGGCAATATCAGCACATTGAACACAAATGCTCCCGCTCCTTCTGCAAAGCCAGCTACCCACCTTGTTACTACTGCGAGGTCTGGCCCTCAGGCTGCTGCCAAGGCTAAAGACTTACGACGAGCCGCAGTGTCTTCCTCGGACGTCCGCAGTTTGGGATCCTCCAAACTATTCGATGATGACCTTCCTAGACGCACTGGTCCCTCGGCGCCTCTCTTCGACGACGACTATGATACAGATCCACTCGCGCACTCCACCAATAGCCTGGGTCATGAATCGTTGAATGATGATGCGGTGGAGCAACGCCAGGTGATTGAGAGCATGGAAGCAGCCATGAATAACATTATGACTGGTGCTCCAATGGACGAGACCACAGGATATGATGAAGATGCTCTTTTTGGGTCTCCCACCTCTGCGGTGAGATCGACCAAAGCGGCCGACTCTCCACGTGGCTCGGTTGACATACAGGGCAGTGACAGCGCATCCTTGTTCAAACCGAAGCCGAGCCTGGCAACTCTCGGTCTGGTGAACACGGCCTCCAGGATTGGTGTTTTCCGAGACAATGACCTTTTTGGCGACGAAGAAAAGTTCTTGGAAGACGAATACGTCGACGAGGGGGATGAGGATGGCAAGAATGGAGATATCGATCACGATGAGATTCACGAAGCTGCGCCTGGTGATCTGGGTCTCGCTGAAGCCATTGCAGCTCTGACGAGTGACATTGAACGACTGGTGTCACAGGAGGGAGTCGTCGACGCTCTGACGCGAAAGGCCGAATTGACCAACAATGTTGCCGAGCTGAGAATCCTGTCCAAATCGAGAGCAAGCCTTCAGCGAGAGATCCGACGGAAGGAGCTGCAGCGACAGCAGTATATCATGCAGGAAAGCGACAACAGTCTGTATGGACGATCGAGGATCTCGATTGGTTCAATAGTGGTGGGCAAAGAAGAAGATGGCCGAGAGTTTGCGCTGTATGTGATTGAGGTTCAGCGACAAGCAGGTGACCAAATGCCGGCGGCAGCATGGGCTGTACCGAAACGATACAGCGAATTCCATGACTTGCATCAACGGCTGCGACGGCGGTACCCGTCGATTAGGAACCTGGAATTTCCCCGAAGAAGAATGGTAATGAAGCTGCAAAAGCAATTTCTGCAAAATCGCAAGCTTGCCCTGGAAAACTACCTGCAGCAGCTATTGAAGATGCCAGATGTCTGTCGCAGTCGAGAATTCCGAGCATTCCTTTCGCAATCGTCGATTGCGGCGCATGACTCGAGCAATGGATCCGAGACTCAGGACATTGTCAGTCGATTGTACAACTCTGTCACGGATGGGATGGACGAATTCCTCGGCAACATTGCTGTACTTGACCAGTTATCAGTAGCCGGTCAGAACTTGATCTCCGCTGCAACTAGTCAGCTGGGGATGAAGGAAGCGAGCATAGTTTCACTTGACGCAGGGCCAGTGGCAGAAGCAGAAGCGGAGCTAGCAGCATTCGAAGACAAGGAGCTTGAGCCATTTGTCAAACCCATTTGCGACATTTTCTTGGAGACATTCGAGCTGAACAGAGGAAACAATTGGCTTCGAGGCCGGGCCGTCGTTGTAGTGCTCCACCAACTCCTCGGTGGCACAGTGGAACGCAAGGTGCGAGAAGTAGTCAAAGGCTTTACTTCGGACGAAGCACTTTTGAAGTATGTCACGATGGTCAGCGACACCATGTGGCCGGGTGGAGGAAAGATGCGAGAATCCAAACCGCGCACCACAGCAGAGAAGAAAAAGACCAAATCCGAGGCGGGCATGATGCTGGCGACGCTGGTGCCGGACCTGGCGGCGAGTGTGGTCGGGCGTGCAAACGCGCAGGCGGCAGCTCGAAGAATCTCAGCGACTATGAACAATGCACGATTGAACCAGCATTTGGTGTTTACTATACTTGACGAACTCATTGGTGTGTTGTTCGAGCCTGTTAAAACAGGAGGCGAAGGGAAGGAATGAACGGAGAGATCTGTGAGGTTTGATCGAGCCTGTTCGATAGAGGTCTACCACGGCCGGCAGACAGAAGAGCATGATTCTATTGTTGTATGAGCGTTTGAAATACAGCATGGCGGACAGGAATGGCCGCTCGGGTGCCATGTCACGTATACATGTGATGTTGATCGATAAGACTTGTCCAGGTCATCGTCATCGTTATGATCAAATTTGTTCGATCTTTGAGTTATGATACAAGAGATGTTGTATAGAGATTTTGTACACAGACCCCCTTGGGCGTAACCTCTACCATGTCAGCGGAACCACCAGTTAGCACTGGCCGTGACTCCAGCACCAGTGCCCTTGACACTGTGCCACCACCCAGTAGGAATGAACAGGGCATCACCCGTGTGAACAGTGATTTCCTGCCCATATCGCTTAAGAATATCCGAGTAAGGGGAATCACGGAGTGATGGCGAAGAGGAAATCGTAGAAGAGTCAGGTTGAGATCCTGAACCTGGCAGGGTTTCAGGGTGATCAGGCCAAATTGCACTGTGAAGAAGCGACCGTTCTGGACCTTGCATCATTTCTTCACCACGGATTCGGGAGGACGAAGAAGAGGAGGATACTTGCGTGTGAATGAGATCGAAAATGGCATCGCCGACAGTCGGGGGAAGGAGACGGATGATCTTGGATCCTGCCAGTTGAATGAATAGATTAGGGTTGGGATCTCGGTGGAGGGGAGTATAGGTGGGTGGACGGCCGAGCCAGAGAGAGGAAGAGTAGATGTCGCCTCTGATCCTTGGGGGTTGTGGAGAGGAGGTTGAATGGGAAGGAGAATGGGGCTTGGATTGGGAGTTTGGCCTGAGGAGGGAGGGAGTGGGGAGATCGAGTTGTAGGGCTGGAGGGAGGTCTTCAAGAGAACATTGGGCGAGATAGATGGAGTGGTGGTCTTTGGAGTTGGATGGTGAAGTTGAAGAGGCGGAGGGGTGTGGAAGATCCTGGTCCGTGGCTGATGGAGAGGATGCTGGACTGGTGTTGGACAGATAGCTCAGGAGAATCGATAGTGGTGCTTCCACCCGGTGAAAGTCTTGTTTCCCAGAAGCATTTCGAGATGTCAGTTCGAGTGAAACGAGGGTATCTTGATACTCGGCCCAGAAAGATGGTTGTAACTCAGATGATGGTGGTGGTGGTGGGGGTGGTGAGGACGAGGGAGTGGTATGTCCGCCATGAGAGGGTTGGATCACATCCACATTGTCACCGGCTCGAGGCTGAGGTGGACAGTCGTTGTGAATGAACCATTTGGAGCAAGCAGGAGGTAAGATGTCCGGACATCTGGGAAATCGGTAAGGCAGACTCTTTGCGTACGCAGTTGATTGGAAGTCTTGAGCATCCCAGCTTGAGAGATATGGAACCTGCGTTAAAGCAAGCTGGTCTGAACAGGATGATGACCGACTTGAGGGGAAGGAATGAAGTTGTCGATTCCAAGTGGTTCGCAACTTCCCTCTGAGATGACAAGCCAAGGGAGAAATCTTGGATGCCAGGGTCAGCCAAAAGGCCATGGAACTTTTTATCGAGGCATGTGCTGTTCCAGGTCTATATCTTCTTCTCATCAACATCGGTGCTCTCATGAGATGGACTGCGTAAGGGATCTTGTTTGCATTGCTTTGACGTTGGTGATCCAAATGAGGCAAGCTCAAAATGAAGAATGTCTATCACGTGATATAAGATTCTGGTCTGAGAGTTTCGGACTCATGCCTATACCTACAGGACACCCCTGCGATAGGCGCTTCAGCCCTCAGACTTGTTTTGTTGGTCACATAATCAAGGACCAGTGAGGCCCTAAAGGATGTCCATAATAGGTATACTTAGTCATGAGAACCCCCCAATGCATTCGACTATTCCCTTATCATGATTAGGAAGCAAGTTCCGAGATCGATCAGAGTCCCCGCATCGAAAATGCTGAAATCACATCTGCTCGCATTCAGGCATCCATTCAACTTCTACTCCGTATATCTAACTATTGAGTGAATCCAAAGGGGAGTGTTCTGATCGGGGTACTTGGCCCGAAATTCGGAATCTTGCTTGTGGCTCAAGAGCCTGGTGATTTTATGAATACTACGAATCAGTAGGGCCGAGGGAGGCCTGAAAAGCCGAGAGGGGCCCCGCGAACAAGCGATCAAAACGCTATGCCAATCACGACAGGCCCCTCGGGCCCTACCCCTTGGAACTGTGGGGTATCACAAGCTCCCATTTCTCGTTATCAATTACGGAGTACTGAGAAATGCCGTCACTTGACCATTGCTCGCTCTTGTTTCACATGGCATCCGCAACTGGTGGCCTGCCCAGGCCACCGCCCTTCTAGGTAGAGTCACTTGGGGAACTTGTACTGGAGATCAACTCCAAACGGATTGGTGTCCTTGTTTGCCATACGAACCATCGCACCACTTTTTATCCCATCCCATCGTGCCTTCTCCTTCGGTCCTGATCGCGGGCAGTCAACTTGCGTCAGGCAGGCACGGCAGTCCACCTCCGTCTCCTTCTGCATCTTCATAAACATAACTGTCGCTCCTGCCTCACTCCGCCCATTTCTTTCTTCCAGCCTCTAACCTCTACTCTCCCCATTGCTCGTTCACCCTGATCGACTCTCTCCCTCCTCAACATGGCTCCTCCGGTCGACCAGATTCGCCATGTCACCAATCCTGATGGCACTTCATACACCTACTACCCCCTCGCCGTGATTGGTGCCGGAGAGTCGGGCATCGCAATGGGATGTCGACTGCGCCAGGTTCTAGGCTTCGACCAATTCCGCATCTTTGAGCGAAAGTCCGGTCTTGGAGGAACATGGTATGCCAACACTTACCCTGGCATTGCCTGTGATGTGTAGGTCCCCTAATTTCAGAGCAGACAGTCCTCACTCACCTTTGCTGACTTGAACCCCTCACCAGACCTGCCATTCTCTATTCCTACTCTTTCGCCCAAAACCCATATTGGACTACTTCCTACCCTTCAGGCGCCGAGATTGTCGAGTACCTCTACCAGGTCTGTGCCAAGTTTGGCGTTCTCGACAAGATTCAATGCGACACCAGTGTCAAATCCTGCCGTTGGCTCGAAGATCAACAAGAGTGGGAACTCGTTCTTGAACATCTTGCTCCAGGTGTCGGTGACCTAGCAACCTACGAACGTAACGCCCTCGAGGCTCAAGGTTCAAAGACAATCCTACGCACCGAAATAATTCGTGCCAAAGTCGTCGCCTCTGCCGTTGGTGGCCTGGTTGAGCCCAAACCCCCGCTAGACGTTCCTGGCCTCGACACATTCAAGGGTGACGTCGTTCATACTGCTCGCTGGAACAAGGATGTCTCTTTCCGCGACAAAAATGTCGTCGTCGTTGGAACGGGTTGTTCCGCCGGCCAAGTCGTTCCCGCTCTTCTCAAACCTGAATATGGCGTCAAACACATCACCCAACTCATGCGCTCCCCGCCATGGGTCGCCCCCGCCTTTGGAAGCCACGAAGTCCAGTTCTTCAAAACAACCGTTCCCAAACTCTCACGACTCATTCCTGGCTTCCAGAATGCCCTCCGCAAGCTTATGTTCACCGTGATGGAGCTCGAATTTATCGCGCTTTTCCGTTCCACAGAGGCCTCCCGTGCCAACCGAGCCGAAAAAGCCAAACAGCTTCTCCGCTATCTACATAAAAAGGTTCCGGAAGAGTACCACGAAATCCTGACTCCTGACTACGAAGTCTTTTGCAAACGACGTGTCATGGACGACGGCTGGTTTGCCTCGCTCGGAAGCCCCAAGGTCGACCTCACTACACTGCCCCTAACATCGGTCCAGTCCAATTCGGTCACTCTGGGTCCTGGGAGACACTACCCACCTCTGTCCAAAACCTCGTCGCATGCACCAGTAGAAGAAAAGTCCATTCCAGCCGACGTCATTGTGCTTGCCCATGGATATGCTACCAATGAATGGCTGCATCCCCTTGAAGTCATTGGACGAAATAATAAATCACTATCCGAGGTATGGGACCAACGCGGTGGTCCCCAAGCGTACATGGGCACGGCCATGGACGGCTTCCCTAATTTCTTCCTCATTTTTGGTCCCAACACCGCCACAGGTCATAGCAGCGTCATTCTCGCAAGCGAGAACATGGTCAATTACAGTTTGAAGTTCATCGCTCCAATTCTCAAAGGCGACATCAAAACGTACGAGGTCACCGAAGCTGCGGAGCGAAAATGGACCTCAGACCTCCAATCTCAGTTGAGGAAATCCATCTTTGTCTCTGGCGGATGTCATAATTGGTATACCAATGACAAGGGTTGGAACTCGGCCACATATCCGCGTGCCCAGATCGACTTTACGCTGAGGTGTTGGTTCCCCGTGTGGAGTCACTGGAAGGCTCAATACACGAGCAAAGGTTTGGCCAAGTGGAGATTGAGCTTGCTGTTGAAATTATTTGCAATTGCAGGTTTGGGTTATGGAGGATTGTTTATAGCCCGGAATGGGAAGAATGCTGCAAAGGAGATCATCTTCACGGCCATTAAACGGCTTCGACAGGGTCTAGCTAGAGCCATTGCGCCGTCTAGCTTGTGAGTTTCGGATCAGCCATGCACTCATGGTCTGACTTTATTGTCCTGACAGGACAACGATCAGAGAGACCAGGTGCTGCATTGCACGGCAGAGAAGAACTAGATAGAATGCATGGCCGATAAAGGCGATTCTTTGAAATAAACTGGTACCCTCCTGCTCGCTCCTGCTCCTGCTCAACAAGTCTGCATACATACAGTTTGAGCTAGTATAGACCCATCCAGTGAGACAGATACTACCTACCCAGTGAGCCGGACCACCCACCACCAAATATAAATTCAGTTCTGGCATACTCCTTCTGTCCCTGATTCATTTCCCTATCTACTCATCTCCTCATGCTCCTCATTTCTTCAATTCCCCACCCTGTAATACGACACGAACATGGCAGCATCTTATGTACCACCATCATCACATCATGTGATGACCCTGATAACCAGAGGAACAGTAAAGTCGTGCATGGTGTGGCATGGTTACTGTCAACGTCAAGTCAACGTGACATGCCTCCTCCATGTCATGTGTGTCGTGCAACAACGCAACCATGCAACGTCCTGTAATACGATAAAAGTTCCACATAGAGGCGGGGTCTGTCGTGGTTGGTGGGAGTCTGTGGTGGCTGGGGTGGTCACCGACTCCATTTCTGCCCTTTTCCAGTTGTTGACGGCTTTGGACATCAGCGTGGCCTGCCAAGTGTCCTGACGTCCTTGTCACTCTCAGCATGAAATCGCACAGTCATCCATCATCCTCAGGCCCATGTCCAAATAGGACCACGGTAGAGGCGCGGTCATTCAGCATGTCCGCTGATTTACAACAATTGCGGTGGTACTGGGGAACCTGCCGTCCTTTTCTCCTTTCCACTCGGCTTTTGCTCTGCAGTAACAATGCCTTCATAACAACTCTGCATTTCGTTCCATCATATCCATTTTGGCGTTTCTTGGGGTATCTCGACACCAGCTTGTTGCTTGGAAGTGCTCGATTTCCGTTTTGGCCTTGCCTTGGACGAACTTGGACCTAGGTTGCCCATTGGTGCATCGCCGTCTTTGTCAGGGTCGAGCTTGACCCCGGTTTTGGTTCCACTGTAGCTTTGGCTGCCCATGATTGCATCGCCATCTTCTTCGGCTTCCACTTCTCCCTCATCTTCCTCTTCACCTGACATGGCCTGTGGCTCATCATCAGGGTCGCCGTCAACGGTGCCACCGTATGTCTCATGATATATTCTTGCCTCGTCGAGTTCGTTGATATCGGTTGGTTTCGAGCGTAACCACCTCATTCGAGGACCACTTTTGGCTCTTTCAGAGACTTTGAAGCCATAAATTCTCGGCTCGTAGATTCTGCCTTTGCCCAGACCTGGCACGAGGTTGTGGCTCGCAATTCCGTTGATTTGAAGGGGCTGTGGTGGTAGTGGAGGGATGGCGGTGGCAGATGAAGACGATTTGTCGTCCTTATTGTGAGGCAGCCCGGCGGTGCCTGGGGGTGGGGGTAAGGTGAGGCTTGAACTTCGACTAGCTGTCATGCCAGGAGTAGCACGGGCGATATAGGCGTCGGTAGGACTCTGGACGTTTTCAGCGTCTTCGTTGGTCTGCATGTTGAAATCTCTAGCGAAGCGTCTCTTGAGAGGAGCCACGTCAACCTCAGGGTAAGTCATGAAGAATAGGCATGGGAATGTGGTGCCAAAGAAGGCGCCATCCACGGCCTGGAACCTTGAATTGGGCGGGGTATAGACATCCGAGCAGCTGGGACAGTACAGCTTGACGGTTTGTTGGCCCGGTGTGTCGGTCAAACCCACAGGCAGAACCTTAGCTTGAGCACAGTATACTCTTGGGCAGAAACCAAAATGTGAGGATTCATACTTTTCCATCATCTGCTGGATGCCAGGTCTTGAGGTGATGTACCGGGCGTGGATGAGACCATAAAGAAGTTCGGCCGATGATTCAATGACACTTGTGTCCGACGAGGTACGCCCGTGCCGCCTTCTATTGGCAGAGACGCCAGACTGCCTTCCACCGTTCTGGTTGGCTACGGGGTCATCCAATTCGTCCCCCAGCAGCCCGTCGTCTTCCTCTTCTTCCTCTTCCTCCTCATCCTCAGACAAGCCTGATGAGTTGGTATCGGAGGGTTCGACATCAAGAATCATCTCCAAAGCATCCTTGTACATGGGCACCTGAGATTGAAGACCGGTCAAGTTGAAATCATCCTCGATAAAATCTTCGCTGACTTCGGCAAAGTATTCGTGACCGACTAGATTACAGAAGGTTCCGATCCAGCTGTCTGGACTCTGCTCGGAGGATTGAGACATGTCGGAGACGGTGGCTGAAGAAGTGGTAAAGTGTTGGTAGTAGAGGGATTCAGAGTACTCGGACTCTTCGAGGTGGAGCCTGTCCAGGCCAGGGCCCAGAACGGAGACCTGTGTTGCAGACAGGTTGGATTTGAGGTGGCGAGAGTGAGGGAAAGATGGTTTGTTGGTGTGATTTGGAAGGCGCGATCAGAGGTGGGAAGTGAGACTTTATCTGCGTTCAAGGACGCGGAGGAGGAGGAGGGGTAGAACGGTGTTGGGAAACTAGAGAATGACGGTCGATCTAAGATGGTTCACAGGACAACATGGAGAAGACAGTTGAATGAGACTTGTGACTTGCGATTCCGCTCTAGAGTTGGCCTGGGATAGTGATTGTAAAGGTAATGAATGTCCTCAACGTGAAATAGAGTGCGCTAAAATGGACTGCCTCAAACCACTGTTGTGCAAACGGTCAGGCAGCGAGGAGGAAGGAGATGAGACGGTGAATTGGTGGGGTGGGAGTCATAGAGCGCGAGGATGGAACATTAGTCGGGAGAGCACAGAATGGGATGAATGATGCTGGACGTGTACGACCTGTTGTTTGTACAATGAGAGGGAGATAGCCAGGATGTTGGATGGTGGACGGTGGGTGGATGGGTGGATGGTGATGGGTGCGTGGAGGGGAACGGGCGCAGTTTTGCCATGGAGCCACACACGAGACTTGAACAGAACTGAAGAACTGAGAGCAGCTGCCAGTTGAAGCGCGATTAAGGGGCTTGGCATTTATGTTCATCACGTGATTATAACTTCACGGGTGTCTGATATCAAGAAAATGCCTATTCTGTATCCCATCCTTGTCAGGGGTCTGCCTGCATCAGAACAGCTCATTCATTATCCGAGTCAGCTCAGGCTCGTTACCAAAGGCATTGTTAAAACCCTCTGCAAATCCCCCATCATCGTTCTGGCCCATGAAGCTAAATGCGTCCGGACCGGGGGTAGCGTTGGCCCCGTATCCCCCAGCAAGCTCAAATAGACTCGATAGTTCATTCGTAATTTGCAGTGCGTCGTCTGGACTCACCCCAAGTTCGTCGTGCCCATTGATGTTGCCGTTGCCGTTGCCATTGAGCCTCTGCTGATTAGGGAATTGAGCAAAGTCAATCTTGTGTCCAGCCAGCCCAGCCATGGCGACAGCGGCGTCTGAATGGGGATCCTGTCCGGGATCGACAAGGTTGCCACCCCCTTTAGCCAAAAGGCCGATCTTATCGCCCATTTCTTTTAAGCCTCGCACAGTTCTCCAAAGCCGTTTGGACACATGGGATTTGGTACTGAACCCCTTGACAAGCTCAATGGCTGAGTAGAATTCCGACCTTGTCTGATTACAGAAGACAGCTGGAGCATGGGCCACGGCCAAAAACAATACCGCCAGTGCCTGGACGAGGAAGTAGTTGTAAAGGACCTGCTGTGTTTTGTAGATGTCCGACTTTTCGTTGACAGTAGTCAGAGTATTAATTGTATCCTTTGCGACATCAACGACGTTTTGTGCATAGTGACGATTCTCCATGATGCTGGTGGCGGAATGTAGAATCGGGCGGTAGATGGAAATCCGAGCTTGGTTCCTCCGCATGTACATCAACAACCGCAGACGTTGGAGGCCCCGCCCAGCACCTTCGTTCTCACGAGCGAGATCATGACCATTAAACCTCAGGTGTTCAGGGAGATTCTGATACCATTGCAGGATTTGATAGTCCAGGAACCCGATTTCGTCCTTCTTGGTATTCCTCCCAGCTTCGTAGGCGAGATTGTGATACCACACCTTGGTGGCAATCTGGTTGTATTTTGTAATGTGTCGAAGATATGGATGGCTCTCATCCTGCGGAAAATGAGTCAGATAGATCCGCACCACCGTAGGGTCACGACTTACTGGTTCCGGGAGAGAAGGATCGATGTCTGTGTCCTGCAGAGCAAATGGCATTCCGGTCCCAAAACTCCAGCGACGATCGAGAGCATACACAGCCCAGAAGATCCTGATCGCTTCTTGATACTCGGCCTCGTTGGTGAAGGACTTGAGCAGCGAGTCCTTGCGATGTAAGCCCATCTCGATGCACATACGAGCCGCTATGCCAATGAAACGCCATGCCTGGGCTTCTTCATCCTTCTGAAAATAATACTTGGCCTAGCCCCAAATCAGTACGGTTTCCCCAGGTAGAAAAATGGTACTCACGGTCAAAACGGTCAGCTGGACGGACTTGATGTCAATGGCCATAACCAGTTTCAAGTCAACCGATGCCTTGGCGCTGTCGAAGAAGCGCTTGCCGAGGTCGCTCCGGCCGTGGCCTTCAACGATTAGGGTGACGGCGAGAATCATTTTTAGGATGGTGGTGTCTTCATCGTCAAAGCCGTCCGCGCCAGGCAAGCCGGGTTGACCTAGTCCGGTCCTGAGAGAGGCGCCGATGAATTTGTACAACGCATTAGCGTGTTGCAAGACCTTCTCCATATTCACAACCGGATACATCAGACCAATTTCCTCCTCGTATATGCCGCACAGACGGACGACCTCGTTGTAATCAATCAGCCAGAGAGGATCCTTGGAGGGATGTGGAGTCACTGCTGTGACTTGGACAGGAGAAACGGCACGACTTCGGTCTCCAGATACCAGACCTTCATCAATATTGTTGTGTGTAGTGATTCCCATGGTTTGTAACGAAGACTTGGCCACGTCTAGGCCATATAGGGTACTGGTCGGACCATGAAACTGAGGGAGGGCCTTTTGAGAGGGACGTTTGGGGGAAATGAGAGGAGGTAACGTCCTGGACACGGACAAGGGCATGTGACGTACAGAGGTATCTTGGGAGAAGGTGGAATCGATCCCACCGTTATGACTGGCGTCTGGCCTATTTCGAAGCTCGTTTAGGCTGGCGTAAAGATCGTTGACCTGTTCCTGCAGCAAGGCGATGTGATCACGCATCTGACCAAACTCGCTGGGTTAATATTAGCGAGGAGACAAAGCCAGGTGGTCTCGGAGACAGGAGCATACACTGAGTCTTTGAGAGAGTTGGTACAGCAGTTGGGAGCGTAGACGCAGTCGAGGGAGAGATTTCCACACCGCTGACATGGGGTTTGGCCATTGCACTTGATCTTGCGACGTTTGCATTCATTACTAAACCCATGTTAGATTTTGAGGCAGGTGAGGTGCGCACTCAGTGGCTGCTTCAAAAAGGCAATGTCTCACCAAGCGATAGAAATATATCTGTTCCTCTTTGACCTGGTGTGCGCGTTGCCATTAGCATTGGAGCCATCCTCAGCTTTCCTCTTCTCAGCATTAGGCGGCGGCGGCGAGGCATCTGATGCGACAGTACTGGTGACCATGTTGCTGCACTGTCACGATCACGACTGTCGTCCTTTCGTGGATGTGGCGGGGGTGAATTGTGGAGGAGGAAATGATTCCGCGTCGTGAGATTTGGATAGGTAGAGAGGAAGAAGGACGGAATTATGGGTTGAGATTGGGGGTTTGGATGTGGGAATGGATGTGGTGATCCGCGAGATCTGGGGGGGTTCGGGGCTTAGGGGCTGGGGGGCTCAGGGACCCCTCTGCCCTACTTAGAGCCAATTAGACGCATTGCTGGGATTTCAGGCTCCAATCATGGACAAATATGAAGTAAATAGGCGACCTCTGAGAGGCCGAGGGACTGACCCAGCTGCCCCTCAGGCGGGGTTATCCAGCCAAATCCAAACCCAAACTGCCTGTGTTACAGGGGAGGGAATATCCCCCAGGTTGTCAACCGGAGACTGAGATGACTTGATCATCCCGCTCCTTAAAAGTACAACGCAGGCGGACAGCACGTGCAACCTTGGCCAATGGGCCAATTGACCTCCTGGCGACCAGACAACACCGTCGGTATATAATTCTATGCCATATCAACTGTCACAGATGGTCAACCTCTTCAGCATCAGACGTATATCAGTCGATGCAATTTAATATCCTGACTTGCTCTTGGCCTTTGATGCTTCCACACTGATGGTTCGATGGCAGAAGGATTAGCTTGACATGCTATCTTACTGGACATGTGAACGGCAATCTTGTGTAACTTCTTTAGCGTCGACCATGCACTCTGTGATCCAGTAGATTGGCCATATCTCACGCATCCCCTAAGAATAGACAACACCCGTGTAGGGTAAAAGAAACCTCGTTGCAACATGAAGAATAACAATATTAGCCGAGGATCGCGATCGCTCATAAGGAAGAGGTTGGGATCCACGTCAATCTTGACAAGAGCCCGTGTTCTCTCAAGGGGAAAATACTCCCAATGAGGCACCGGTGCGATCCTGACCATGAACATCTTTGCAAGGCATTCCATCTCCAAATACATGCTCCGTTTGCAACAGCTTGTATTGAAACCTTGAAACATGGCCCGTCTGTAGAACGGTAATCATGATCCGTTGAATCAGTGCTTGATTCGGGCGAGGAGCGACGGGGAGTGCAATGGGCTCCAGATCTGGATGTGGAAGCGGTAATCCTTTCCAAGGATTGGTCTCCTTTAGACAGTGTCCTGCGCAAGCATAGCAGGGTATGGTCCTCCTTCCGAGATTGGCACTTTGGGCCCCATACGTCCCAATAGGACTGCTGCTTACCAGTGACCGCCGGTTGCGGATAGGGTGAAGTCACTTTGGGGGCCAAAGGTTCCCAGTATTACCCAGCAGACGTCGCCATTGGGGCCAATTCAGCCCTGGGGAATACATACAGTAGTTGAGTCCAGCAGGGTGGATGCATGGTACGCGATAAGACAAGGGGTGATCGATGTCCTTTTGATCAGCGGTTGTAGACATGTCCTGATTTGCTGTTGAGACGACATCAAATCTTGGACGTGTGTGTGGTGCATGCGTACGCAGAAACCATAGGGTCCACATTCTGACCATCATATCGGGTTTGAAGCTCTCGCCAGACCTCTTTACATGTCTCCACAACATCCATAGTGGACGTTCAACTCGGTCAGCGTAATTACTCACCCACAATCGTGTCCTCAACAAGTTGTTTTTTCCACGGGCGACAACTTTTAGGAGATATCCGACGTCTCACCTGCTATTGCGATCACTCCAACATGCATGATGGATGCAGCCAGAGCCACATCTCCGGAACATGTGCTCCCCTACCGTCCTGAGATGACAGATCTCTGACTGACAAATGGAGCCGGGAGTGGAAACTCTCCTAGGGACCCGCTCTTCGATAGCAAGGTAGGTACATTTCGCAGACAGATGGAATTATTGAGACATGTGGTTGCAGGCCAAGGATGGCGTGACTAGGTTTCAAAGCTGTTGAAAGTCTGGAACTGGTTAACTGAGAGAACATAGACAACCTCATTACATTGCCCGATTGTCCAAACGAAAGACCACTTGGGAAACATTGGGAGGTGTGTCAATCCTGCATCAGGTAAAACATGGGGTTTACAGACACATCGACGAATGGTCGGAAAATTGAGACCAACTCGACCAGTTGGTTCGGCACCCCAGGGTCCGCTGAGATATAATAATAGGCATGCTTAGAGGGTTGAAGCCTCTCTCCCTCTGCAGTTGCGGATGTTCTGCCCCAGTGCTATCCATTTCGCCAGCAGCCTTGCGTCTGTCAAATCAGGTGGGAATAACGTAGCTCGAGGGCAGCCGCTGAGTTGCAGGGTTTTGGACCTAACTCGGCGGTGTAGTCGAAGGGTGGACTTCACCTAAGGGCAGGCTCATGTCCATTTCCCAGTTTCGACGAGACGTCCAAGTAGACGCAGGGAGGCTCTTCTGGAGGGTCCAGGCAGGGATCGGAGAGCGAGGACAGACTCATAGGCCCAAAGTGCACCCTGGGATAGGTACAAGGCTTCTAAACGAATTCGAAGGCAATAGGTATTGCCGGGAGAAACACGGGCGGTGGAAACGTGGAAGATTTGCAAGTGTAAGGGAAAGGAACGATGGAAAGTTTAAGTGACGCTAGAAACACATCAGGCAAGCGTTCTTAGCATGTGGGAAGATGTGGAAGACGCAAAGAAGCTGCCAAAAGAATGGCAAGGAGATGGTTTGGAAAAGCAGCGTGGGCTGGGCGATTAGATTGAGAAAATCGGGGGCCAAGTCTTCAGGCCCCTGCCTTCTGCGACACGCTAGTGAACGAACGAATCGTACTGTGAAAAGCTCATTCCGTTGCTGGTCAGGACCACCTCAAGCAGCTTGCGTCCGTGGACAAGGTGACCTTGTAGCAAACCATTGATAGTGATGGTGATGATGATGGTGACGAATAATACTGTTGCTACAACTAGATACAGAGACCAGATGTTTTCTGCAAATGGGGTTTCAAACAAGCAAATCACCTGCAGACGCTTTTCCAGAAGGTAGGTACTAAGATACCTTTTCTAAGTATGTTCCTGCCTAGCCACTTTAGAGGTACCTAGGTACCTAGGCAGTCAGTCTTGCCGACGGTAGCATAATGATCTAAGCTAGAACAGCCCTCCGCGGTTCTGAATCCGCCGGGCGAGATGATAGGTACCTAAGGTATCCATCAATTATCAAGGGAACTGAGGCCAATTTCATCAATGAAACGCACTAGGATTGACCTGTTGCCAAATTTCGAGGTTTGACATGACTACTTCAGTAGCGTGGTATTGTGGACGGCACTGAGCACCTAGGTACCTAGTCATAGGCAGTAACGGCAGGTAACTATGTACGCAAATACAATACTCAGATGGACTACCTAAGTGGGTATTTGTTATTGGGTGGGGGGGCTATGGCCGACAAAAGTTGTGTCTGTGCCTCCATCCTGTATGTGTATAGAGAAGAAGAAGGCCCGTATGGCCAGGCCGAGGACGCTTAATTCGAGAGACGCAACATGGCGCAGCTCGGGGGCTTGATTTATGGCCTAAAATTCCCCGAAAGAATTTGACATACTCCGTACTCTTCGTATACGCAGTGCATTTTATTTTGGGCGTCCACTTTGTCAGCAATGGCTTTTATGGGTCAGATATGCTCCGCAAACGCTCAGTGGCTCTGCAAGGGTGACGATCAGTGCATCGTTCAAACTTTGTGGAGACGCGTGGCGCCGGGCCCCTCGGCCCACTGGGAGCTTGATAATTGGGAGCCCGAGGGGCCCGGGGGCCCGAGGAGTTTGAAGAGTTTAGCCAGAGTTCAGGGCTTAATCAAAGACCTCAGAACTCACGACCATGGGATACAAACGAAACGCCCGAGCAGAGACGGTCCGGGCGGAGCTCTCTCAGAGTCAGGTCTCCTAATCGGCAGGCGGCAGGCGGCAGACCACATTGCTGGCTCGGTGGCCGGAGGGCGTTACGGGCATTCATTATTAGGCGACCTGCACGACCTGCACGGGTCGCTACATACCTGCCTGAAGCAGCTAGTTTGGTGGAGGAACTTGCTCCTTGAGGCTCTGTCTAGCGTACACTAGGCTGGCCACGCTTGACCTTATTCTGCCTGATCCTACGAAGGACAGTAGGGCTGAACGGTTAACTGGGTCCAGGATTGGTCGGATGCCCGAGGCCTGACTTCGCTTCTGTACATGTCCTCTTTCGGCCTTCCACATATGAATCTGCTATCTTTCTAATCTTGGGGGCCATTTCAGCTTCACGAGAGATCGTCAATCGCTTACGGTTCTTCGGACCCAATGCCCTGCCACCTGACACCCTAATATGCCACTCGTGCATGCCCGTGGGTATAGGGCTATCATTTTGACATTTGGCTTAAATGATCAACCGTACATCTCCTCACCAATCCTTTGGTCGTCGCTCTGACCACCCTGATTTATTTGGAATCGCGTGTTCTTGGTCCCCACCGACGATCATATGGTAAATCATGCTTTGGAGACAAATGAGTGGCCTCATCCAACGAGGCGAACGCACCCGTCCCAATGTCACTGATGTAATCAAGAATACTTCCATGTCTTCTCTCCATGCCTTCTCATGCGAGTACCCACTTGGCATCTCATGAGCGTACGCGCCATTATCAAAGCTGCCTACAGGAGCACAGGAGCTACTACACATGGTCGTGTCCTCAGGCAAGTCTGTCTCTAGGTTAGTCACAGCATGGGGCGTTCCTAGGGTCGGATGCAACATGCAAGCCATAAATCTAAACCTTGTAAGTCTCACTTGTCGAAGCAACCTGCTTATAGCTACCGCCCTATCGTTGTAGGTTCGCGTAGGTAGTTCCCCATCTTGGGAATTTGTACTTTTGCAAAGTGTGGTGCATACATCCTGGTGATACGTCGCCCTGCAGCGGCTGACACGTCTCCAGCATTGCGGAAGCCAATGTGACTTGAGCAAGCATCGGGAGTCATGGGACAAACCCTGGAGGAGTGTCTGGGGCCCTTGCCCACCCCGGGAGTCCAGTACAGTCAAAGTCGTGGCAGCATGCCAGCAGACCAAAGCAGACATTCAAAGCCAGCCAAACACGTGATAATAATGGCCATGTTCTCAGTCACAGTCTAGTTTCCAGTAGTAGCAGTCCACCACGACATAATTACATTGTCTTCGGCCTATCCGTCGCCATACTACTAGATTTGACCGTCATCATTGAGTTTAATCTTAGGGGTTCGAGCGATAATGTCGGATTCTCCAAGAAACGTAGAATGACAGAAGCCGGTCCTAACTGTAAACATCCCTACACTTCTTGGCAGGTGTGATTACGAGGGATATCATTCCAAGTGACTCTGAGGGAGGCTCTATCACTAGAGTTACAAGACAAAGTTATTAATTATTGCAGAATAGAATGATGTCATAGTGTTTATCCAGCGGATTTGGAAGGCAAATGACGCAGAAAGAGATCAGTGATCTATAATCCAACAGAGAGCGATCATGTGCACGGCCGTGAAGACCAGTGGATTTGTAACCACAAAATTACATATCAATTATGGATGAGGAAGTTGCACCCGCATGACCCAGCGGAGTATTGTCCGACTGAATTGGGATTTCGTCTCCAAACCAGAATTGACATGGGAACACCACACTCTACAGGCCTAGCCAGCTCAAGGGACTTGAGATTCGACGAAGCAACAGAGCCCTGCATGCTACACGCACACATCCATGCCCCGTCCATGTAGTATACGCACATGTCCAACGTCCGTGTCCTATGGAGAGAGACAAGCTCCCATGCTACGTGTACATGTGCGAAGGGACTGCGTGGACGGGTACCTGCCCAAGCACCTAGAAGTGACTCCCGGTGCCTAATGCGCGTATCGTATTCAATCAGGTAGGCGCTCTGGTGAACGAGCCTGGGTAATTGAAGGGAAGCGCGACGGGTCCACTCGAGGTGTGCAAGAAGAAGGCGGGAGCCGCTCCTGCCGTAAACATCTGGTGGCCGTATGGTTCAACAGGCAGGAGCGATAGACCGCCACTCGATGGAAAAGCAGCAAGCGCGTCGGCCATTCCAGGACTAGCTTGGAGCTGGGGGCGCAGTTTACTCTTAGTGCGACGTTACATATGAATTTCTCCCTCCATTCATCGTCGAGCTTCAATCCATCCCAAAAGCGGTGCTCGTTCCAATGGATGCTTCCAAACTTAACCTCGATTCCTATTTCCGTCAAGGCCGCTCCGTGCCTCGCACGCAAGCCCCCTTGGCCAACCTCCAGTGCCTCCTTGGCTTCCGGAATTCTCAATGCCTCCACATCCGTTGGACTTGACCCACCTCATAAACGTTCCCAGGCACGCCAGGCCATGATGGACTCATCGGCGGTCAATCCTTCCCCTGCACCTTCCATCCCTGTCATAGCCATCGTCCCTCGACCGCCGGCCTGAGAGAGCGAGGCACAGCATGGGTCCCAAGCACGCTTGACTCCGAATGTCCTTTGGCGCCTCTCGATCCGTGACCCATAGTCCCATGGTCCCATGGATTTAGGCCTCAGGGCCTCTACCCCCGTCTGGACTTTTGTCGTCGATTTCCCACCCCTGCAAGGCGGCTATACCAGTCTTGTCATGGCTGTAATTTTGATTTCGTCGCCCGTATCTATATATCGGGGAGTCCTTATACGGCCTCCCACCACCTCCCACCAGCTGCTACCACCCACCTTCGACATACAATCTTAAGTACCTTGATCTTCCCGTGATTCCTTCCTTGTTCTGTCCCAGTTCTCTACAATCAAACCCCTCGCGACCATAAGAGTCACGTTCACACTTCTGTGCTTGTTCCCCGACAACCGTTCTCTCTCCCGCCATGCAACGGAGTACCAGTTACTCCTATCCCGCCTCGATGGCTAGCAACACCAGATATTCCTCGACACATGCCAGCAGCTCTGCTTTCAGTGCCTCTGCAAACCCCAATGAGGACTGGACCAAGATATCAGACCTGGCAGAGAGGAGGAGAATCCAAAACCGAATCGCTCAGGTATTCACCATTCCTCACCCGTGTTGAGACAGTGTTGCTAACTACATGTTGAGCGAAACTATCGAAAGAAACTCAAGCGAAGATTGGAAGACTTGGAACGTCGAGCCGGGTCCTCCTCAGCATCTCCTGAACAGTCACATTCAGAACTGGCCACACCACCACAGCAAGCCCAGGAGCCGACTCAAAAGTCCTCAGGCATGGGCCGACAGTTGTCATCGTCGAGCGAGACTCCGGAGATGCACACGGCCTCTCCAGAGATTCTTCCTCTTGATGACCCCGGTTCGTACTACGACACGGCAACTTCTCGACAGATGGCCATCAACTCGACACCCACATTCTCCTACGCATCATACCCGCCCACGACCTCATACTATCAGTATGAGCAACAACTTCCGCAAACCGCCTATGATGGCTCTTCGACCTACTATTCGACATATCCGTATCCCACCGATCACTTGGCATCGACTCTACCGCCGACATTGCCATCAATGCTTTCGTCCACGTATCCCAAGCAGGGCCTCGTGTTTGGCGACGAAGACTTGCTGAGCCCGTTCAGTATGAATTATGCTTCTCTGGCCGGCTTGGAGATGCCCTCTAGTCAAACTTATGGAGGCAGTCATTCACATGTAAATCCCACCACATTCCTGTCTCGTTCATATTGCAGGCCGCAAGTTTGACTAGCATCACTGGCACGCCTTTGAACTCCACGCCTGTTCGTCATTTTTGCAGCTCACATGCTGACCTCCTCTGGCTAGACACCACCTTTGACAGATCCTTACTCGATGGATTCGGCATACAACTCGCCAGGGAACCCAGACTCGCCACCGACGCCAGTGTTGAGCACGAACAGTCCAAACTTTTATCTTTTTGATATTAGTTGCAATTGATGCGCCTATCGGGGCCATTCAAGCTTCTAGGATGGTCAAGGAATTGCTAAGAGTGGCATGTCAAGCCAACTCTCGGATATGATTGATGATCGGATGAGCATGTAGCATTATTGCCCAGGCCAGAGGCATTGGGGGAGCATCCAAACGGCAAGGTAACAGGGAATAGGGACCAGATAGAACGGGGACCTTCACAAGAAAGACGCCATATGACAATAGCAAGTGCAACCTGGTGGCAATGCCACAGGACACCACTTCGCATGAGAGCGAGTCCACCCCATTGTAATTAACTCGGCACTCCGATCTATGCAGACTCGTTATGAAATTACAATACAAAGATTTGCTGCCACACATGTGCTCTCTTACAAACCCTGAACTTGGCTTTGAGATGGGGAGAAGTAATTTACGATGCTAATTTAGGGGCCAGGCAACTTGACGGGCAGGATGAAGAAACAAGGTGCGAGCATTTCAGTACCCGTGGATAGCCCCCGAGCAAGCTCAGCACCAAGAGGACTTGAACGAGCGATGGCAAGGGCATGTATCAAGCGGTACTCGTAGGTCGAGCGCAATGATGGCACTAGTGAACCCCTGTCCTGTCGTGTCTGGGCGGCATTTAGGGCTGAAGCAGGGGCTGATCAGTAGTTCATCGGTGGCCACCCATCAAGCCATCAGCCATCAGCCAGCAGCCAGCAGCAAGACGTAGGATGAAGCAGCTGCAGCATGGATGTCGTTTCTACAGGTACCCGTAGCGCTTAGGATCTGAGTGGCACAAGTATGATCGCAGGAGAAGGGTGCAAAGGGGCGGAAGATTTCCAGATGGACAATAGAATGATTGTTAATAGAAGTGTTGATTATTGAGGTGTTGATTGTTGGCTCTCGCCATGTGCATAACAAGTAAAGTTGGAGGGATTCGAAGTTTCTCGCGATGGGGGATTATCATTGGTCGAATCAAGTGGGCCAGTCGCCAGTCACGCGTCGCCCAACATCTCCCCGTTTGGTCCTTGCAATATCGCCATCACCATCACCATCGCCATCGACATCGCATTATTGCAAGAGCGCCAGTACATTACATTACATTTTATCGCCTCCTCGACCGGCCAGGGCGACCTTGGCGAAAAGAATCACCCATAGAAACATAACCAGCGAGATTAATCAACAAAAACAATTGCCGAGAGGAATCTCTCCCTGAGCGGCCAGAGGGATCAAATCTGGTCGCTTGTTGATGCGTTCTAGATCCAAGAAACGCCCCGGGGGTCCTCCAAGCATCTTTCTTCTCATCCTTCCAACCTCCTCCAACCGGCCCCAGTCCATTCCTTCCCATGGCGGAGCCCATACCACGCCAGGAGCTTTTTGGTCCGCATATGTAAGCAGATTCTATTTTGGACCGTGGCCGAAATTCGCCCTGGCGAAACGTGTGGCGCTTTAGACTTGGCCCGCTGATTGGTGAAAACTGTCGTTTTTCTTCTAGGGGTTGGCAGTCCTCTCAGTGGACCGCCAGCGATGACAGAGTCCGCGGTGGTCAATCTCAGGTAGGTGTGTCACTGTTGTGCATGCGTTTCAGGTTGCGGTTCAATTACATTGAATAGATCTCTACCTGCTTGCGGTCCCTTTCCACTTTCTACAATGTTCGACTTTCGGGGGTTGGTGGTGGTGGTGGTGGTGCGAGAAGGGGCCGGGGCCAACAAACATGTTTTGGGCCCAGGCACAGGGTGGTCACTGGAGGTCTAAGAACCGTAGCTTGTGTTTTGTACAATGCTGACATCCGAGGTTATCTTTGCTTAGAGCCAGCTGGACTGTGAGAGAGATGGGGCCTACTTTCACGGTGTCCTCGACATCAATGCCCTAGGAGGCGCGGGCTTTGCATCCCAACGAACTGAGGGCGGAGATGGTCGATGGGACATGTCCGCCCATCAGGGCATCGAGATCGTCTGGGATCCTGTTCAGTCGGATAATCGAGTCTACACGTTGATCCTCAAGGATGAGTTGCTCCCCCTGAACCCAGACAACGGGCGGCAAAGATCGACAGTCTCGTGGGAATACGACTTTGGTGGTTCCCAAGAGACTGCGACTGCGACAACGACTGCCGGTGGTGGAGTGGGGTCCGGACCTGTGGTCTGCTTTGTCCCCTGGAGTGGTCTCAAGCCTACATACCGTGGCAAGCCAAAGGAGGATGCTGCATGTCTTGACGTGTCGAGCATCAAGAGGATCAGCATCATGATTCGAAGGTCTGGATTCCCCCCGGAACATCATTTGATAACCTACCGCTGAAGATGCGTCCAGTTTCTTTGGCACTCAGGAGGGGAGGTTTGGTTTGAAGCTATTATCCATCACTGCTTGTTCCCCACTAGAGTCCGTCGCTGATGGGATGATCATGACCCGCAAACACGACCACGAGCCTCGAGCCCCTGCAGACTCTTCATCAACGGACCAGAATGCACGCAAGGACAATTCACCCTGACATGGCTTCTGGAACTACCTCGCTAGAAGTCGCATGGTCGTGTTGAGAACACTCGACGCCCCCGTACCACACAAGGCAGCTGCGCTCTCGGGTTCAATTCTTTCATCACGATCATTCCCAGGTCTTGAGTGGATCAGTCTCCAAAGTCATCGGGACTTTTGGATCACCAGCTAAGCCGCGCCGTATCAGCTCATGGGTAGGCGAACACGACGTTCGGGCTGAAGACCACGAACACGAATGGTTATCGGGGACATTGTCCCGACAGACGATACGATCTGAACATATCACTGTCCCCCATGTGTTGGATTGCACTCCGCGCTTACTAAGATCATCATTATCGTCAATGTCCTAGAGGGAGGAAATCAAATTTGGTAATGGAAAAACCACAACGGGCAGCCAAGTCCCAGATCGCTCGACTGATTCGACGTTGAGCAGACCAGAAAGGAATGCATTTTGTTCATGACAGATATTGATAAAGCTTGACTTTCAGAGTTGGTCAGCATGTCAGTGGCGATACGCGCATATTTCGATATTAGAGACTTGGCTTCGAGAAGGCCAAGGACGACAGGAGTGAAGCAAACGAACGGGAGGATTGTTGGTGGTTATCGCCTGGTCCCTTCCCCTCAGAAGCACCGACGTGGAAGATTTGAAAATCTGCTCAACGAGGTCGGGGGGCAATGCAATCTTCCAGAACAACACAGGTGGTAATCAAGTTACCTAACTCCGGTTATTTGCTCCACGGGTCTCGGGCCTTGGAGGCTTGTATTCTTGGCCATCACGGTGCGATAGTTTATAGGTGAAGCATTGGTAAAAATGCCGCAGTAGGCCAAGACGTCTGTCTCGAGGAAGCGCACGACGAGTCCATCCAGGTGGATGATTTGAATTAACCGGGTGAACAATATTGTGCCCCTGTTGCGAGGAATGCTTACCTAAAGGCAGTCCTAAGGAACCTCCGCGGATGGCTTACGGGATCCGTGTGGTGGACACTACAGTACCGTGAAGACGGGAACCCGTTGTACACCATACCCGTAAGTAGTCAAAAGTCAAGTTGAGGCATGTTAGGTAGGTAACCTAGTAATGATTGCGTTACGAGTCCGCCATAATAGTGAGTCAACTCATTAATCACAGAGCCCGGGTTTCATCAAACCCAATGGCGGCGCCAACCAGCCCGGCCCGCCCGTATGCTCGGTATTCAGGATGTTTGGTTACAGTGCTGGTTGATGAAATGGCCATATATACCCATTGAGTATAAAGGTCTTTGGTTGTGGTTGGTGGATTTGCCGCAACCAGAGAGAGGCGAACATTGGGACAGTTGGTCATAGGTTTGGTCATAGGTTACAAAACATTTGATTTCTCTGCTACGACGCTGGTCGGGACCCGATGTCGCCCAAGAATCGTACCATGATGCAAAGAGCATGGCAGGCATGGCCCATGAAGTCGCCCTAGGAATGAGTGGGTATAAGGGAACCCGGGAAGCCAGAAAGAAGCCCGAGGAGCCCAAGGGGGCCCCCGGGCACAGAGGGAACGAACACATGGGACGCGTGGGTTTGGGATAAGAAACCCCAATGTGGAAATTTCAGTGCCCGCCTCGAAAGTGGTATCACGATTGTAACGCTCTAACCTAATACATCTATAGCGGTATAGTAAAGCGGGTCGCCCCACCCTTACCAAACATGCCTGGAGGCGTATATGCGTATGACAGCTAAGTTAGACCCTGGCGCGCGGAGAATCCCCCCAGACATTTTGGCCCCAAACAGGGTACGCAGATGCGTACCGGAGATGCTGGATGACGGAAGGGTGGCTTGCAATCCTGCAGATGTGGTTGGTGCACCTACGGTTTTCGAAGCACAAACGAAGGACTGAGAGAACCAGGATGGGGCGATTTCAAGTTCGCTTGGTCAGCCCTATGGATTGTTAAATACTAGACCTACCTGCGGGCTACCTTACCTACCTAAGGTATGCGTACTAAGTACTTTGACTCCTCACCGAGATCCTGCTTCTAACGACGCATAACCTTGGGTAGAATCCTGCAGAGCCAGTCGTGCCAGTCGAGTCCAGTCCACAGAAAATGTCAAGTGCCCAAAAAGTCAAAACTCTAGGCCGGCTCTAGTACTTAAAACGTGGCATCACGAAGAACCAAGAGCGGAAATGCGGCACCAAAAGCTGAATCCCAACGCAACCCAACCTTGTCGGTGATTTGTGTTTGCTCAGCAGTTCAAACAGGGCAATTCGATCAGTGCGAATGGAGTACCAAGTCCGTGCATATTGGTCGTCGTTTGGTTCATTCATGACTCAGTTTAGTTGTTGAAAGTTGATTGAGTGAGTAGGGCAAGGGTTAGGCCGTTAATTCCCCCAGTACCATCCTTGTCGCTTTAGAGACGGAACATACCATACTTGTGGGATTAGAATCCTCAGGAAGTCATGCAAGGTTGTACTCTTCAAAGTTAGTATTCTTTGGGTGGCACAGCTGGATGGTAACGCGTGTCTCCTACCGTAGTTATCCGTGTATGTGCATGTATACTGTAGGACAAAGCCAAGCTCCACGTGGACTCGTGGAGCCATCCATCAAGGATCAGGCCCAAGGACCAGGCCGAGAGGCCCTAGGCCCACCAATTCTCCATCCAAGAAATGACCCAGCATCATAGTTCAGGATCAGTGCATTATTATTGATAGGATGGAGCGTTTGTCACAGTATGCTGTTGTTCAGTAAACAACTTGCAGCTTCCTAAATAGCTGTTCATTCGTAACCACGAGTCCCAAGAGATATACGGAGGATGAAGTAACGGGTTGCTTAAACCGGCCAGAGGACGAAAAAGGATTCGTGCCGCATAACTAGAATACGACTTCGTAGGCACCCACCCACTACTGCATTTGATCAAACTTGTCACATCCTACATATAGCCCTAGCAGGCACCGTAGTAGGCAGCCTCCAAATCAACATTTATGCTAATTCCATACGCCTACCAAATCCAGTTTACTTTTTGACGTAACTGTCAATGCTCGGACGATAGGGATTGAATCAAAACTTGAAATTGGATAGGGACGGGTCACAGAGCCGAGGGGCTATGTGGGGAGGGATCCTTAGGGACTCTTAGGCCCTCGTATTTCGAGATAGGCCATCTGTAGTCAGTCGTTAGGTGCTCTTTTCATTGTCCTGCATTGATCGTCTTGTGAGAACCGTCCCCCGGGGTTTACGAAGGTCATTGCCGTCGCGGTGACTAATCAGCCAGGCAATCCCTCTACCATTGCTTCAAGTGTATGCCAACTCTTCGGACCAAACTTCGCACCTGGTGGGAGGTACTTCACCGATAACTACAATAATATCTGCCGCTACATTGCTGATCTTCTTCCGCATCCTAGCCATCGAGACGTCTCGTGACAAGTGGTTTGGCCTTAATGCACTTTGGATTCGGATTCCGACGGAAGTTCCCACACCAGGTTCCACGGCGCTCGAGGGGGGGGAGTGGGAATTTGTAAAGCATGAGGCATATCGTTTTCACAAACTCGCCTCGGTGGCGTTATCCAGGCAGTGCATACCGCATCAATGTCCCCAACAATGACACGCCAAAGATCCATGTCTTTTTTGGCTTTCTATATGCACTCCGGCATGTTCCACTCGGACTTAAAAACATAATTTTTATGACAGTTTACGGTACAGCCAACCCTGGCTCTTGATCGACACCCCCATCTACGGAGTACAGTGGACATGGGTTATCTCCACAAACTCTACCGATTTTGAGTGGCAATACTGCGTCATTAACAGCATCTGCAAGTCCTGGCTCTGTAATCATAGTGACCATTGACATTTCAATGCAAGCGGCTACCACAATCCTCAGTCGTGCCTTTCAACAAATATGTCTCCCCCCGCCAGGCATAAAGCAGCCATGATTCTTGGCAAAGTTCCAAGCATCTGACGTGTGCACCGTGATTCGACTTCATGGTTGTTAATCTCACTCTTCAACACCTTCAACTCGCCACAATGAATACTCATCAGTTCATGTGCGCCGACGTATTACTATACAAGCCTTTACACTGTGTTCTTCGCTCAAGATAGCCAAAAAAAGGCCAGACATGAACATCAACCTAGCCACCACTAAGTAGCTGGGATTGGACACCTACCCAAGGCCGACAGCTTCAGGCTCCCGGTTTCTTGGTCCGCCTGAAAAGGCAAATTCAACGAGGCCCCCCATTGCACTTGTCTCTCAAGTCCAAGTGGTGCTTCCAATCGCTGCCATGCTCCTGAACGAGTGCTCCATTTCCTGCCCAGGCACCACTCTTTCATATGACGTGGCAGGACGGTTCTGCTGGAGTAGACGGCCCTGTACACTGTGCGACATCCCCACAACCTATCTACCAGGCCCGTGATGTGGTAGGTATTGAACTGAATACCGTCTGCCTTGACGATCACACGGAAGAGATATCGCGAATGTTTAATCTCCAAAGTGTGGCTATGTGGCGTTTCATGAGCAATAAACCCTTGGAACAGAAAATACAGATCCCGTTCGCGAGACACGTGCTTATAATCAAATCCTCCGGCGGTATGTCTTTTCAATACGAGGATGTTTCATCCTAGCGTCTGGTTGTATGCCCACCATCACCCTCTTGAGGTTCGAGTGGCACGTTCGAGATTTTGGCGGTGACGAGGCGCAGCCCACCCGTAATAAAGACAGGTATTTCAAACGGCCATAGACAAGTCACAAACTTTCATCTGCTTCTGCCCAAGCTCGTGTTTGGAGAGATAACAAACTGCAAAGATATATCCAATGGATTGTTTGACAGGCCCCGATGTGCAGCTCGTACATCCTCAAGCTTTGAACCAACAGATACAGCCACGGAAGAAGGGAACGCAGAAGCGACTTGCTCTCAATGGTAATTGTCAATCAAGTGGTTACCCAATAGACATCAAACATGTCGTCAAGGCAATTTACGTTTCTGGGAAAATACCCAAGACCTCTACTGCAACCGCGAGACCGACAAGGTCGTTATAGCAGCCGGAGCGATTTCTTAATAGGCTTAGTTGCCACGGCAGACATCACCATGTGGCCCCACTGCACGACTTCCTATATCGAAGAAGTGTTGCGCCTTCACAGGGCAAACTCTAAGCCAGCCTCCACATTCTGATCCCTTTGCTCCTACAGGATTTGGAACTATATATGAGTCGCGCTAATGATTTGATGGCTGTTATTTCCTGTTGCAGAAGGTCTCTCTAAGTAGGATCTTGACCTGGCTGCTGCAGATTCGACAGGATCAGTCGTGTCACTTGCCAAAAGGCCCCTGAACAAAAGGATATTCGCATCTTCACAACCCGCCCCGAGGAGGCTGATTTGATCTGTTGTTGGCCGTTGTTAGCGGGGGTGGGGATTGTGCATTTCCACAAAGACCAGCCCTGGTCTGCGAGTTCTTGGCCCTTCCTTGTCTCATACGAGCACCCGTTGCATCAAACTCCTTCCGTCGCCAGATTTGCAGTTCTCCTTCTTCAAAAGGCCCGTATTCAATGTAGTGCGGCTTCCTACGGCTCAGGAGTAAGTGGGAAATTCCTTCGATTCAGATTGTCAAATGACATGGAAGCTGTGGGCGTCAATGGATCTTTGTAAGTAGGAACATTTCCACGCACACCCTCCGGGTCGAATTGCTCGGGACCTGAATCCTTGACACTTGGATGGGACAATGTTCTTCAGCACGTGTCTACGACGCCTGGAGGCTGCCCACCGCCCACCAGCTCAATGCCTCTAGCTGCAGGTACAGGGAGGTGATTTCCCGTGACCCGATGATGGCATGACTCGATAACTCGAATCTTCTACATCCTCTTTGCATACCTACCTACCTACCAAACGGACCATTCACTACAACAAATTCTGTGACGAATAGTGACGCAACCAGGACATAGGCACCAAAGAGGAGAAGGGAGGCCTGCCAAGGGTTTGCTGAGAAAGACCCACCGCCATCCACCGTCACAACAGTGCAGACCGTCCTTGTCGACGATCAGGAATTGCGGAAAGGAAGCCGCATGCATCGAAGCCGTCATCTATGCGACTTCGAATGGAGTTGGTACATCATAGTTGGGAGAGGGCCGGGAACAAAACAAAAGAACGACCCTCCGGCCGGTGATAGGGCATTCACATTTATCGACAACTGCTTGTGCCTCCAGTACGAATTACGAGTACACTTCTTTTTTCTTGGATTAGTGGACTCTGACTCTGAAGCTCGGTGGTATAGCGAGGAATCGGAGACGTCGTCCATCGTCGTCAGTACGTTGAGGACTGTATGCACGTATGAGTGCACGTGGGTACCTAACCTACCGTGCCTAGGTACATGTACACTACGGAGTACAACCAGATGAATGGATATACGGCGTCCAGTAGCCAAGCACTTCAACGACCAGGCTCCAGAAAACCATACGAGTCCCTCTGATACCTACCTAATGGATAGATAATACTGGATGTATTGTATGTATGTAACAAGATCGACCACCGTTTCAGAAGACGACTTGGCTACTTACTTGATCTGTTTTATTTGTCATTCTCTTGCTGTCTTGGTGTACTTTCTGTACTTTTGTCGTCACTTGGCCGATCAGGCACTTGCTATTTATCATGAGGCCCCTCGGCCCACAAGTACTACGCACGTACTGCTTAAAGTACCTTAGGTAACCAGACGTCGAGTGCCAGACCAAAGTACCAAAGTAGTGTCCACATGTGAGAGGCCTGAACTTCCGCCTTCTTTTATGTACACATAAAATCAGGCCTAAAAATAACCGACCTAGATCATGAAGTAGATCAGGCGCGTTAGGACCATGATCACCATGATCGCCACGATCCAGACATGACGTGGCTGCTCGCTCAGCCAAGAGTGGGAGGGGCATAGGATAGAGATGGGGGCCAGACACTGTGTACTGTGTAAGTGTATGTTCGTGTACTGCGCTGCTGTTGTCGTTGTCGCTGTCGCTGTCGCTGGCGTGGCTAGTCTGGTATGGTTTAGTCTGGCCTGATCGCAGGTGTCTGCTCGTCGCATGCAGTGATTTTACGGTTTCGTCACAGAACCACAGTCAGGGTCGTGGGCCTTTGGATTCAGGGATAGAGCCCGATACGTACGTCAAGTGCCTAGTAGGCATGGAGACAATGTCCATCTTGCGTGGAGGTGTATGCATAGCTATGGTAGGCCGAGGGGGACCCCACCCAAGCCAGCTAGCTTATACTGGATATAGGTAGTGATGAAGCATCGACGATTTATCTCATGGATAGATGCACACCGACAATATCATCTTCGCCTCGCTAGATTTGGAAATTGGGCATTGGGCATTGGCATCAGTGGCATCGTCCTTCCTTGCATCCATTTGGTCTCTTCCTCGCGTGAACCCTTGTCACATAATCAAATTGTTCGAAAAGGGCTATGGGGTTCATACATAAGGTAAGCAGGTCAGGTAGTCTTTCTAATGTAGCTTAGCTGAATCTTTGGGTCGAGCACAAATAACTTGATTTATCCCATCTTGTACATTCATTGACAGCTGGCTAGTCTGTGCAATATTGCAGCCAAATCCTCTCTCACCGCCTGAATATGGATATCCTAGAGGACGCCGCCTTTTTTTTGTGACATGGTCTATACAAGTGGTGCTTGTCCATGGTCGACATCTCAGATCTTGACACTCCAGGGGTGAGGCTCGTCACCATATTGAATGGCCTCGATCCAGTTCTTCATCGTCAACGCGACCTCTCCGGCCTCCTCGGTCTCCTTTAGACCACAGTCAATCATCTTATCTTTGTAGGCAATCTTTCTCACAGGCGCCACAATGGCCGCTGTGCCAGCGCCAAAGACTTCCAGCAGTCGTCCTTCAGCCTCTGCTTCAGCTAGCTCGGGCATGCGGACGTATCGTTCGGTGATTTTCCAGCCCTTGGGCTCCAATCGTTCCCGAGCCAAGGTCAAAACGGAGTCACGTGTGACACCCTCCAAGATGGTACCGTCCAGTGGGGCGGTCAACAGCTCCTTCTGGCCTGTCTCCTTGTTCTTGATGCATACAAACAGGTTCATGGTGCCGACCTCGGTGATGTACTCCTCAGGTCCAAACAGCCACAGGTTCTGGTGCAACCCCTTCTTTGCAGCCTTGAGCTGGGGAACAATGCAGGGCGCATAGTTTGCGCCCAGCTTCTTGTCACCCACGCCGCCAGGCCATGCGCGGACGGCGTAGTCGGTGGCTTCAAGGTTGATGGCTTTGAATCCCGTTGGGTAATATGGGCCCACAGGCGAGGCAATCACGTAGAGAAGAGCAGATCCCGGGGGTCCGACGCCCAGAGTGCGTTGTGTGCCGATGAGGGTGGGTCGGAGGTATAGACTGTAACCCTTTTCTGAGGAGATGAAACGTTCATCAATCTTGCACAGGCGCCCGATCAACTCGGTCAATTTGTCGCCGTCAAAAGTGGGTAGCGCAATACGAGCAGCAGATCCGTTCAAGCGAGCCATGTTCTTGTCAGGTCGGAACAGCCGCAGAGAGCCATCGTGTGTGCATTTATAAGCCTTCATGCCTTCGAAGCATTCAAAGGCGTAGTGGAAGACGCAGGTGGCAGGGTCGAGGGAGAGGTTTTGGTAGGGAGTAATGCGCGGGGGCAGCCAACCCTGGGAAGCGGTCCATTCGATGGAGAGCATATGGTCTGACATGACATTAGCTGAGAGTTGCGATTAGAGGGGGAGAAGCTCACCAGTGAAGGTGCGTCCGAACACTAGATCTTGGTTTGCAACCAACGCCTTGGGGGTGATCGAGTTTGTGACCTCGCACAGTGAAGGGTCGATGTTGGGCAATTTGGCTGCAGCATCTTCATCAATGGCCAACTCTTGTCTCCGCAGCGAAGTTGAGAAGGATCTGTAGTATTGTGGTCGCAACGAGGCACCGGAGTAAACGGGGGAAGTGACTTGACGCAGAGATCGCGTGGCCGTGCATGTCGACGAACGAAACAGCCGTGGTAACGACATGGTGACGTTGAGGTTGTGGACGAGGGACGCCGCGTGGGTTTCGATTGAGATCAGATCAGATCAGATCAGGTGACAGAAGAAGAATATCCAGCGATGAATTTCGGAGGAAGGAGCGATGGTGAGGAAGTGACTCCAGCTGCGACGGCAGGTGCGACTGCGGTGAAAGTGCAAGTGCAAGTGCAAGTGCAAAGGGCAAGTGCGAGATAAGAGGAACTCAAGGAAGGAGCCACCAACAGAGTACAATCCTCTCACTTTTCTTCTATAAGGAATCCTCACCGACGTTTGTTGGATGGGATGATGATATTATTATGAACAATTATAACAAGTATCACTTTCCTCGTCAAAAGGCGGCTCATGTGCCGTCCTAATTTCTTCGAATCATCATCTCTCGGCTCACACTTCTGCGCGAAATCGGAGCTCTGGCCAATAGCGACAGGCCTGAATCCTCTCTTTGCGGCAAGGTCAATCTACCGTTATCCGGCTCCCGGACGACTCTGAGACTATCTTGGGGACCCTGAGACTCTGATATCCCAATTTGGGCAATTACACGGTCTCCTCTCACCGTCGATAACCGAGAGTCCTTCACGACCTCCACCAATGCCATAGCCGATCGGAGCAATCGACATCTCCGAGAAGTCAGCCCCTCGTTCCAAGTTGAGGTCGATGACTCTTAATATCACGTCGAGCAACCGACAGCGGCCTTCCTTTGTGCACTGTGTTGACATTATTGTCTGGCACGTCTCATGCATTTAGTCGCACTCCAGCTTGGGTCGAGATGCCACTCCCTCACCGCCGTCATCGCCCCCGACACGAGGGACCAGAATCTTACCCTCCATGATTTTGACACCAGACGCGATCAACATAGCCCTGTCTGTGCCTGGGGCAGCTGCTTCAACAGTCACCTCACCTGTCCTTTCGGAGATCTGTTTGACCTTCAGACTTGACTTGCCCAACCGCGAAGCCCAGTAAGGGATGAGAACACAATAAGTGGACCCTGTGGCTTGATCTGGATTCCAGTGTTGGTGTGATATCTTTGGTATGCAACATCAGATCATGACTCACACTCACTGCCATAAGCAAACACTCTCTTGACAAAATCGACTCCATATCTCGACCCATTCCCCGTCAAGACCTGGCTCCTGGTTCCTGGCGGAAATGCTTCCATTAAAGCCACTGCATCGATGGTCATTCGAGTTGCTGAAAAGTCGACCGAGTCCTCAAGCTCAATAACGAGATCCTGCAATGAATTGCGCCCCAGGCTCACAATCTGGCGGGTGTGCAGGTTCAATGTTGAAGCAATCCTTTCCCGGAGGCCCAAGTCTTGATTGAAGTCTTCAGTCACAGGCACCGAAGGGATCTGCAACTTCACCGTCCATTTGTGCCCGATATTCGAATCTCCAGGTTGTTCTCGTTCTCCCGAATGTGCGCCAAGTTGTGCCTGCACCATGATTCCATCCACCGTATAAAACGTAACATCCCCTGTTACTCTTCCGGCGTCGCCCAGTGCAATCGTTGCGCCTACAACTCCATGCCCACAAAAGGGCTCTTCTTTGAATGGAGTGAAGGACTTGATATCATACACGCATGCTGTTGATACAGATCCAGTTGCTCCCTTCTGACTTTCCAGGTTGCCCAATTCATTCTGCTTGCTGGCCCTTCTCACAAAGATGGTGTCGGACTGATTCAGTTCCCTCAACAACAGCGAAACGGTAAGCTTCAGACCACAGCAGGATCATGGTGGCACAATTGCTCAAGGAAAGTGCCCTACCGTGCGATCTCTTGCAAAACCTGCTTATCTGGCCATTTGCGAAGGTGATCCAGGATGAAAACTGGTGTGGGATTTCCCGTAAACGCCTCGCCGGTCATCGCGTCAATGACTCTCTGGCCTGCTTAGTACATGCCCCGTGGCATAATGCAAATGCCAGTACCTACAAGATCCCAGAATCGTGTCATCGTTGCCGGGGTCAGAGAACGGGTGGTGCAATTGTATATGTAAAAATCGCTAAGCGAGCTACGAAATATGTATCATCAAAAAAGTTCAGCGGTAGACCCAGATCTAATCTCGACCCTGTGTCTCTACATTATATATACCCCAAACCCACTATCATGACCTTCTGCAAACTATCACGAGTCATCCCGTCCTATCTGATATCATGGATACCTCAAAATCCACCATGCACTGAACCTAGAACCGGCAAACTGTCCCGGTGTGATTCATAAGAGACTTGGCCATTCGAAGAGACAGCTGGCGAGCCGTCTGACTACCGGCAGACCCCTATAACCGGTTGTGCGACCGATTTCCGGTTATACAACCGGTCATAAAAACCACCCCTCGACTGCATAACCGGTTATAGGCTTGGTGGCGTTTACTAGAAAATTGGTAACTATTAGCGCAGAACTTAGGTGTCGATAATCCCTGCATTATCGACGACGAATCCAAGATCAACGAAAAGTCAACACCTAGCAATCTATTATGCAAAATATCCTCACTAACTCGTTACCCTGTTCATGCCGCAAGGGAGCTTCCAACCCAACATAAGTCTATATAACTTCATTCGAGCACATTTCCGACGTGATAAACCCTCGGTTCATATCATGTCCTAGCCATCATTCCCAACCCCTTTGTAGATGACGAAAGGACCCAACGTGGCCCGTATCCTAATGACCCAGGAACGTCCTCACTCTCCTTATCATTCAAAGATGCCGAAATCGTGCAAATGCTTATTCCGCCGACGACGGGGCAGCTACCGCCATCTCCAAGAGTCGTGCACCTCAAAGCAAAGATTCATACTTGTCTAGCCCGGTCTTCTGTTGCTGTTGAGCCGGTCGTCCGGCAATATTCGTGGGAAGCATAGTGCTCATTGGATTGCTGGCAGGTTGTTGCATCGTTGAGCCAAGACTGCTGTAATTAGGCTGCTGTAACGTTGTCCTTTGCATGTTGCTCTGCGGTGGCGGTTGCACGCCTGCCGACCACGAAGTTTGAGATCCTGGAGGAGGTGGCAGTTGCCATGGGCTATTAGTCGGGGGAGGCGGTGACAAAGGAGGACTGCTCAGATTACTTGAAGTTTGCCACGCCTGCTGCGATGTTTGAAAGCCAGAAGAAGCATTCGTGGACGGCAAGGGTCGCCGCTGACTAACCGGCCGGCTTGAAGGTTGAAGGGGAGCTCCCCACGGAGATGGCGACATAGTGCTAGACGCAAGTGGCTGAGAGACAGGCTGTAGGGTGGGAAAGGCAGAAATACTGACGTCTGGCGTAATGGAGCGGAAGGAAGGCTGTGGGCGCAATGCTGGTATGCTGGTCGCTGGTTGCGATTGAACGACATTTCCACCCTGTGTGGCAGTGGAAGACCAGGAAAAGGTTGGAGGATTTTGAGTCAGCCTTTCACCATCGGTAAGCGCACCTGCGAATGGATCAGGTCGCTCTTGTGCCTTGCTGCCCAAGACAAGTTTTTCGAAATTGTCCTCGGTCCCAGTGGTTGCAAAGGGTCCATTCATGGGACTGAGGCTTGATGACTGTGCTATACCAGCTGATCGAGTTTCTGTAGGCTGGCTCGTAGAGAGCTCCCCTAACTTTCTCATTTGCTCCCGCTCAATTTTGGCAGTAAGAGACTTGATGACATCGATAAATGACCTGAACTGACCCAGATCGAGCAATGGCCCAAGACTGAAGGTCCATAAGATTGGCATGATCTCTAGTGCCAGAAACTCGGTATCGGCTGTTTGACCAATCTGGCGCAGAACTTTCAGGGACGCCATCATCACGGCGGGCTCCTTCGTTTTGATGGCTTTGAGTAATGGCACCACCTTTTCTTGCATGGTGAATTTGTCGAGGCTAGATATATTTTTATCTTGTCGTTCTTGCCGATCGGCGCCGGAATAATCTTCTCTTTGCGACGTTGTGTTTGTCGTAGTAACGCCACACAAAACACCAATAGCTTCGAGACCACGAATTTTGATGCTGAGGCTGTTCGTCTTGCTGAAGACATTGGCCACCACCGGAAATAGGTCATGCTTGACAGTGGTGAAGTCAATCAGAGGAAGAATTACTGGCAGACTTTGCAAAGCAGCGTCTGTCAAGGTGTGTATGGATGATTCCATGGCAACATGCACAATTGGTAGAATGTCGTCTTTGAATTGCTTGGCGGAACAGTTGTCAGCAATCAGCTGTATGTTGTTGAGCACAGAGACTAGCGCAGCCTCTTTACTACTATCTCTCTCATCGGCCTTGGGTTTGCTGAGGAACGTCTCGCGCATTCGTGGAATGATCAGATTGGAAACAGCCTCTTTGCTTGAGGGGATGACCTTGACTATTTCGAAAACATTCTGCATTATAAGAGGCAGTAGATCTCGGTCTTTCATTTCGTCCAGTAGAACACCGAGAATCTTCTTTCCCAGGATTGATGGAGGAAATTGCGGCATTACTCGGCCCAGGCCTTTCATGAACTGGGTTTTCTCCGCAGGAGTTTTGGCTGGAAAAGCATCGAGGAATCTCATGGTGTTGACGAGGATGTTGTCAAAATAATCCGACTGCTGGAATTCGCTGGCTGTCAGACGCTGCGCCGGTCGTCTTGTTAGCATACGAGGCAAGGTGACGTTCAACTCGCGTGGAAGTTTATTCTCCGAGAGGTAATTGTTTGAACTTGATGGCACAGTGGATGCGTTGCTAAATATCTTCTTGTATGTTGACTGGTTGCCATGCGTTTCGACAGGTGATCGATGGGGCTCCCTGTAGCACGCCAGAATGACAAGACCCAGGGAAAAGATATCGGCGAGGAAATTGATGTTGGAGTCTAGTACAAAGTCGGGCGACGTATAATCGAGGTCCAGTTGAACAGTTTGAGGCAGTCGAGGGTCATGGTACAGCACCTCAGAGAGAGAAATCTGAGGAACGGGTTGATGGCCTTCTGCACCATCAGGAGGTCCTGCAAATGACAAGCCTGAAATCTTCCAGTCCGACTTTGCATTGATGATGATGGCGTCGGGGGTCAGATTGCCATGGACGAGCTTGGCACTGTCGTGAAGGAACTCCAGACCTTTTGCCACCTGAAGAAGACCTTTCTGGATCTCCAGCTCATCGATCTCGATGTCTTTCATGGCCTTCGAGGTGGAGCCATCCTCAGAAATGGATCTGGATACTCCTCTGCCGCTCCGTCCACCGCGAGAGTCTTTTTGGGCGAGGGCAGCTGAAAGGGAGCACAAGACAGGCTCGGTGGCAAACATGAGACCACCACTGCGAGTCTCTTCGACGGGCTCTACCAATTGAAGAACGGAGGGATGTCGGAGTCGGGCGAGACTGCTGGCCTCCTTCTTTAGTCGCTCCAAGACCTCTTCCTGGGCTTTGCGTATAGAAGTCGAACTCGCGCGGGCGCCGAAGCCGCCGCTACTAACGTCGAGGGCTTTCCGGTCAAACACAAAAACCGAAGCCTGTGAGGATGTGGTCTTTTTCTTGGCATCGTAGATTGTCCAGACGCCTACAGTGGCGGAAGGCTGTTTGGATATCTCATAGGCGGATGTAATATTGGAGGTGAAGGTTTTGAAAGCAGATGAAAACATCTTGTCCCCAATGTGAGATGTCTTGGTCGCTGGCTAGACAGATCTGCGATAAGAGCGACTAGGATCAACAGTCCCCCGCTAACGGGCACTTGCGGTGCCTTGACGTTGGCACAGGTAGCGGGAGAGCATGTTATTTCTAGGGTTTTCTGATTTTCCACTGAGGTGCATCTGAGGGCAAAGATATCGGATCAGATGTTTATCTTTCAGCTCTGTTTGATCTGTGGTCTGGACTTAATGTTAGTGTGTACACAAGATGGAGATGACATGTTGGAGTTAACAATTCGGAAGGCACGAGCCTCCCCTGCCAAGAACACAAGACACCGGATGACATGAGAGGAAGGCGGCCGAGGGGCCTTTCGAGTGCGAGTCGCGCCTTCCCCACGCGCTGTCATTGCGGTGGGAGAGACGTACTCCGTAGAGGGAAGGTACCTCCACAGCTGGGCGGGCAGGCACGTTAAGCGCAGGTACCTCTACCAAGTACATATCTGGCACCGCACTCATCAGCCTAGTTTCTTGACGATCCAGATACCCAGATACCCACACAATTCCTTCAAAGGCACATGCAGTCATCATCTATTGCTGCTGCTGCTGCTACTGCTGCGTCTACCATCTACAGGCTTGCAACTAGACTCGGTCAACTCTCCTCCCATCTCGCCCCCGCCAGTCCTTCTGCCCTCTCCTCTACCATGGATCCCGCAACGAGAAGCCATTATCTTGCAGACAGCCCTCCAACTGTGGTGCGGCTGGAGATTGCTCCTCACTTTCAAGCCCTCTCTCCCAAGCAGAAACGATATGCTCATCATCTGAGCCGTGCAGCCTTCCTCGGTACCCGTGTGACCTTGGCTCAAGTATCGCCAGAGTCACCAGTCATCTTCGATTTGATCCTCGCTCTACACGCCGCCGCCGGCGGTGATTACAAGAAACTCGCAGCAGAAACATCGGTCTCTTCTCAAGATGCTACATACTGGTTGGAATACTCTGCACAATTCTTGGGCAATGCGGGCAATTACAAAGGCTTCGGCGATTCAAAGTTCATCCCCAAAATCTCTCCTGAGGCACTGAAAAGCCTCGCATCAGTCAACAAAGAGACCTCTGAGCTGCTTAAGGAGGCCATCAGTACTGGAGGCGGGATCTATGAGACGAAAGCCCAAGCTCTGATGCACCTAGGCTACCCGGAGGCTGGCCACATGACCACATACTATCCTGATTCGCCTTCTATCACCAAAGAAGAGATCTCCATTGTTGGAGATGTGCTGGAGGAGAAGAAACTCTTGATTGAGAATACGAGACTACGGAAATTGCCATCAGGAGACTTTGACCTTCTCATTGCCTCCGCCGTGACCAACCCACCACCAGCCGATCGTGACCTAGGAGACCTGTCATCCATTGATCTGAAGGGCAGCCTTAGCGGCAAGAAACTGAATCTCGTATACGGAGATTATCAAAATGAGATGGCCAAGATTGCCATTGAGTTCAAAAAGGCGAAGGAGGAAGCAGCCAATGAAGTGGAGGAGAAGATGTTGGAAGAGTATGCGAGGTCATTTGGCACCGGGAGTATCCAAGGCTTTGTCGAGTCTCAACGATGGTGGATCAAGAATCTGAAGCCTGTTGTCGAGACAGACATTGGATTCGTCGAAACCTATCGGGATCCCCAAGGCGTACGTGGTGAATGGGAAGGATTTGTCGCTATGGTTAATCAAGAACGAACACGTGCTTTTGGCAAGCTCGTTGATGCAGCCCCGAGCATGATTCCTAAACTCCCATGGAGCAAGGACTTTGAGAAGGATAAGTTCTTGAGCCCTGACTTTACCAGTCTCGAGGTCTTGACTTTTGCCGGTAGCGGCATCCCAGCGGGCATCAACATACCAAATTATGACTTCATTCGGCAGAATGAAGGCTTCAAGAACGTCAGTCTCGGCAATGTCCTCAGTGCAAAGGCTCCCAACGAACCGATTCCCTTCGTCCGCAAGGAGGACGATCACCTCTACCGAACATACCGAGACCCTGCCTTTGAAGTCCAAGTTGGCATCCATGAGCTTCTGGGCCACGGTTGCGGTAAGCTCCTTCAAGAAACATCCGCTGGCGAATACAATTTCGATTTCAAGAATCCGCCCATCAGCCCCATCACCGGCAAGCCAATCACATCATGGTACAAACCTGGCCAAACCTGGTCGAGTGTTTTTGGTTCCATCGCTTCCTCTTATGAGGAATGCCGTGCAGAGTGCGTCGCCATGGCCCTTGCTTGTGACTTTGAGATTTTGCAAATCTTTGGCTTCGGCAATGGGGAAGAGGACATCAATAGTGAAGCAGGCGACGTTTTGTACGTATCCTACCTTCAGATGGCCCGAGCTGGTGTGGCGGCTCTGGAGTATTGGGATCCCAAGTCATCGAAATGGGGCCAAGCTCATATGCAAGCCCGATACTCGATTCTGCGGGTGTTCCTCGATGCTGGCGACGGTTTCTGCACGATAGAGTCGCCTAACGGGGATGCGAAAAATCCTGATGACTTGGAGATCCACCTCGATCGGAGCAAGATCCTTTCACATGGTCGACCTGCCGTCGAGCGATATCTGCAAAAGCTGCACATCTACAAGGCCACCGCAGATTTTGCAGCGGGGAAAAAGCTGTATGACGATATCACAAATGTGGACGAGTGGTGGGCGGAGAAAGCCCGACCATTGGTGCTGAAGAAGAAGACGCCCAGGAAGGTCTTTGTTCAAGCCAATACAGTATTGAACGAAAAGACGGGAGATGTTGAGCTGGTTGAATACGAGCCTACACTTGAAGGAATGATCCAGAGTTACTTTGAGAGAGATGTATAAGCGATACAGGTATATCAAGGTTCAGGAGTCTGGAGGCACTGTCACAACAAGACGAAACGATTCATGCATAGCGATACGGACGTCCTCTACGCAGCTACTCATAGTCTTTGGAAATCATCACATAAGCAGGAACCGTCATGGCTTTTTGTGAGGAGGACATCCTTTTCTTCTGATTTTTTTGGTGTATAGTCGTCTAAAAGTGATATTATATATCAGCATCCGTCCGTGAGAGAGCCCGCCCGGCCACTGGACACATGAAAGTGATCCACCACAGTATGGGATTGAACGGCGAGATTGTCTGTGGGCAAACTGCAGTGTCGTGTCAGCAACTCTAGCGTCCCGATGCTTCCACCTGCTAGAGCGGCCACACAAAACCAACAGCAATATCGACAACTGTAGTTCTTTGGCGTTAAACAAAACATCATTCATCTCTTCTTCTTTCTTCCTGTTCTCTTCTCTTGCACTTTCTTCCCAAATGCATTCGTTCATGCGTGCGTACATTCATGCATGCACGTGTATGCAATGCAATGCAGTACGATACCGGAATAAACCCAGAAACTGTGTGCGTGTGTGTGTACCTCAGGTATGTGCTGACTGCCTACCCCCAACACCAAACGTGTAAAATACAAAATACAAAGCGGGACCGGAATCAAGGTTCTCAAGGCACCAAGAGAGAAAAAAAAGGTTCTCTGATCATCGATTTCCAACACCGAGACACGGGGTGACTCGGTTGAGGAGATCGTGATAGAGATTTCGTGCCACGTGATTGGCATGCGTGCGTGCATATGAAATCATATCATACTCTGGTGTCGTACATGTAATTGAGGGTACCACTCCTCTTGAGAGCGGCCTTCATACCATTTCCATAGTAATTGTCGGTATTTTTTCCGACTGGGACGCCAGGTCCCTCTGGCTGACGAGGGATAGGAGGGCCTGGTTCATCCAGACTACCTTGACCCTTTCGGTTATGTTTCGACTCCGACTCTGGAGGTGGTTTCTGTACACTAGGTGGTCGGATTGGTTGTGGACCACTGATTTGAATGCCGACGAGTTCGACCCCCGTCTTGAGATTGATCGGTCGTCTCTCGCCTCCAAAGTCGATTCCTGCACCTTGAGCGCGGTATGTTTCTGTCCGCACGCGTTCGGCACGCATCCATTCCCGTCGTGCGATTTCGATTAATGCCAATGTCAAGCCGACCATGCCCCATTGTAAAATGTCTTTGGCGGTGGCGAGCTTGGCTAGCATGTCGGCGAGATTGGGGTTGCCTGTGTCTTGGAATCGAGACTGAGGACACCATGCGGGAACTCGTCCTTGAGCCCCGGATAGGATGGGGGCTAGTTCGCATGATGTGCATAGGATTGATTGGATGAACCAGGCGAAGAAATGGAGCACTGAGATGACGAGGATGAAGAATGTCGTGCTTGAGGTGTAGTCCGGGTCGTACGAGTTGGCTTTGCTTTGTCGGTTCTTGGGGTTGGCCACAATGGCTGATGTTCGAGTGTTGGGGTAAGGAGGGATCGGTAGCCCATTAAATTGGAGAGCCGCGAGATGTGATGTCGAGTATACAAGTGATATCAGTGGTATTGAGCCGACATAGAAACATAGATTACTATGGGTGGAGAAAGTTAGTCTCTTTCAGATGCTGTGGCGATATCAGATAGGTACTCACAGCCAGTTCCCTGCCGCTGCTGTCATCTCTCGAGCCCAAGCCGCATACTTGGATGACATGATTAGGAGGATGATGGAGAGAACCAAAATGGCAAACAGTGATAGCACTTGTGCTACTCTGGTTTGCATCTTGGCTCGACTTGGACTTTACACTGATGGGGTCCAGTTGTGCTTCCTCCTTGCGATGCCCTCCACTCGCCCGATAGATTTCGGTGGGTCCTCGATATGATTGATGCTGTAAAGGCAGGATTTGGAAGGAAAGGATGTTCTTGTCGATGATAGTGATATATCGATTCGGAAGGAGAGAGACCAGCTGCAGCAAGCAGATAAAAAAAGAGTTGTGTGAGAAAAGAATCGCAGCGTCCAGCGCGCAGCGCCCCGGGCGTTGGCTTCGAAAGGAAGGAACCACAAAGAGGTGAGAGGTAGGTATTGAGCAACCAGTCGCTCAGAAATGATCGTGATCGGACGCCTCCGTGTATTTCAAAGCAAGTGATAGCGCACGCACACCCAAGATGAACAATAACGACAACGCCAAAGACGAAGTCAAAGAAACGAACGGTCAGGCCTGCTGGCAAAAGGAGGGTACAGAACGGAAAGGGAGGCAAAAAACCATTGGGATCAGATGAAGTTCACAAGGTTGACGATCGTCGGTGGCTGCGACAAGAAACACGCCGAGACTCAAGCGCCACCTAAAAAGATGCGAACGGGAGGTCGAATTCCCGTATACCCACACAGTTTTACGAGATGTGAGTCTAGTAGTCCTCGGACGGCTAGATTGCATAGGCGAATGAACCGATACGTTGGGGATTGAAACTCCTTCATCAGCCGCGGGCCATTGGGTGACTTAGTGGGCCACGTCTCAGACAAGTGCCATTGAGATGGTCATGGTCTGGGGAAACACGACACACACCGTATGCGTGACGTGAGTGTGGACATGTCGAGTGCTGGGCGGGGTCAAGAAATCGCCTGATACGAGGCTCATAAAGGAGGTTAATGTGTCCATGTTGGTCCTGTTTGCTTGGACAAGTTGATGGCGAGCGTGCTTACTGGCGGAGTGGGTGATAGACACGGCTGGGGCTGGAACAGGTGGTGCAACAAGGCCAAGTCCACGAAGAAGTGGCTCCGATCCGCTTGTCACAGAGTCCAACGTTGAACCAACCTGATATGCAAAGAGCTGCTGAAGGGCAATGGAATGTGTGGATTCAAGTCCCTGTGGTGTGAGGAGATGGCCATGATGAGACCGAGATGGAACCTGAAATGTCGAGAAATGCCCCAGTTAAAAGGGTTAAAGGCCAGGGTTTGTTGCAGACTGGAAACCAGACGTGGCAATTGAGTTTCGCCAAGGTTTTATATATGCTGTCTGACAGTGGTCAGGACTTCACGTCTGCCGGATTTATGAAAACCCTGTCGAGGTTCAAGTGTCTGACCAGTATTTATCTTTAGCGCGACTACCCCTTGCCTTTCGCGCGTGCCATACCCATGCCATGAAACAACCCTCATCAATCCCCTAGGATACCCTTAGTTCAATCACTCTACCACTCTATTCCGTACAGCCAATATGATAAGCAAATAGTGCATGCAATTGATTTGTCCGATTCTCACTCCAGTGGCTTCGTATCAAGATATCAACGCATCGGTCCGATCTTGATCACCTTCGAATCTGCCAGATCGACCAAATCATCCAGATTCACCCCACCACACCCACCATCGCAGCTCAGCCTTGCATATGGAAGACCATGAACCCTCCACAACCTCTCCACTTTCTGAGCATAGAGCCTGAGTTGGGTCATGGCACCGTGCATACAGTCTGTCCGCCGTCAGTTGTCCGCCCAGACCCTATAAAGCAAATTCAAGTGTGTACGGAGTACGTATACATTTCATGCCAGGTCGTGAAATTAGAAGGGTCCAATAGATCGGATCGTTAAAGAGGTGGTCCAGAGTAATAATCACTTTCACGACCATCAGATCTCTGCAAGTCTAGGACCTCTATCTGTTCAGACAGGAGCAAAGATACACCTCACGTTCATGAGCACTCTCCAAGCACCACACCCGATCTCGTGTTCCTCTTAAATCGTAATACTTTCTTGCATATACAGAGCCATTCTCATCATTTCAATCATCATCTTTCTCTATACTAGGCAACGGTGGCGCCTCGTCGATTTCATGCTGCTCATGGGTCGAAAGCTCTTCTGGTTCCATCAAATCTTTGCCGGACGGATCCTCAGCTTCCATCTCATCGATGGCGAGGCTGGCCCACTTTTCCAGGAGATCACTGAGCTGGCCGGCGTCGTCGCGCTTGTCGGCTATGTAGTTCGGATATCTCGAGCTAAAGTGAAGATGGTCAGATGGAGCCCATTGGAGTTCTTTGACAATCATTTCCATGCTCTCGAACATCTTGGGTGAAACTTGTCCTACAGCATTGTCCTGCGCCTCTTTGTCGGTTAGAGCACTTGACTGGGCTGTCTGCGCTTTGACCTTTTCCTCGGCCAGTTTAAGTAGCATCTGTGTGACCCCCTTGACGAGGGTGTTTCGAGTCGCGACATGCACAAGCACCCTCATGATTCGAAGCAACAGTTCCTCCTCATGTGATGTATACAGATGACCAGTGAGCAAAAAGCTGGCGGAGAAAATCCCAGGCTGAGGAGTAAGCAGGGTGAAGAACTTTGTCCCAAATCGCTCTTCGAAGCGAGCCATGACATCCGCGTACAATTTAACGATCGACAAGCACTTTGCCACAATCTGGCCTCTTTTATCCTGTTCAGGCAACAGTGTGGCTGCTGATTGTTGAGTAGGCTCGTTTTCCTGTTGAGTCTCGAGAGGGTCAGCTTCAGCAGCTGACGATGTTGATTCCGTGGGCACGGGCATCGCTTGACTCCATAGAGATAGCCGAATAAAATAGAGAGTGGTGCTGTAAAAGATCGTCAGTGATATGTTCTGGACGTTGCTCAGGCGCTTTGGGTGGTGTCTTACTGCAAATCGACCGTTGCAGGTGTCACAATAAAGGAGTCCTGGTCGAATCTGTGCTCTGCAGGGAGCAAGGCATACCAGTCAACGATACGATCATCAACGGCTTGAACAGCATCAATCTTTTCGACCGGTGTCAGCGTCGGAAACGTGATCTGAAGCAGGCGAATAGTCTCTTCCATGAAACCATAAACATCGAGGAGGCTCTCATAGAGGGCATGTTGTCTCAACGGGATCGGTTCTCGATTTAGCGGGTATGATGACCATTCAGTCACAAGGGACGAATATTTTTCGTCTGCATACGGTCGTTCGACTGAAGGTTTGCCCCAGGTATAGCCCAGGCCAAATCCCATGCTGAAACCGCTGAGTGTACGTCAGCATCAGCCACAATACCCGCGAAGATCGTCACTCACCAATGATAAACATAGGCGCCCCACTCAGTGATGCGCAATGATCTTTGAAGGTCGAGCTCAGCTGATGAGATAGGATCGCGCATGCCATGTAACTCGTGTACCTGGCGAACAAGGTCTTGGAGTCCCCGCAGTGCCGGGTCTATGGCTTTGTCCTTGCCTGCGAGGCTTACGCTGAGGACGGCTTAGCCACATGTGACTCAGAGAGAGACTGGAGCCAACTCACACTAGCATCATAATACTAGAGCCTTGAACATTGGTAAGACTCACACGGTCCTGTTCAGCTTTGTAGAGACGATCGGCTTCCTCGTAGAAGTGTAAACCTCGTGTGGCCTGATCACCGGGTACGGCGAGAGCGGCAGGATGGTCTGTAAAGAACTCGAGGAGCATCAGCAGGAGTCATATTGTGAGGTCAAGACGCAGCTTACACAACCCATCGCAAGTACTGCATTGACCAGAAAGGGGGAACAGTAGAGGGAGTCGACATCCTTAGCCTGGCATGCGTTGATGAACAGGTGCCAGTCAAAGTTATGATAATAATAGTGGTACCAATTCAAATATGCTGACATCAAGTTTGAGACAAAGCCGTCGTCAGAAGTGACAGTGGTCCACGGGGCAGCAGGCACTTGAACAGTTGGGTTGTCAATCAGGTCATTGATGGCGAGTACCTTCCGGAAGCTCGTGCCGGCCGGGGGTGGTGCAGGACTTGCTGATAGGGATCTTCTGACCTCATCAGCCAGTTCACCTGGATGAGCATTTATGAATGCCAAGATGTCTTCAAGGGATGCATCCTCTCTGATCAGGTCGACGAGCTCGTGAGCCTCGGTCTTTGTGGAAGTACGGATCTTGGACAGCAACCTCCCCAGGGCATTGCTCTGGTACTCGAGGTCCTCTAATCGCCGTTTGCGAGCATCCTTTCGCCGGCCATCGCTGGAAGGATTGTAAGTGCACTCTCTCTGGTTGTTGCGGCAGTTGGAGCAAGGGCTGAGTTGGTCACACTAAATTAGAGGGCTTGGTCAGTGGTCTGTGCAAAAAACTGGAGTGAGTCGCTCTCATTGTAGCAGGCCAGCATTTAAACTACTCAACAGAAGCATATGGAACGCCGGTCCACTGCGCTGGGGGGAACAGTGGGTGGTGAGAGGGAGCATAGAGATTTGAGATCAGCACCTTTCTTTTTGCTAGCCTGCACTGGTCACACGCAACTGAGAAAGTTAGATTGAGACTTCAATACAAGATGAGCCAGGGCCATACCGGACGCATTCTTCTTGGTGTGTCCAGCCCTTGGGGCTGGCTGCTCATCAGCGCGAGCAGCGGAGCGAGACTCTGAAGCCGAGTCTGATGCACTATCAGGCCCACGACTCGAAGGCGCGAGAGGCAAAAGCGTCTTCGGCATGAAGGATGGATCCGCGCAGCACAGGCAGTGTCGAAGACTATGGTGGAAACATGGTGATGAGACAGGCTACGTGGTCGAACAGAGTTCGACAGGCGCTCATATATTTATTCCATAAAGGACGGCAGGTTCGTGTGGAGTCTGTACATCTCAGGTCCCTAGTTCCTTCCCTCGCTGATGCGCCAAGGCGGTTGTGCACATGGCAATGAAGAAACGGAAGCCGCCGCCCCCGTCACGTGGAGATGCACCATTAAGGCTACCAAGGAAAGGAACGAGGTTACAGAGCGTCTCAATACTGCCTCTTTTGCTTCCTATTAATGAACGGGAATGATCTTTCCGTAAGTCTAGACAGTTGGCTGTCAAGCTAGAAGCCAGAAGGAATTGTTTGCCGTATCGACTAGGGATAAGGCACGGCGCATGGCATGCATGGATCTGGACCGTTTTGTACAGGGATTGAATGCAACCAGTGCAGCAACCTTCTAGATTCGGCATGCGGGCATTAGGGCCGAACGGAGCTATATTTCCACCCATCCGCGCCACGTCAGCGCATCTCAGCGCATCTCCGCGCACCATCAGACCTCTTCCAGACCACCTCCAGACCACCTCCAGACCTGTGCTACCTCTACCACCTCTAACCCCCAAGTACCTTGTCACATGCTGAGTCGTATCAGCCCTTCGACCCATTTCCTGGCATCAACTCCAACTCCCTGTCCAACACCTTTGGCAGTAGTACTGTCACCACCAGTCGCAACGCTGCTTGCTAATCCACTAACCTCACGGCTGCGCGGCTGCTCCCGCAGTAACCATCTTCCACTCGAGCTCGTATTCCTTGATTCATTTCGAGTGCCGGATGCATCCCTGCCAGACTGGTACTCTTGCAGAGCTCGCCTGACAAGGTATGCTTCTTTCGGAACCTTCCCCGTGATCGCTGCCTGGGCATCATCGTAATCCTGCGGTTCGACTCGCATCCAGACCACCCACCAACCACGCGATGTTTTCACACTTCTCTCCTTTTCGTCTGGCTTGGGCTGAGCATGCCAATACTCCACCCTTGGCTCACGAGTTACAGCCCATAGGTTCATCAAGTGTGAGTGCACACTCAACGCTTCTATCCGAGTCCACGCGCTCTTGACAAGGCCACCAGCGCCCGTTGGAGAGGCTGTGCCAGAAGCAGGGTTCGACCCAAACGGAATTCCAAGTGTATACCATGACCCCGACACCGTCACTGGACGAAGTCGATGTGATTGATGCAGACCTTCTGCAGCAAGGCTTCCCGGAACGGGAATATTAGGTACAGACGTTCTGATAGTCAGCTTCTCAGGGTCGAATATGAAGTCGTAGAGTTCTGGGGCTTCGCGTGCAGCTCCCCTAGCTGGCTCGGTATCACTCTCAACCGATACCGAGAGTGACCCTGGGTCTAGAGCCTCTTTCACTCGTTGTCGCCACCTGTTAACGTCTGTACTCCGGAGAAGGCTCTTCTGGAGAGGTCCAAGAGTGTGGTGGATTTTGCGATAGAATGCTGGCAACCCCAGACTTGTCGTGTGGAGACGAAACAGGAAAACAAAGATAAAAGGCTGATGTGCATAAACCACAACCTGAACTGTTTGATGTGAGATGATAGGATGACTTCCATCGACTGAGGATGCTGCGCTAGTCTTTGCGCCGTGCCTCGCGAGCGCTTCAAGCGTCTGTGGCGTTGCGGCTGTCTTGTCCCCTGCCACACCACTAGATGCCGATGGGTGTGACATTTCAACCGTGAGCGTGCGAAGGAATATCCGCCGGGAGCTATCCGAAATAGTTGCCGTTGCGCGTTTCTGACCTGCATGGCGTTCTGAACCATCGTCTGGGCCCTTGTCCAGCTCGTCTTCAAATTCGACGCCTTCAAGATCTCCTGATAACCCTATCAGGAATCTACCGATTGACTCTTCCATTCGTTGTACCAAATGCTCTTCAGATCCCTCATCGACATCGCCGAGTGCATTATCTCCGCTCTGCTGGGCTCCCTCGACCAGGCTAGCTCCAGCGGCAGTAGATTCTTCCTGCTTGGAAATGATCTTGCTCTCATGTTGCTTAATTGGATCATCCGATGCAAACCCCTTTGGGTTCAATGTCCAACTTGATCCATAACCCAAGCTAATATATTTCATCATCGTCTCCGGTGCAATCAATGAGCCTTGTTGTACAGAATTGTTGGAACCAGTTGTTGAAGGATCTTTCTGATCCTCTGCAGCTGCATTTGGTTCAGGCTGCTTTGCAGCCCCCGTGCGCCCTGTGTCTGTAGACGTGTCTACTGTGGCAACAAGTGGTGGGGGAATACCTGGCGGAGTAGGTTTATGCTCAGAAGTCTTTCGTCCAGGGTCGGGTCGACGACGCTGTTCTTCGCGAGTGCGTCGTGATGCAGATTTGGCCTTTCTCCTCCTTCGAGGGCCTCTAGGTCTCGAAGCAGGGTTCTCTCCCACGCCATACGCTGCTTCGCCATGGACAAAGATGTTCTCAATCCATTGTGAAATCGTAATGACGGACCGTTTCAAAATCCCATCAATGCCGGAGAATATTATACCGTCCTGTGCTCTTGAGCTTTCGCCTTGCCCCAGCCAGACATCACGGTCTTTGCCTGTCCTGCTGGTTGCTTTGTGGTCACCGGCGACATCGGCCTGTTCGGTAGGTCGAGGTGGCGGAGCGTCACCATAACGGCCAACAATCAGGTCGACCAGACCTTCAGTCCTTCCAGCAAAGTCCTCCAGGACTTCTCTCTCTCCACTTCCCCATTCCTCCTCGCCGACTCCAATTCCCAGCTCGCCGGCACCCGCAAGCTTGAGTCCATCATATAGTTCGACTGCGGGATTTCCATGTAAAAGGACATGCCAACTTCTGCAGAACTGTGTCCAATACCGGTTTAGAAGGCCGCAAAAAATTGTCTTGTTCTCAATTTTCTTCCACAACTCTGACAGACTTGGACCATGATGTAATAAGAATCCTCGGTGTGCTTGAATCAACTGGCTGAGAAGTAACTGCGCCGGGGCAACCTCTCGAGAGGAATACTCGGCGACCGGATCGGCAGCCACCTTTGTATGTGCTCGCCCTTTGTTCACATTCGTTGTCGTTCTCGAGGAGGAGGTGGAGGACGTGGGAGGTAGTTTGGTCAGGTTGATAGTGGCCAGGATCCACCATGACGGCTCAACTTCTTTCAATACGACTCGTGACTTTTCAGTCTCGATGGATTCGAGGGGGACTCCATTGGAGAAGTTTCTAGGCCAAAGCATGAGACAAGTTCTATACAAGGAGTCTGCCCTTCCAGTCCAAGTTGTGGAAAAGGAGGACAGGCCAAGACTGGAAATCTTGCATGAGGAGGGCCTACCTACTTTACAAAGTCGACCATGCCTTGCGCCAGACCAACTTGGCGAAGACGCTTGTTCTGTTCTGCATCTTCTTGATCCTCGACTTGTCCTTTGACTACAGAGTCTCCAAGTCTGGCTGCATTTTGATCTTCGCCCGTTTTGCGATTGCCCTTCTCCGCCCGGTCCTTCTCGGAATTCTCTTCATCTTTGGCCGAATAATAATACAATATCTGTTCGCCAGTGATTTCGTCGCGTGGGCCTAGGGTAGGATTGAAAATGGCTAGGGAGGATAGGCAGGCTGGAATGACGCGCCGGTCATGATTGAACGGTGCAGACATCAAGTCGACTGTCTTGGAGATCTGAGACAGGAGGTTCGAAGCCGCATCACAGCCGTGGAGCCTCACAGCAGAGGTTATGCGGCCGCCGTACTGCGGGATTCCATCGTACCCTTAGTGTCATGGTAGGGTGTTGATCTTTATTTTGCGTGTCACGTCTGGGTCAGTCGGCGATAAATACCGACGTCACAATCGGATCCGCCTTATCGAGATTTGGACCTGGGAATGTCCACGTGACAATTCTGTATCTGAGACTAGCTTCTTGGCAAAACAGACAAGCACGTGCTGCGCCGCGTGTACTAACATATCTGGACTCAGGCCCCTCCTGAGTCCAGATAGAATTTCAAGGGCATGCACCTGGGGAAGGATGCGTCACGACGAGGGAAAAATCACTAGCATAGTCGTTGCAAAGAAAACCATTCGAGTTCACCGGGGACGGATGCTGTGGAATTGAGACTGCGTCTGGATCTTTGAGCAGTGATAAGGCTTGCCGACATAGACAGAGAGGGGGGGTAAGGGAGGTGAAGGGCACAAACGCGCATCTAGGAACAATGAACAACATCTTAACCGAAACTCCAAATTTGGATGATGATGGACGCCGTGGATGGATCGCCGATTTCAATGACTTGACATATCTGTCTCAACTGTGGCACCTCTGGGTGCTAAAGTTCCATCCTCAGCTGTGCGCATTCGTAGCCCGTTGCAAAAATCTGTATGACTTGCCCTCAACCTTTCACTCCAGCTTTCGACGACAAGCAAAGAAAAACTAATGTATCAGTGCGAAGGATGCACCATGAGTTTGCCACCAAACCGGACCGATGTCTGAAGGAAGCACTGGAAAGGGTCGAGAGTCTTGATCCGAGTGGTATGTGAATCCGTCAGGTATTATCCTGGTATCTCCCTGGCGGTTTGATGGGTTCATTGGAGGCTGGCCCAAAGAGGGATGACTCGTTTACAGAATCATGCACTTCTTCGAGCGGCTACCACTCTTGCGAGTCAATAGGGCGGCACGTGTAGCAGATTCGAAGACTTCGCGAACGCCTTGGTTGGTCTTTGCTGAGCACTCGAGGTACTTGTAGGCGCCAATCTTCTTGCGAACCTCTTCGCCCTACACACCGGAAGTCAGTATCCTGCAACTGGAGACAAGGTTCTGAGCGATGATCTGCATAACGCACCTGTTCGGGAGTCACGGGCTTCTGGGAAGTCTTGGCCAATTCCTCAATTGTCTTGGGATCGTGTCGAAGATCGTTCTTGCACCCAACAAGGATGATAGGAAGGCTCTGGCAGAAGTGCAGGACTTCGGAAATCCACTTTTGGCCGACGTCAGTGGCTGTTTGGTAGTACGACTGAGAACAAACATTACCTTCTCTTGGACGTTGTCAAGCGAGTCAGGTGAATCGATAGCGAAGCAGATCAAAATGACATGAGAATCAGGGTAGGATAAAGGTCGAAGACGATCGTAATCTTCTTGACCAGCCGTATCCCATAGAGCCAATTCGACATGCTTTCCATCGACCTCAACATCGGCCACGTAGTTCTCGAAGACAGTGGGGACGTAGACCTGTTGTACTCATGTATCAGTATCTCTTGAAGATGATTGGATGGACGGTTGGATGGGATCGGCTGCGTGAGAGGGAAGCACCCGGGGGACGGAGATGGCGTACCTCAGGGAATGTTCCCTTGGAGAAGACACTGTAAAACGAATTAGTCAGGACTGAGGACGGCATGAATGGGATGTGTGATGAGGAGGACTTACATCAAAAGACAGGTCTTTCCACAGGCACCATCACCGACGATGACGAGCTTGCGACGAATCTCAGCCATGTTGGCCGCGGCGTATGTTGTCAGATTTGAGAAAGGGGAAACGGCAATAAGGAAGGGCTCGCGGAGGCAGCGAGGCAGCAAGATGGACAGTTGATGAATGTAGGAAAGTGCACGCGTTGATGGCTGCGCGGTGATGAAGAAACAGTGGGAGGAGGATGGATTGGGCAAGAAATGATGGTGTTGGTGGTAGAGAGCAGAGGTTGAGAGGTGATTGTCAGGAAGCACCTTTTCGGGGTAGACTAGTGTCAATGTGGCTAAGACACTGCCACAGAGGATGAGGAAGACTGTGGTGGACAACCAACTGCGGGAGGATCACTTGGGTGGGCGGTGGGAGAGTTTGGCGAGTTGTTAAGCCGTTGGGATGACTGTCACTGCTTGCAAGGCAGGCACGGCAGGGTTTACGCAGGTGCAGTGCAGTGCAGTCAGTGAAGTACAGTGCTGTGCTGTGCTGTACGTGACTCTAATGACTCTACGGTTACCAGAGCGCCGAGAATGAGTGGCCAGGAACGGCCAACAGGGCCGAGGGGGGACCTGATAACAATGCCCAAGTCAAACGCCCAAGCCCAAACCCAAGCACACCGAAGTGCATTCCCGTTCCCCATGCACACCACAGTCAATGCACACCAGTGGGATTTCAGCCCAGATTCAATGCTGCTCTACTACACGCTGGTCATCTACTCTTTAGCTACGGTAATAAAATGCAAACCGACTTCAATGACAAGTGACATTTTGTGCTCAGTCCATGGCTCTGTAAATCAGCTCCCTTGTGTTAAATCATCAAGATAAGGTAAAGTTCGGCACAGCGCTGACACATGGGTTGAAGGAGACATGCGACACCCCCGACAGCAGCCGCCTGGGGGCCCGTCGGGCCAAGTGTGCTCTAAAACTGGGAACTATCCCCGTATCTCAGTTGAAGACATTGGCCTGGTTTGATATAATCAAATCGTCCTGCTTGTTCGACCATGTCACCTTTGTCGTGTATTTACAGGGGTTCTGGGTTCATCAACTCATGGAATAGATGGAAAGATCAGTAAATTGAACAAACATCAAAGACAATGACCTCGCCTATCTTCTGTTGGTTGTAGAGTACGTACTATGGGACAAAGTCTTTTTATCATTAGAGAAACATCCATGGGCCTCAGGCTCCACGGCGGGCAGTCGTCAGGGCACAATATGAAACCTGCTCCACATGCTCTGCGCTGGCCGTGCCAGCCTTGCAACCCCAGCTACAATCGCACGGCATTATGCGCTCGGTTACCCCCTTCGCCCTCCTCAGGCCGCTGAGATAGTCCCCACACATATGATCTCTCTACTTAGGCGGTATATCGGTTGCCTAGGAGGCTAGACAGAGTCATACCAAAAGCCCCAGGCGACCTCTCGGCCTAACACAGGTCGCGTCCATCAAACCCCCCTCGGGCAGCCCTAGACCCAATTATCCTCCCTCCGCGTTGCTGTTGATTACGCGACGGGCAACAATTCCTCCATCCATTCTAACAAGTTGAAGCGGATGTCGGCCTTATTAGAGTCGCACGGGGCTGTTGCCTAGGGATGCATCCCCCAAAACACTAAATTGACATTGTGCACTCCTGTTACAGGACAAATCTTTCTACTCAGCTTTCTTACAGGGACCATCCTACAGTGGTTGGGGACTGCTCCAATCGCTTCTCGTACAGGTAACAGTAACTGAGTACACATGATGACTCACTCTCAAAGTGTAAGCACTCTCTCTCGGCCGGATTCTCTCCCAGCAAGAGCTATGGCCGAGATGACGCATGATTTTGAACAGCCTAGCAAGCGTATTAGTGCTTCCGTGCTCGTACAGGGGGTTTCTAGAGCAAGACTTCGTATAGCTGAAAGCCAGAACTGTCTATTCAAGGACTTAGACAGATCAGTACAGCCAATCTTATCTTTCAAAATTCACTTACGGTGGCCGTTGCCTTTTTTAAGGGATGAAATCATGATATAGAAACCTTTATGCTATACTTGTCCATACAACTCTTCCAGAGCAGAGTACGGAATCATCGACTAGTCGTAGTCTTCTCAATAACAAGAACGAACACGATACAGATTCAGCCTTCAAATCTCGACTTCTCAATAATCGCATGCGTATTCATAGCGATAGATATATCTGTAGATTCTGATCAATCGATCGACCAAAGCCATGGCGTATAAATGATATCCACATTTTCATCTGACACATTGTCGTCATTAACTTTCGTTATGCATCCCATCGAGCTCGTCTGACCGGCAGACAAACCCTCGGAGCTTCTTTGTATCGCTCTCAAGGCAATTCATATCTCATTTGATGCGGCATCTCCACGGGCATTGAGTCAGAGTAGTTTTGCGGTCTAGACCCGCCAGGTTGAGGGTTGTTTCCGGCCAATTCGACAGGGGCACGCCAGTCTCTCTGAGCCTGGTTCATTGGCGCGGGATCGACCGGTCGTCGACGTTCGACACTTCTTTCACGTCGCCAACTTCGATCTTTGCGCCTTTGGCCGGGAGGTTTTCCATACGCAAGGTCTTCGTCATAAGAGTCCGAGGACGAACTGTCCGTGTCATAGCGACGATACGGCCGTGGTGATGATGCACGTCGTTCTCGGCGGAGACCAGAAGGAGTAGGACCATATGGTTCACGAGTGCTTGCGATTGGGACACTTCCTGCCCGTGGCATGTCGGGCGGGAGCATGTCCGATTGCCATTTCCCCGTCTTTGTATCGTAGTACATTGTCGGTCGGTGTGGGAGATTTCCAGGAGCAGGAGGCGGCTGGCTCTGGGCGACGGGAGCTGATGGAGGCCGTTGCTGGAACTGCTGCTGCTGCTGTTGCGGTTGTTGCTGCGGCGGGCGTTGTTGGAGACGAGGGTCTTGAGGATACTCGCTCGCAAGATACAAAGGCCTTGGTCCAGGTGGTTGAGACCAAGACTGGGGATGTGGAGGTCCTTGAGAAGATGGCATCTGTTGATTTGGGAGAGGAAGTGGAGGTGGTCGTTGCGGTTGATTCATCCATGGTCCGGGAGGGGGAGCCTGCTGCCCGGGGCCATAGATCTGCTGAGGCGGCGCACTACTTGGGCGTGGAGGTCCTAAGTTGGGAGGTGCGAGCCCAGGTTGTGACGGGCGATGAGGTCGAGGACGCGAGTCCGAATCTCGACGGTGATGTGAATGAGAATGCGAACCAGTTCTTCGCCGACGTTGTTCTCTCAATGCCCTGGCCTTTTCCTCATCCTTACCAAGCTCATGCAGCACGTAGCCAGCTGCAACAATCTCCAAACCACCAAAAATGACCATGTCTTCTGCTAAAGCGCAATTTCACGCTGTTCCTGACGCTGGGTATGCTTGGAAATAATCAAGGAGGTTGAGTTTGTCAAATCGACAATAAAGACGAGGCTGGGCTGACATGAGGATGAGTCCTCAGTACGTACAGACGCGGGGGGCGTAGGCGCCTAAATTTGGAAGCACAAACTCTCTGATCTTCAGCTTCTCGTTGCCACGCGTAACTTGACAGGATGAGTAACATCAAGGTTCGGCAAGTCCGGCATGGCACCCCTCGGCTCCAAGCGCGCGAATCTCTCAGCTTATGTCATACCAGCAAGATGGTAATGTTGGCTTCGGTTTTATCTACCAAGGCTACGTCGATCTACAGGCAAAAATTCTTGTACGGTAGCTACTAGCGAAGTGCTCGTTCCCGATGCGAACATATAATTCTAATTGTCCAGCGTCCAGCATGAGATATATCGCGGCAGTTCTTTTTTCATTTCCGTATATAAAATGGCTCTGTACAAAGATGTGGACTAGATATTACATCTCGTAGATCTAGATGTTCCTCCACGAACATGTGTATCAGCTTTTCAAACCCTCTGTCAAAGCCCTAATCAAAGGCGTCACATCTAATAGACATCTCTTCGTCAAAAGCGAGAGCAGAAAAGCTCAACGGCGTCAAGACAAAGGCCATCCAGGTAAACCCTTTCCTGGACCAATCCCTGATACCGCTCTGTCAAGAAACGCTGCCAAGTCTGAAGAAACCATGATTCGAGATGCAGGTCAGTGAGCCTTCTTACTTCTTTTTAGCAGCATCGATCTCCGCCAACCCCTCCTTGAGGGCGGTCAGCGCCTTGTCGATCTCCCCCCGTGCCTCATCTGTCGACGTGATTCCCATGTGACCAAAGCGAATGTACCTTGACGCAATCTCCTTGTGCAAGCCACCAGCAAAGATGACTCCTCTGGACATCAGCTTGGGCAGAATCTCAGGTGGGGTCAGGCCCTCGGGTAAATAAATGGCCGTCATGGTGTTGGCAGCATTGGCGGGGTCGGTGGGCAGTTGCTTCAAGCCCATCTTGGTAACCTCTGACTTGACATACTGGCTGATCTTTTGATGCTGGGCAAAGCGTTCGGAGATGGGCCGAGCAAGGACCTGTTTGAGCGACGTATGCAGAGCCTGAACTAACTGAGTGGGTGGAGTAGCAAAGTAGCTGGGTTTCTTTGCTTCATAGTTTTGCAGAATAGGGACCCAGTTTTTGAAGCTTGCATAGTATGACCCGGGGGGCGACTTCCGCGTGTTGAAGACATTCATGGCTTTCTCCGAGACCATGGTGATGGACAGACCGGGAGGGACACCGATCGCCTTTTGAGAGGCGGTCAATGCAACATCAACTCCCCAGTTGTCGAATTCGAGCTCTTCACCACCCACCGAGCACACACCATCAACGATCAGGAGAGTGTCGGGAGAGACGCGTTTGATGAGCTCGCCGAGAGGCTTGATTGCTGACAAGACACCGGTCGAAGTGTCCACGTGGGTCACCGTCAACACCTTGTACTTCTTTTCCTTTAGGGCAGCTTCGATCTCGGGTAATTGAGGGCGCTCGCCAATGGGGGCCTTGATCTGAGTCGGCTTGCCTCCGTAGGTTGAAATGCAGTCTGCAAAGGAATCGGCAAAATAGCCGGAGTGTAGGACCAGAGCGTCTTCGCCAGGCTCGATCAGATTGGCGGCAACAAGATCCCATCCTAATGTACCACTGCCTGCAATCACCAAAGGCTGCGACTTGGGATTCTTGGTCTGGAAAAGGTCCCGCAGAAGAGTGAGAGTCTCGCCAAAGGTGTTGACGAACGGCTGGCCGACGTGGGACTGGGCATAATGGGACATGGACCGGGCGACCTCATCGGTGATCTCGATGGGACCCGGGATGAGGAGAGACGGGTGCGGCTCCTGTGAAGACATTCTGGCGGCTGAAGAGGTGGACAGCTGTCGGGTCTGAGTGTGGGTAGGTGATCGATGGAGGGGAGTATAGGTTGGAGGGGCAGGTGGAGTATATGGTAGGTCGTCGTCGGAGGCCGGAAGCGAGGCTCGTTCTGTGGTATAAGGTGTGTTGATGGGAGGGTATGAGGATGGGTGAATTGTATCGAAATGTCTTGAAATGAGACTAAGGCGGGCAGTGGCCGTTGCTTTTGAAGCTGTCGAATACTGACGATTGGGAGCCAGGATTGCGATTGTGGGGGAGGGGCTTTGGGGGTCGAAAAAGGTGTTGTTTGGTCCTAATGGCCGTGTAGCGGCGTTGTGAGTGGTGGAAAATGAGAGGTGGTGCCGATGCAGAACCGGAAGTGAGGGGAGTGAAGTGCGAGAAAAACACAGAGAAGTCCGCGATAGCAGTGGAGAAATTGACCACGGTGACGACCTAGAATTTGATGCTAGGGACTTGCGTAAAGTTGGACAGAGTATGATAGTACTTGCTGTAGATGTCATGATTATCAAACGGTACCAGGAGACAGGAAATAGCGAAAATATTTTAATAGGAGTCGGACTGATGAGAATCGTGAAAAGATCCTGGCCCGTGACTTTGCAGCAGTTGATTCCGGCGGGTGTCCCCAGAGTAGATTGGTTCGCCTCCCGGTGGCTTCAAACGATTAATTTCAATAATAATAATTGGATGTGGTCCACCAACATCGATCAGTGCGTGTGACGCGATAAAATGCAGCTTGGGAATAATAATAATGAAGCTGGATTCGATGTGTACTACTGTCCAGTCCGACCTCACCACGTTCACGACTTGAAGTCAAGGGGGGACATTTTTATGGCAGAACTTCAGCTAAAGGACGCGGACAAGTCGGCGCAAAGAAGGAGTTCGTCGCGTTCCTTGGGGGTTTGTGTGGGAGGACTAGCCACGGGACTGCAGGTACGCTGAGGTTCCAGAGTCGGCCTAGGCACCTAGCATTGGCAATCAACGAACCACAACTGGGCGTGCTGGGACAACTCCAGAGTGGTCGGGTAAACAAATATGCGGGGCCCGGATTAACCCCAACTTCCGACCACCATTTGAGAGTGAGAGGGGCAGTTTCAGCCTGACGCCACGTGACATCCAGTGTCTTTCCACCCTTCCAACCACTTACATATATCAATGCATTGGACTTTCCATATCTTGAATCAAGCAATGGTTCTTCTATAGTATCGACTTGATCACGAAGTCGAAGAAGATCAAGAGAACTGCAAGGACCTGTGGGAGTATGGTACCTTGCGCTGGACCTCGAGATCTCCTTGAACGGCACACCAAATCGCCATCACGTCCGTGTTCCCAGCATGGAATCATGTCATCTTAGACTTGAGAGCAGTTTTGACATGCACTCCCAGGGGCTACACCTTGGACTTCCTCTTGGCATCTTGAGCAGCTTTCTTCCGTATTTCCACCAAGGCTGGGAACAGGCCAGGTCCCTCGCTGGTCAGGCTCTTGCGCCAATCAATTTGACCCTCGCATTTGTCCATGGCTCTCCTATACCCTTCCCTCTTCTCGATCCTGCCTAGCCAATCCAGGATGGCCGGGTAGGGCCTCAGATCCACTGGAGTCCATTGGCGCATGTTCGTGACACACCACACCGTCATGACGTCGGCTGCGGTAAATTCATCACCCGCCAGGTACGCTTTCGTTGCTGTGAGACGGTTGTTCATGTTTTGAAGTGCCTTGTCAATGCCTGCTGCCACGGATGCGTTGGCCGGGTGGGAGCCAGTAGGGTCGAACATGCTAGCTGCGACTTTGCGGCCCATGGCCGATTGAAGAGTGCCATTAGCGAAATGGAGCCAGAATAAGTACTGCACGTAGTCCTCATGGTCACTCGGCAGTGTGAGTTTCTTGGATGGATTGTGGACTGTTAAGAGGTACTCTGCAATCGCATTGCTTTCGGTGATGTTGAACTCTTTGCCGGACGGGGTCGTTGAAGTAAGCACTGGAGCCGAACCTTGGTGTGTAAGCGCGCGAAGATCTGGAGGCGAGAGGACAGGTGCGCGAGTGTAGAGCTTGAGTTGATAGTCTAACCCGAGTTCTTCTGCGAGAAAAACTATGCGCTCCGATTGAGAGATGTGAAGGTGGTGAATAGTCACTGGTTTAGTAGACATTTTTGGGCCTGATTCGAGGGGTCGAAGATGGTGTGTATTGTATCCAAAACAACCTTACAAAGTGAAGCACAAGATGGTATACCCTAAAGTCTCAGATAGACGCACTTCTTCTAGAATCAGTTCTTCGTAGCATTTCGACGGCCCAGCTCGAGTTCTGGCCGAGGTTAGTCTTTCTCGACGTCATTAGGTACCTAGGTACTTGTTCGTTCGCTGATGCCTTCGGCGGTACCTGGCGGGACAGGGACCCCGGTCAGTTGCACCTGAATTCGATAGTTATTGTCTCCCATGTGAGAATAGCGAGATTTGTGAATTCGAGCAGGAAGAAGTAGTTGCAGAGCATGAAGAGGAGCACCGTTCATCAGGGCAACGACGGATCTCGACATGTGCTCTGCAAGAACAGACCACACGCCCAAACGTCCAAACGTCACGTGGGAAGCCCTAGGATCGGCATAGTTGCCGCGTGGGATGATAGACAGGAGCAGAGCAAGAGTTTGAGAGTTTCATAGGCGCAACACTTCCCATATTTGACTAGTATCATGATAGATGTGTATTGCCATCATCTTCACCTCTCGCAATTGAGAGGAACATAAGACTCGAATGTATGTCACCGGTGTTGGATATGGATCCACTCCAGACCCTATAATTCTCTTGGATGGAAATCAGAAGCACATGGTGGATACATATGTGATATGTATGCGTAGTATTCCCTACCTCACATCAATGCACTGGCACTGCCATGATCTGCAATTCGGCCTCGACATCTGTCTCGCCATTTGTTGATTCCTCGACTCGAGCCTTCGCAAAATGATGTCAACAGTGCCTCGTTTGACGCGAATCGAGACGCAGTGGCGGTGAGATCAAGGTTGTCAGGATGCATCTTGGGGGTGTGTGCGGAACATTGACAATTGCGAACCACACTCAAGACTTCTTCTATAGGCCGCACAGACTATCTGGGCCAACCGTGGACTGATTGGCGCAACGCTAGGTCCGCAGACAGACCGGCATGAAGCGGACGCAAAGGCACGTCATCCTTGCAAGCATTGGGAGTGGATTGTGGCCAAAACATCATACCATCTATGGCACATGACCTCCTCATCTTTGAATTTTGTCGCAAACATCTCGATGAAACTCAGTTCCAAGTGTCTAGCGCGGTTGCGATCCTGTTTGCCAGGCGATTGCGCGACTTTCCTAGGTGCGGGGTGGACCGTCCATGGGCGCCTCCATTGCTAGGCATAACCGCCCAAGATATATTTGTTGGTCATAATAAGTCCCGAACTTGCATCAGCGTCTGCTGACTTGCAAGCAAGCCAGGTTAATAAGTGGATTTTCAGGCATGACAAGCCCCGTAGCCCCTCAGCCTCAGCCTCGACGTCCTCAGCCGTTTGCCTGAAGCCATGACCGACCGTCAGAAATCCTGCGTGACCAAAGCTGACCACCAACCACTGGCCACTTGATCGTATTCATTGAAAGCATCAGAATGTCCCACGGCTGGGCCATCAGACTGTGAAAAACAAAAACTGGGCGCATCTGCCTTGGGGGCTAACGGAGACTGTTAACCATCCCGATACAGTAATAGTAGTCGTGCTCGTGAGTAGGTGGAACAGTACCTATATCGCCAGAAAGTCTGCTCAAAGGGTTAATAATGCAGTCGCTTGATAACAGTAAGAAAATAGGAAGCGTTAATGCACTGCGACAAAGATAAAACCGTCCGAGGCTGAAGTAGATCTGCAGAGGCTGATCAAGGCCAGTGATCAGACGGTCGTTTACCACTCTTGGATAGATTTGCCCACCTCGGTTGCTTGGAGACATGAAGATGATTTCGGAGTCACTTCCGCTTGCCACTACGAGTTTCCACTGGATTCTGAATATTCAATAGGCTCTACAGTGTTCTTTGAGGATCGTTGGGTGAAAAAAAAAGTCCACCAACAATCGGTTGCCTTGGACCTTGGGCCCGTCGAGGCTTTGAACAAGGCAACTGTGGATCACTTAATTTGACTCTAGCGTGCCCTGCCAACGGTGCCCGGAGGAACCCATGGCTGGGGCTTTCCCAAGTCCAGTTAGGCGTTGGCGAGTTGTTCGTGTGGACACGAGACTTCTGGTGGACGCCTCTTTGACGCCATTATTGTTTAAGCCGGCCACTGTCTCTGAAATTTCATTGCAGTGCCTTGCGTCCCAGAACTGAAACAGGGACGCCTTCAAAAAGTCTATCAAAGGTCACAAATGTGTCGCTCAGAAAATTTTCACACGCCACATGCATCGAGACCCTCGAGCTGTCCCGAAATAATAGCATGATGCTTGACATTTGGATGGCATGGACTCATTGAGCATGTGAACCTGAACCGCGAGAGAGTTTGATGTTGACTAACGAGGCAGATCGGGGATTGGCAGGCTAGTGGCTAGTGCTCCGTAGCAGCAATACAAGCGGCATAAGCAGGCTGGCAGGCATGCCCTGCGGGCCTGATAGGTTCAAGGCGCTCGGGGGATCCTCCTGAATAGCGCGATTGAGGTTCTGCAGGCCCTCGGGCCTCCGCAGTAGGCGCTACTAAGCCCGTCTACTGGGTCCGTGTTAGGCTGTTTGTTTGCGACTGGAAGTTCCTGGGGTCCATGTCGTGCCTCCAGCGTTTGCCAATGGCACCAAACCTGCCCGATTCGCGCTGGATTCAAGATTCTCAAGATTTGCTCACCCTTGAATCCTGGATCCCTTGCGCGTGTGTGCCTCTGCAAATCTCGTTTCCCCTTCCATGCTAGAGTCGAGGTGATTCAGATTCGGCCCACTGCGCCCACCATCCACTGAAACCCTCTTATTCTGCCATTGCTGTCCTTCGTCAAACATCTTTTCCAATCTCTGCCTTCAGTCTTCTCTTCTCTTCAATCCAATCGATTCACACTTCATCCTTCTCCTTCGTCCTTTCAATCCTCTTCTCCCAATCAGGCATAACATACACTGCAGGTAATTCCACTCCCTCCTCAACCTTTGAACTTCCCCAACCTCCCTGACACAAAGCCTTGTGGTCATCCCTGCCTTTGTCAACAAACCCTCCATCCTTCCTTCTTCGCTTGATCTCCTTCTCAACCACATCTCATCCCACTCTCATTCATTTTCCGAGCATCTGCCTCTCTTGTTCCTTCTTGACGCTCCCTCTCTGCTTTCATTTTCTTACCAGCTTATACCGCAGATATCTGCATCACCTACCACCACCTAATTTCAACCACCTTCCACCACAATGTCTGTCGAGGCCAAACCCGTCGAAGAGACCCCGGCTGTCGAGCCTACAAAGGCCGTGCCGGAGCAGGAATCAGCAACTGCCGCAGCTCCTGCTGATCCCGCAGCCACGGAGCCCACGCCTACCGACGAATCCACCCCTGCTGAGGCAGAGGGCGAGACTGCCACTCCCGCTGCAGCTGATGCTGAAGAGGTCAAGGAAGACGAAGCGGTGGTAGAAGCTGTCCCTACCTCTGAGGGCGTTCTGGGTTACAAGGAGCCCCATTTCTTCAAGTAAGTTCTCCTGGTCGTACTCACATTGATTGCAAGCCCTGACCGTTGACCTTAGGAAATTTCTCTTCACCAAGCACTACTTCTGGGTTTCCGAGGAGCCTTCGTCACCAGAGTCTCTCGCTACGTTCCTTCGAACCGAGAAGGCTGAATCCAAGCACACCTCTGCAGCATGGGCACGAGAGACCGGCAAGGGTCTCCTCTTTTATGCCAAGAGAGCCGAGGATAAGGCAGCCCCAGCTGGTGTGATCAACCTGGTAAGAAAGGACCCTGGACAATGACAAATGCAACATGTTTTGACAATAGACAGTCGGATGCCTCAGTCATCACAAAAGAGGGTTTCCAACATTTCTCGTTCAAGGCTGGTGGTCAGCAGCATAGGTTCGAAGCAACCAACTCCAAGGAGCGTGATAGCTGGATTGTTGCCGTGGAAAAGGCCATTGAAGAAGCTAAGGCAATCAAGGAGGAGATCACTGGCAGTGAAAGCTACAAGAAGAACTTGGACGATTATTGTGAGTTTTCGGCTATCCCCGCCCATGATCGCCAGCTAATGCATCCTCAGCCAAGCCTGTAGTTGCCCCCACGCCAGTCGCTACCAAGACCTCGCGCTCCAAATCGAAGGAGCCCAAGAAGTCGCTGGATGTCTCCGCCGTCACGGCCGCTGCATCCACAGCCCCTGCCGACAAGCCTGTTGCGGATAATGCTAGCAGCTCTTCCGCCAGCACCAACGAAGCCACCAAGGCCGCAAAAAAGGAAAAGGAGCGATCCCAATCTCGAAAGCGGGGTAGCATCTTTGGTTCTCTTCTCGCAAAGAAGGAAGAAAAGGCTGAGGTCAAGAAGGAAGTGAAGGAAGAGAAGGCGGCCGAGGCCGAAGCGAAGAAGGAAGAGGCTGCAGCTACCGATGCGCCTACCACCACTGTTGACGCCGCAGAGTCTTCTGCTGCCGCGACCGCTGCCGCTGTTGGTGAGTTTGACTCGTCTTCACACGTGAGAATGAAATGCCCTAACGATGTAATTCTAGCACCCGCTGCCGCCGTCGCTGCTGTTGAACCCAAGGAGGACAGCGCAGCCGTCGCCACTCCTGCGACCGAGAAGAAGGCTAAGCGAGGCTCCGTCTTCGGTAGCATCTTCAAGAAAGGCGTGACCAGCCCGACAACCGAGAAGACTGAGAAGGAAGCCACAACCTCCGATATCCCCCCTGTTTCTGAGACGGCCCCAAAGCTCGATGAGCCCATTGAGAACAAGCCTATCGATACCGCCGCAGTGACTGCTCCAGCAGACAACGTCGAGACCCCAGCCCCTGTTCCTGCCACCACCGAGGCTGCCAAAGATGCCACCACACCTGCACCTACGGAGACCACACCAGCAAAGACTGAAAAGAAGAGCGGCATCTTTGGTTTCATCAAGAAGCCAGAGACCAAGCCAGAGACAAAGAAGGATGTCAAGGAAGAAGCCAAGGAGGAAGCTGCAGCTGAGACCATTGCGAAAGACCCTGTCGCTGCCGCTGCTCCAGTTGAACCTGCTGCCGAAGCTCCAGCGACCGATGCCGCTGCGGAGACAGCCACCCCCGCCAAGGAAGAACGCCCTGCCCGTGATCACACCCGCCGAACCTCTCTCTTCTTCAACAAGAACAAGAAAGAGACCACTAGCGACGGAGAAGGTGCAGCCGAAACCAAGCGTGAAAAGTCTCCCCTCCCAGGCAAATTCATCGGTAACCTTGTTCGCCGCGCTAGCAAAGCGGTGAAGAGTGACACTCCCAAGGATAAGCCTGCTACCGAGACCGCCGTCCCTGAACCCGTCAAAGAGTCTACTACCACCGAGCCAACAACTGAAGCCGCCGCCGCCGCCGCTGCTGCTGAACCTGAGACCAAGGCCGTAGAGGACCCTGTTCCCGAAGTCGTCACAGAAGCTGCTCCCGCTGAGCCAGCTGCGGTTACCACTGCCCCTGAGGTCAAGGCCACTGCCTGAAGGTCTAACGAGGCCAGAGGGGAAAGCCCACTCACATCTCTTCCGCATTCATCTCGACTGTCTAGAGCGGCCAGTCCGGTCGAGTTCGAGAAGTGGTGGGACGAGGATACTCGGGTCACTCCTTCAATCCCCCCTCGCAGCCCTTCTCGTCTCTCTGGCCTCGTCACTTGATGACAGCTTGATGATGCACACTACCCATCAGTCACTCGTTCCAAGAGATACCCAGGTCTCGCGCTTACCCACGGCAAACTCGGACAACATTCCTTTTGCTATGTTTCGTGTTTTTTTGCTTTGTTTCGTCATTCAGGATACCCCACATCACTAGATTGAGATTGCCCCCCGTGGCAATAGTCAGTGTCCGATTGGAATTGGTCTTGCGTTTTGCAGTACAGATACCCCACTTAGGCAAAGTCTTGTCCTTACGAGAAAAGATACCCCCAGAGTTTCAGATCAGCACCTGGCCTATGTGCTGGATGGCTGGATGGATTTTCGATGACATGAGCACTCGGGAGGCTGCATGGTTTTGAATGAAACCAGCTTTCCCCTGTGCTGTGATGTGGAAGATTGGTCCTTTGCATTTTCGAATGCGGTCATTGCTACTTGGTCGGACATGTGATTTGAAATGTCGATATTTCATTGCTGAAAGGAAGGTGATAATGGAGAATGGCGAGCCCCAAGCTCAAGTCAACTGATGCAGATATTATTGTATCTCGATCTGGACTTGAAGGAGACGAAATCACAGTCTGAGTACTAGTGTCGTCTCGTCAGGCACTCGGTCTTCAGGAAGACGAGGGTGCCCGATTGTCAAGTAGCTAGGGTAGCACAGCTAATAACTAGATAATACTCATAAAAAGCCGTCCACCTTGCAAGGTTGGTTGGCAACTTGCATGTATTTCACCGCCTATGAACATTGGTGACTGAGGATCACAGTCCTGAATTCATCTCAATTCAGCTCTCCCCTCCCCCAGACTCTGACTGTTCCATCGCCTTTGATGTGATACAACCACTCTCCATCAGCCAAATCGCTCGGTTGATCCTCCGACTGGCCACCTCTACTGGCCCTGACGACCCCACTGACATCGTTAGCACTGCCGGTATCCAAGCCTCTCAGCTGTAAAACCCAATCACTCTGATGCGCCAGACTGGTGACGAGATGCGCATGGTCCGTCTCAAGGGGCGACATGGCGTTGTGCAGGAGGGGCGAGTCGGCTTGAGCCGTGACGATTGTAGCCAGTGACTGCAAACGGACTGCTGAAACAAGGGCGTTCAAGGACAATGGTGTCGTGGATGGTTGGGACGCGAGGACGAAGTCCAAGCCGTCCAGGATCACGGTCGGCGCTGAAGAAGAGACTGATGTAGCGGTCGGTGGACGGGGACCTGCTGTTGCAGCCGCTGCAGGTATCCTCTGGACAGTAGATGATGAGGTTCTGTTGTCGGCTCGATCCGTCGACGAGCTAGAAGCTGAACGTAGGACTTGATTCACAGTGGCGGTGATGTCGTTCAACGCCAGTGATTTCAACGCCGTCGTCCCCTGCTCTTGAGAGCCAGGACTCATTGTTGGATGAGGAGTGGACGGCGCTGAACCCCTCCTCAGACCGTCCACATAGAAGAGTCTCTTCGCCTTTACTAAAGCCGGAAAATCAAGACCCTGTAGGTTTCCCAATGACATACAAATCAGCCATCATGAGTCATTCCTGAGAAAGGGCCGTCTTTGATCAAATCCAGCCACAATGAACGCGAACAAGAGGGGCAGAGCAAAACAGCAACTACCAACTCACCAACTTCTTCCCCATCTCACACCATGTCAGGTAATCCCTGACAAAACTAACGATCACGACATTTGTCCCTTCTGACTCTCCCAGATTATGGCCGTCGCGACTGTTACCACCGATAGCCACAGGACCAGACGGTTGTCGACGACGCTGGTTGTGGCCCTGATCCTCAATTCCGTAGATGGAAACGTAAGCAAGACGCAGTAAAAGCCATAACGAAGGCGTCGATAGTGTGGATGTCACTAGAGTCTGAGTGTGTGTTGATGATGGTGTCGAGATACTCGACCTCAAATATGGGACAATAGCCTGAGGGAGAGGTGCCGCGATGGGCATTTTCTCCCTGATTGAATTAGTCCAGTTCAGTTCAGTCCGTCTATTTCGTATTTTGTTGATCTCAGCAGGTGTTCTACTTTTCTGAACCACAAGGCCAGGACTTTGGTGTTTATAGTGTGGTGTATGGAGTGAGGAGTGGAAAAAATATTGCTGAAGTTCTTAACTTTCGGATGGACTTTAACATAAGTTAGCGGCTGACACCTTCAAGAATAATAATATTTACCCAGTTGAGAACACCATATCGGGTATCAAATTAAATGAGAACGGTAACTAAGATCTTCACTTATTTTTGCTCTTCTCAAGACTTCTTCAGAATCTCCAAATGAAGCGTCAAAGCAATCAAGCCTGCGTTTCTCCACTCTTCAGCCTCGTTGGACTGACTCAGCCTTGTTGCACAACCGTAGTCAATTCTAGCCTTACGACTACCTTTATATGTTTACAGACAATATAGAACGCCTTGCAGCATGTCCTCACTTCTTTGGGAGTTAGATTATGTGTTGACTTAATTGTGTATTCCCATCGGTAGCTGCTCTTTGGGCGAAGATGACACAACTATCCTAGTTTGTCACCTCGAGTAACCTTCCACCTCAAGCAACCCGCCGACCAGTTCTCTTGTTCAAACTACCATCTTGGTACCTTGTCATAATGGAATTGTCCACATAAGCCTATGCCATCGTCAAAAGCATGATTCTCTGCTTGAATGCCAGAATTGTATCTATGTGAACCTCTGGATCTTTCCGCCCAAATTCAGCCAAGAAACTCGCAGTGAGAAGGCTCTCGAATGGCGACCAAATCGATTGGATCCCGCCGAAGAAACCTCAACCTCGAATCCACTTGAAGCGTTGTTGTTTATCTTCGATGAACTCAACCTCTGCTTTACTCGGCTCTACTCATGACGGAACTTCCCTTCGATACCTCCACTCTTACCAGGGAACAATTACGAGGTGTCGGCATTGGAATCTCTTCTGAAGTTGTCCATATCCTCGGGACGAATATTATTGCCAAAATCCCCGCTCCACAGGCTCTCGAGGATCATAAAGTCGAGAAAAGGATATACGACCGTCTACAGTCGCATCCAAATATTCTTCGCTATCTAGGTCAAAGCCCTCCAGAATGCACGCTATTACGCAATGCCCTATTATTCGAATACCATAGTCATGGAACTCTGATTAATTGCCTGGATCAGATTATCCCTGGACGAAGTCGGTCTGTTTGATATTAATCTCTCTTGTGTTCGAAACATTGACAGATCTTTTAGTTGGCCCTTTCAAGCTATATCAGCTGTAGCGTATATTCATTCAAAAGGTGTCGTGCATGGCGATCTTGGTCTTCATAATTTCCTTCTTCATGACGACGGTAGGCTCGTGTTATGCGACTTCGCGGGCTCTGGTCTAGATGGTTCACCTCCCAATGTGAGCGCTGGCGTACGATATCTCAACCCCTTATTTGACACGGACTATCCCTCAGAAAGCGATGACATTTTCGCACTGGGCACCGTACTCTACGAACTTCATCGTGGAGAACGGCTCTTTAATGAGAGAAGCGATCAAGAGATTAGTCGGTATCTTCGAAACAAACAGTTTCCCGATCTATCTTTAGTACCGTCACCGTTGAGGGAAGTGATTGAGAAATGTTGGACAGTCACCGGATATAAGGCTAGTGAAGCCTGGATTGAGCTAGGTGAGTATATGACTCTCTCTCAAGACCGACCTAATTTGTAAACAGAATCAAAATCCTCATTCGTTGCCAATCCATGGGGTTTCTGGCCCCTCAGACTTGCAGTTGGCGCTGTCGGTCTAGCTCTCATTTTGATATCGATGTAACAACATTGGGGGAGTATTGTTGCGGGAATTGACTTCAATGGGGGATCAAATGGATAAGTCGAATCACAACTCTAGGTACAGGAACAATTACAGGGGCGGCAGCTTCATTGCATAAATGAAATTCCATTCATAGTCGAGGATCTCAGAAGAATTGAAGAAACACACTGGCGAAGAGCACACACACAAGCGATGACGAGTATTTCTCATCCCAAGTCAGAACGCAAGGAACCCAGAATCTATTGAGCCAATGTTGAGTAAGAGGGAATCTTCTCCCATCCGCAAGGGGGGCTCGAGGGACCTCTTCAAGCTAGCCATTTCTTACACCCTCACCTGTTCGAGAATATACCAGGTTTTCAGATGTCGACGCTCATTTAGATGCTGTGTCATAGGGCAGAAACAATGCTTCCTGGTGTGTTGCTGAGTCTATAGCAATTCTACCTTTAGAATTCTGCAAAAGCCTGAGGAGAACACATATTTCTCACCGGGGTATAAGCGTAAGGATTCACAGGTGGGACAACGTCCTGGTCTTGACGTTGACCCTAATGAGGTTTCCCATCTCGTAATCTGGCTGCAGACAAAATCTCCATACGGCAGTGATGCAGTTTTTTCATTCTTGCAATCGAGTTTTTGGACGATACTCTCGCTCATCGATGGTTGTGGTGTGGTGATGACCCGTGTATTGTAGAAGAGATGTGGACTTGTATCTTTGAGAGTGCACCTTCGATAGACGAAGGGTGATGAGAGGGTAACACACATTTCGAGAATTTTCGTTGATCGCGTTCAGAGGATGGACGGGGCCAGACATGGAATTCGACATAGACACCAGAGCAGGAGTGACCTGAGTTATAGGGCCCTCTACTTTCTCGGGCGATTTGGCAAGCCATCAATCAGTACATGGGACAGACACGGTATGTGTGAATGTGTATATCGAACTGGACTGTGTACCACGTGTTCGGAATCCAGTGGCCATGCTCCTCCAAGTGAAGGCATGGTTGATGACCGGTCACAAGCAGCCAAACAAATTGTTTCCTTACCTTCAGCGACCTCACTTAGCCCTCAGTCTTTCTCCCGTCACTATCCATAACTCCTTGATCCCTGTCTCTCCAGGGTTCTCTCTCGTCTGCTTCTCAGGCGCCATCATCAGAAGCCCAGACGTCTCAAAGCAGCGAGCCTCAATTTGAAGAGGTGAGCTTGGTACGAGAGCAAGAAGACTGCGAAGAAAGAGGCTGAAGGGGTCTACAGATACCGTCTGCCCGATCTCATGAACAATTACGCATTGACAGCAAAGATTAGGAGAGAGAGAATTCGCTGAGAGTAGGGGCAAAGTGTCAAAACCAAGTAGGAAATGATTAATGGAGCAGTGATAAAGGCCTAGTAGGTAAAAACTGTCCTCCTCAGGCGCCTCGTATAGGCGCTAACCCTCTGGGAGGGGCCTTAACGCGGAATTGTCTACTTCGGTGGTTGAGATGGGCATAGGGCTCCATTGCATTTGCATGCTGTTTTTGCTCCATACGTCGCCTAAATTGACAAAGCACCATTTACTTTCCCAGGATGCGATTCCTGGATTTCGAGGCAGGGTCATCGTAGCACATGTAGATATGAGAAGCAAGATTCGGTCACATGATGCATCGTCTCTCGAGTCCATTGCATTTTCGGTGTGAACATGGTATCAGTCAAAGGAAACAATATTGAAAGAACATCGGTTGTCTGGTGATTTGTGCCAAGTTTTGCAAGGCTTCACATATTGTTTCCAGCGTGTATCTAGCTGGACCCGCAGGCCTCGCAAATCGAAATTCGACAGAACAAAAGTCTGACCTTAGCGCTGATTTCCACCTCAAGTCTTATTCATTGTCATTTCGAGACTCGTGAGCGAAACTGGAGAGCCAGAATTCTCCACGGATCAGGCAGAGAGAGAGATCAATCATGACAGACTCATTCTCTCTCTGTTGCTGCAATGCCACTCCAACCCTCTTGCGCATCCTTTATCTTCCACTTTTCAGAACCCACACATAACGGCGCATTGCTGACTTATGCTTTTGATGGGCCTCGGGCACCCTTTGGTGCGCCAGACTGGAAACCATTGGAGAATTTGCTGTATCGCGGATAAACTGTCAGCGTCGTTCTGAATTTGATAAACAAAGTCGTAATCCTTTAATGGATTTTCCCAAAACCCTGCACTGTCATTCCACTTTGACTTTGCGGTCCTCCTCTTTTTTGTGCAAATCGACCCAGCTCTTTTACGTTCCCTCCACGCAATGACCGCACAGATAATGGGGTATTCTTACCGAGCAACAGACTTCAACGACCTCATGCGGCCAGTGCCAGTGGTCTTACGTCTCTTGGCCTTCTCGCTCCATTCATACTTTCGGACCTTTGCGGAGGGATACTAAATGACGGAAAAGGGTCAGTGGACACGTTGATGAATGGATAACCGTGGTTCTGGAGTTGCGAGAAGGAATGGGTAGAGGATGGAAAGGGTTTTTCGTACTCCGCAGTTGGCGCAGGTGTGTTTCTGGATATGAAGACTTCGTCGACCGCATCTGTCCAGAGTGTTAGTAAATTGTCCAGCAGTCGTTGGAAACCAGTCGTTGGAAAACGAACCTCCGGCAGAGAGTGTGAGTCTTGTTGTGCCCTGTACATCAAGAAACCCGGTCAGAACAATTCAATTCATCGTCGAGAAGCGAAAAAAGTGTGTCAAAGTGGTTCGTACTCTTTCCGAAAGAACTGGTTCCTTTCGTCATCTTGCCTGATTATTCGTGTCCACACGTTCTATAAAAGTCGTCAATGTCGATTCAGTAGGTTTGATGGAGGTTGAAACATACGCAAGTGGTTGATGGGTGGAAGGAACGGCGTCGTGGTGAACTGGCAATGGTTCATCCAAAGATCCTGCGACAAGTCCCATCCGCAGTTGTGCGGGTGCCAAGACCAGGAAATTCGAGAGATGAAATCTTGGCGCTCGATCACAGTCACGTGATAAGACTAGCCTTGTGGTACCGGTGACTAATATTTTTGGTGCGATTGAACAGTGTGGGGTGGCGCCAGGCTGAATCTCACCCAACTACTTCTCAGCCTTTTGATTCTACGCTGACTTTTTCTTGATTTGATAACAAGATTTGTCCCGGGTCCAAAAATTCCATTGAAGAATACAATATTGCTGAAAATATACTATGGATGCTTGAACAACTTCCTAACAGAACTTATAAACTTCCAATGGCGATATGAGGATGCTCCAGACGATGATGTTTTTACTAAAGGACCCGATGATTCTGCATGATTTGCGATGATGCAACTACAGGCACTACTCAACCTGGTCGCATTATTCTCGCATGCAGGCAGGTAGGTCGGAACGGCGATCGTGTTGGCAGGCGATGACATATAGTCTGAGCACCATGACCGAGCACTGTCGGAAGTCGAGAAGTTCGGATCGAGCATATTTCGGAGGCAAACATCTTCATCGCACTTGGCCCTGGTGCTGGAATTGGGAGGTGATGTCGGTTGCACCACGCTCGTCTTGGATGTCATGTTCGAAGGCGGCGCTGTCGACGCTACGGTCGAGGCATTGAAGCTTGGTCGAGCATGAGTCGAATTCGAGTTGTCAACTTGGCTTGTAGTCAAAGAACCCTCCGTGGTATGGTTTCCGTCCAGGGATGGGACAGTGGTGGCTGTCGACGTGTTGGACCAGATGCTTGAATTGAAAGCAAATGTTAACGAGATACTGGTATGCTGGGATGTGCTGTTATCCACTGTTGCATTGGAACTATCTGGAGGCTTTGTCGTTGTTGTCATTGATTGCGTCGTGGTTTCTGTCGACAGGTTCGTCTGGGCTGAAGTGGTGGGAAGACTGGTCGTCGAATTTGTGTACGAGATCGCCGTCGCATTCGCATCCGTCGCGGTGCTGTTGACACTTGTGGGAGGCGTCGAAGGCTGAGCAGGAATGTTGAGATGTTGTCCAATCTGCAACTTACCCCAGTCGACATTTGGATTAGCTTCGTGCAAAGCAGCAGAACTGCAGTTCAACCTCTGAGCAATGATGTCGAAACGATCTCCAGACACAACCTCATAAAGTGGAGACTGGGTCGGCGCAGTACTTTCGGAAGTCGATGTGCTGTTCACAATGGGTGAATTAGAGCTCGGCTCGGCGGCTGTCGATGAGCTGATGTCGGTGGAAGTCGTTGTGGTGGTCGAGGGGTTTGCGGTGTCGCTTGTATTGGTTTGGCTCGGGGCGGCAACGGAGGAACAGTCGCCACCTGGGACTTTCAGAACGTAGCCGACCCAGATAGATTTCCAGTCTACTACATCTGGATTGGCCGCTTGGAGGGTCTCAAAGTTGACCTTCAAGGTTTTGGCAATCTTATAACCATCGTCCCCTGCAGCCACGGTGTAATTACAAGGAATGTAGATGGCATCGTTTGAGCACTGCACAGACCTCCAGCTTCCATCAAAAGAACTTGGATACTTCCAGCTTTTGCATGCATTCGGCGTGGTGATTTTGACCGATTTGACATATGCGCTGAACGGGGCATCCTCAAACTTGGTGTACCCACCGGCCCAGAAGACGGTTCCAGCATATGCATCAGGATCACCAGCACACCACACACCAAGATGCAGTCGAGATGGAGTCTGCGGATACTGCCAATCGCCAGTTGTAGTGCCATTGTTGCGCAAAATCCTCACAACGCGACCGTCAATGGACCAGGAGAGCGCTTCTGGAGTCCAGTCGTAACTGTAGGTATGGAACTTGCTCTGAGGCGAATCCACAAGCTCCTCTGTTCCTCGACCGTAATTTCCAGTGATACCTTTGCCGAAGAAGTTTGTCTGAACTTTGCCAGTCTTATTACCAAAGTTGTTACCAGACCATTCCCAATCAACTTCGTCTCCATCATCAGCCATCAACACAGCACCCGTGATGATGCCAATGCCAGGAGCCGCCTTCAAAACCACCTCGACCTTACCGTACAAGAAGTAGAAGTTGGTCCATATGTATGGCGCATCATATCGTTTCCTAAATGTAAAGGTCGCGCCATCGTTTGCTGCATAGTCAACGGTTGCGTGGTCCGCTAGAGTCCATTCTGCTGGGGTGGACGATTGTTTGGTGAAGTCAATACTGTAGCTAGTTGAAGCCAGACCTGGCACTGGAGGACAGGCCTCTATGAATAGTCATTAGTCAATCCAATGACCCTTTTGGTCGATGCTTCTAAGGAGAAGTACATACCTCGTAATGGATTACATCCTGAATCAGTGGCTGAGGTTGGGGTAAGCTGCGAGTAGACTGCTAGAAGAGCCCACAAGGTCCTGATACGCGTGCGATGCATATTTTCCTCAATGTTCGACGAGCAAGATGCCTTGGGAAGATTTACTTACCGGGAGCAGGGTATTACATGACGAGATTGAGGAAAATGGTAAGATCCATAGTCAGGTGTATGTGCTCGCCGCAAACAGACAATGCCGTTCAACTTGCAGTAGGTCATCTGAATTTAGAAGACTTGTGCCGAAGGACACAAAGGCGCTCGCTCGATTTGCTTTGACCGCACCAGACGTGTATCGTGGGCGCCATGCCGTTTGCGGCGTCAACCTACGTGAAGAGCTCTTATAATGGTTAGAGCGTTGCGTAGTCGAATTGTGTCAAAGAAGATATACATTGAATGAATAGCTAGGCTAGCAAGCGACCCAGAGAACATTTCGCTCTGTTACGATGGCATATTGTGGTGGCCGAGAAGAGATCTACTGAGATGATAGAATTGGGTTTGAAGAAGACATAATGAAGCGAGGGTCTAGGGCCGAGGGGGCCGAGTGTCAGCCAACCATATCTAGAATTCAACGCCCCCAAACCCTGCCCTGTAAAATTCTAATTAATTTCCGAAACTCTCGTAGTTACTTCATCCCATTCTGATGGATCAGAATCAAAACGATTCTGCGCAACCGAGAGCGCGGTTAGTTCACACGGCTGAGACGTAAGCCTTACAAGTGACGCAAAACAGTCTGGTTTGTAGCACAAAGACCGTCGATGAGCTCTGTCGATGATCTTTTGTGCTAGTCGCATTCATAGCCTAACACATATGTCTTGGCTGCCAACTCCAGCATCGTTTCCCACGCCTGAAACAATGGCGACTCCGGTACATGGCCCCGGCGAGCAGGAGATTTCTGTACGATATCCAATTACTGCATCAACGATTGATGACCTTGAACATGATGCAAAAGTCTCGGTACAGATCTCGATCGGTTGAACTCTGAACTCCGTCACCCGAACCAGATTCGTGAATGTTGTCTGGGCGGCGGAAATAGTGTGGCTAGTTATAATAAAAGATTCTGCAGATGAAGAACCACTACTGGTGGTTGGTGTGGGCTGGCTACCTCCACTCGAGCCGTTTTCACCGATCGCCGTGCCCATGTTTTCGTTGACCGACGGAGAACTTGTCCATGGAGATCGGCTTGGCGAGGTTGTAAAAGAGGCGTCTGCAACTTGAGTGGTAGGGCCGGTCGGTAGCGGGCTCCTTGTGCCAAAGATGTTTGACGTTAAGGATGTTGTACCCCTTCCGCATTCACGTGCTACCGAAAAGCACTGCGTTTCCGTGATCGTCGATGTCTGGATGATCGTCACCACCAGATGTGTCGACACCAAAAGGTCTACAGACGTCATGGAAGCATTGGCAAAGGTATAAGTCGAGGACGTTGTTTCGAGCGCCGTTGACACATCGGTGGTACTCGCGCGTGTACCTTCTGATGTGCTCGAAGGTCCCGACTCTGCAACTGCTGTTGCGAAAACTTGGCCGAGGGGACCGTAAATCAAAAGTGCAGAGTCTGGAGAATCTGAAAATGGTATATCAGCACCGTGCTTCCGTTGACACTAAGGGCTCGGTCTTTTCCACATGTGCCAATTACCAATACAGGCATCTTGTACTTGGAGGACTGACCTTCATCTTCTTCCACTAGTAGTATCTCGGAAACATCAGACCAAAGGATGCAGGTATTCAGCACATTATGGTCATCGAAAGTAGCCCCCAAGCATGTTCCAACACCATTTACTATGTTGTGATCGATGCAGGCACCGATGCAGTCTTCAAAGTTGTCGGTGTTTTGTACCCCTATCTTCACTCCTTCGTACTCAGTCTTGCACTGCAACTGGTAGGTATAGTTCTGAGGTCCAAGGTAGAAAGAACCATCGTTCTCGTCGCAGATGGCCAATGTCGTGGTCGTTGTTGGGGTTTCTTGTCGTCTTGGGAACTGTATGGCTCGTTTAGTCTATATTTCTTTCTCCGTTTGTGTATGCTGGGACACTCGTACCTTTTTCCAGCCTTTCTGTCGTCGATTACGTTTCGATGACAAGCGAGCTGGCGCTCTGCTCCTACCACGGGGAGAAATCTCCCACCCAGGAGTTGCTGATGCAGCAATTGCGACTCCTAAGAGATCAAGTAGTAGGCCCAGGATAATCACAATGACACAGGAAAACATCTTTGTTTGGCGTAAGTCCCCCAGATAGGAGAGAAAGCAGGTGTTGACACATGTTGTTTAGTCTGAGAGCGCAGTAAGCAGGGCCCTTAGAGCATTCTCGAGTTATCTGTGGAATGTGGAAATGCAGCAAAACAAAAGAGTTGTTTGTTCTATTCTGAGACAGTCGCATTCCTTTGCATTGCACGACAACCTCGAGTCTGTTGGGTGTATCTATAGTCGGTCAGGGTGCAGTATGCCACGCGGCCAAGGTCTCGTAATAATGGCCTCTGATGACGTCCAAGCACCACTAATGGTCCAAGGACCCAAAGATGCTAAGTTAGGAATTGTCACCGTCAGGCGATACACAAAGATTATAGGCTGGAGGGTGGCCCGAAAAATAATCTCCGGGCGAGAGTCCTCAGGTAAATACAATTCAGGAAGGCACTCAAGGCCCGCCAAAATCAGACGCGCTCGGACTGGATGACTGGGTTGCCCATCTATGCGTACCCAGTAATCCTTGACGGATAAACATCTGTCCATGTACGTACAGAACAGACTCTCAACCCCTGTGCACATATTTCGGCAGTAGTGGTGGGTCTTCAGTCTTGTGACCTGCCCCGTTAAAATCCACAATACTTGGGCCAATTCTATAACGAGAGTGATTCATCCCAAGTCCCCAAGAAGAGGTGGATTGAAAAGGGAATTTCGAGAAAATTGGGAACGATTGAGCATGCCCTCGAATGTCCGTCATAATTTTGGATGGAATACTGGCGGAATTGATAGTGTGGAAGCGTCAGGGAGAGATGGCTCTGGACATGTGGATGCAGAGGTGGCTAGAAACAGGTCTGCGGTACTAGGCTGTCGTGGTGGTAAGTATGCGAACTCCCACAGAATGTCGTGGGCCCAGACAGGAATGGCAGACGGATGGCGGAATTCATGATGGCCTGTTGTTGGTGTTGTGGCTGTTCCAGTATCGTGAAACGGCCTTTCGTGCCAACTCGTTCTGAAACTCAGGTCGAGATCTATAACGATTGAAGACGGAAAATTCCAGCTCGGTCATGACATAAGAATTGGGTCGGTCTTGAATGCTTCGCCAGATTCTCTGAAGAGCCTCTTCGAGGATACGGGCCACTTGAGGATCCAGCCTTTCGGTTTGACTGTTGTGGGCTATATTGATGGCTTGTCTGAGAGTCATGGCAATCGTCCGGGACATACTACAAGGTAGGTGAGAGTAGGATGGTCGCGACACCGGAGGATTTGTTTGCTAGTACATCAGAGGTGGTACTGAGCAAAGTGGAAGGATATGAGTGTTAGCTTTTGGGCGACCATTCGAGAGGAGCGTTGGGATTAAGAGTCGTGGCCATTCCTCAGAGGTTGAGTTGCCGCAGATGCTTCGACAATGCCCAGATTGTGTCTGTCCCAGTGGGATTTATCGGCGAACAGAAAGATCAAGGTCGATTGAAGCTCTTTAGCCATGGGAATCATGCAAGTTCTGGCAGTCTGGCTCATCTGCCCCGGGTTGAACATGAGACCCAATGGAAGCAGGGTGGATTCTGAGTTTTTACCGACCAGGGCTGACAGAACTGGCACAACTGGCGACTGTAAGCGCAAACCCAGAGGAATGCATCTGCAGATTATGCGTACGGAGCTTGATCCAAAGGGCCAGGGTCCCGGGCGGCCCTCAGTGGGACTCGGAACCACTGGTGCCACTCTCATCGGGTGCCCTCGACTCCTCGCGAGGTGCAGCTGCACGTACATATGTCCCACCCACGTCAAAGCAGACTCAATGATGGAGATCTTATACTGATCCCTGCACTATCCAAGTATCCAAAGTTTATGTCTATAGTGGGATGCGGGAAGTCCTAATCCAGCCACCGGTCCTGCTTCAGCCATTTGTCCTACAGAATTGCGCATTTCTAGCATAAGTGTCGAGAAGATCTGCTCCTGCACCAGGACCTGTGCAGACCACGTGCTGGGGTTTCGGCTCCTGCAGGTCGTCCGGCTATAGCATGTCATAGACAGCACACGACGTTCAGCGAGCACCCTTTGCGAAACCCCGAGCTGTGATGCCGATGGTCTGTTCCGAGTAGGTTTTTTTTGTTGCAGCCATCACCTGGGAAACCTCCCGAAAGAGCCACCACCATCATAGCGGTGACCCCCGACCTGGGTTGTGGCTTATGAGAGCTGGCACGCTGGCCAATGCCACTAAACACTCAATGAGCGGTACCCAGACCACAGAACCACACGGTCTAAGATACTCAAATATGGAGTTGATGCGAGAGTTGGTCAGCTTGGCAAATCTTGACTTTTTCAGGCGTTCAGAGAGGCCTCTGTATCGAATCGACCTTCTGTAACAGAGCCGCCTGGGCCTTGACTCCGTGACCCCCTCCGCTACTGTAGTGTTTAGCGCTGCTGGCACAAGCAGCAGTGTTTGATCAAACAGTCAGCCGGAGACCCACAGGGATGGGAGGACACGGAGAGTCCCTCGTGCTACAGATGAGGGTGTACGCATATGCATGATGGGAGGGGCGCCAAGACTTTTCAAGTACTGTCTACTCCGTACTCCGTACATGAGGATGTCAACCCAGTAACTCCACTGGATGAAGATGAAATAAGGAAAGTGGGCTTTATGGACAATTGCTACTTGAGCAATGAAACCAGTTGCTAGATACGGCACACCCGTACCACATGCAAAACTAAGCCTGTTCGCGTTACTACGTCCGTATCAAGCAGAAGCTACAACCTATAGTGTTCACGAACATAGCCAGTCCCACTTGGAACTCAGAAGCTTACTCTGATCCAGTCGACGGATGGCTTGTTGGATGAGGGTGGGAGGGGGGCATATTCGTACTCCGTACAGCAGTACTCCGTCGTCGTTGGTATACTTTTGATGGAGATCTGGTTTTGGGGCAATGATCCACTTGGACAAGCTTTTTCCAGCTTGATGATGGCAAGCCCCTCACAGAAGAATGACAAGTTATGACTGGCCCCTCGGCCCTCTGGGTTGAAGGTCGAATACTCGCACAGACCAGGGCATAAGTTGCTTCCTACGAGGAGAACTCTTGTCTCGATGTATCTAGGATCCCTTGTAACAGCCATTCAGGCCCTTTACTTGATTTGGCTTCTTCAAGCTAGTTGTGCCACCTTGTGAGTCGTCGAATCTTAATTTTCTGAATTGGGTTTACAGCTGGCCTCGTCAAAAGACAGTCGCGTAGATTGTATGCTGCTGAAGCGCATTCGGGGTCAAAAGGTTGTAAGAATACTGAGGCAGGCATAGATGGGCAGTCTTTGTCGACGCAGATATGATATATCGGTGGATTTTCATCTAGACGTATGATCTGGACACACATTTCGAATGGGGGTAGGTGGTCATCGCGTCCAGATCCAATGAGTTAACTCTTTCAGGACATTGGAGACCATAGGGCGCCTTGGCGAATATCTGGACAAATTCACCTGTAGGTAGATATCTTGCGCCGGGAAGCTTGCGGGATATGGTGGACACATTCCCGCGCAACTACACAGCGTAGATATGAGTCCCTGTGAAAGGCCGACAACATGTCACACGCACGAGGAGCGGGCCGACCAATGTCTATCGAGGCCGATGAATGTCGATGAGAATGCGGAATGTGACGTACGATAGAAAGGGCAGGATTAGAAAACAATGTTACAGATAGGGTTACGCCAGACACATTGGGCGAAGTGAGCATGAAAGAGCCGCGAAGCGATGTCGAAGCGATGTCATGTCGCTCTAGCCTCTCGGCGAAGAGGATTGTCGGCATGTCATGTTCAAAGTGCATTAGCGAGCGTCACTTGTCACTAAACAGGGGAGCACGGGGAGTCTGCGGGATAGGAATTTGATCTACGGAGTACGGTGTGAACGTGAGGTCGTAACAAGCTGGCTCTAAAGTTGGAGGGAATGGTGTCTGGCGCAGCGGGAGCCGAGCCAACTTAGCGTCATGGCCAACAATACCCCAGTAAGTTGGGGAGGGCCTTTTTTTTTCGAAAGGTCCAAGGTCGACGCCATCAGCCGACTTCAATAGAAGATGATGCATCAAGCAAGTGTCGGATATGCTGACTGGACAAGGCATCTGGTGGATTTTGGCGTTGAATTTGGGGGTCAGACCCAGGAAGTGGATGAGGATTGCATCTGACTCGGCATATGGCCAGGGCTATGGTTGGCTGCCCAAAGACCATCGACACGACTATGTTGCGAAGGACGAAAGGGAATATGGAAGAAGACGGGCATGAAGTTGTGACCCTGATATCGCGGGCATGGATGATGGAGTCATCAGTCACATTGATTGCAAATAGATTCATGCCAATTTGACTGTGCTGAAAGTGTTTGCCGGTGGCCCAAGATGCTTGAATTTGGAGGGCTGGTCACTCATGCCTGCACCTTGTGCATTAGTTGTAAAAGACCCGAAGTGAATGTATCGACATGGGTGGTGGTACCCAATGAGACCTGAAATTCTCCGGCGATGGGTACCATGCGGCAGTGTGGGAAGCAAGAGATTGAGTGACGGGAGTGTCTGGAGCAGAGGGATCCGATGATAGCCACGGGACCCTTGGGTCTTGGGCTTTGGAATCTGGCAACGGAGTACAGGGAGGTGCATGAAGAGAGAAGTGTCGCGTGGTTGATGAATGGGTTGAGAAGTTGATGGCTGCTGAGGTTGTGGTGGCATGTCGCAGGCTACGTATGGGTAAGGTAGGCAGTCACGACCGACTAACACCGACAAATGAAGCAGGTGCAATCTTACCTAGGTCTAGGTAGGTAGCCCCTCGGCCATGTCTCTGTCCATACCCATACCCGTACATGTGACAGATGCCAGATGCCAGATGCCAGATGACGGTATTTCTTTCTTTCTGCCCGTTGGCTGCTGTTTGCTAGGCTCGAGGACCGACCCTCCTGGCTCCTTCCGTTCATTCAGAGTTCGAACCCCACTGGAGGCGTCGTCATTGCCAAGCCCTGAAATCAGAAGTCTCTTTTCATCCGGGGCAGGCCGGGGGTAGGTGCGCACGGCACAATGGGCGGGCAGGATTGCGCCCACGTCTGTCGCGGCACCGTGGACCATGTCATACCTGTTGTGGTGGAACCTTTGCCTTGGGGGTTGAAATCAGAGACTTGAGAATGCCATCAACACCTCGTAACTGGTGCCAGTGAGTGCATACTTTGGCGGTTTTTCTGTGTTCCTCCAATGCTCTAGGCGAGCCTCTTGCAAAGCAAGCGACAATCTGCCATCGGCCCGCTTGCCTTTGTACCATCTTTCATCTTCCTTCACCTGATCCCTGTACAGCTGAGTAAGGTTAGTAGGTAGCTACCTGGTACTCACGTACTGTAAGTTTCCAAACTCCTTCCTCCTTGGGCTCCTTCGACCACGATGGCATGCATTGCAGATCGTGACAGCAATCATGTCATAAAGAGACATTGCTGCCAATCGCACATTGTTCCTGTACCCGGCACCCTCAAACCGTAGATATGGCTGTCGAATTCGACGCCATCTCGTTCGCTCTGTGCTGTCAATGTGGACAATTAATCCATCCCCTACCTTCGACTGTGGCCTGACTCTCGCAACAGTAACAGACCTGATCCTTATCAACTAAGGCCTATATCAGAAGGTTCCGAGCACGACTGCAAGATGCAGAGACCCTCGGTCTTCCAGACCGAGAACATTGCAGAACCCAAGACCTAATCATATCTTCGAGGTGTACTGTGTATAGCCTTTTCTTGTTAGGTGTCAGGTATTTAGTTGTTGGCAAAGACCCTACCTTTGCCGGCGCCCGAGGTGCGGAAAACCTTAATTGTGAGGGGCCTCGATGGCCCTCGCCCCTCTTCGGGGCTCCCTAGTGACGCCTCGGGCCCACTACAGCGGAGGACTGCCTTCCGAGCAAGCCACCAACGCTAACCGCAACCTCACTCCTAACTTAGGGTGGCCCGAGGGCCTGGTAGGCGTAGGCTCGGGCATACTCCGTAATCGTACATGTCTCTTACTCCGTAGTTTATTATTATACACTCGCACACCTTCAGAAGATCTAACCAGAGGGCACGTGGACACCATTTAATCAGACGGTCTGAGGGGCCGAGGGCTAGCCTACTAACCGACGCTCCTTGGGAGAACTAGCGGATGCCAGTACTCCGTCCGGAGTACATGCTTCGGCGCTCTCGGTACCTAGGTAGGTAAGTAGTTGGCTCCTCTGAATAACCACTTATTAATTCATCAGTTGACTACTCCGTACCTAACCTAGCCAAGTACCTCGCTACCTAAGTACATTTTCGAGTCCCACCTGACCATTCTACGTCTCAACCAACTTTTTTCATTGGATTCGCCCTCTTCTCCCTGGGCAGCACTAAGTAGTCACAATATCAACAATAGAGAAGATGGTCGCTTTACTATCTTGCTCCTCCCAACCGAGGACGACACTATCATTTTTATGGAGGTCGAGGATAGGCAAGGATCAAGACAGCAGCCCTTACAAGCAACAGGTCTTCTTTCACTTCGTGCCAGGTGGAAACCTTGATGCGACAGCTGCAGATGCGAGCCCTCTACGGTATCAAACAAGAGTACCGTGCCCAGACAACCACGTCAGAGGGCCAACCATCGGTAAAAAAAGCCAAGGACCTTTGCAGCTGCTCTGGAGAATATCCAACTAGTTATTACACCCATCCTGGTGGATGCTGGCTGGTCAATCGTAGATCCAGCTACCATCCGCCCATGTCGCGACTGCGTGAGAAGTTTTCGACTCAACGATGGGCGGCACACCTTCGCAGACGGCCCACCATTACCCATGACTGGGTATCCAACAGGTGGATGTTCTCCTCTCGCAGCTCCAGATGCATGCAGCTTTGTTGAATACGGTCTTCGTGGCCCGTTTTTCCCACGCCTCGACGACCCAATCTTTAGCGAGTGTGTTTTGAACAGACCAAGCATCACACGACCAATAATGTTCTCCACGTTCATCTTTACACTGAGTAACGTAGAACTGGGATTCGATTATGGGGGATTTGCCTTGGCAACCATGCTTTCTGTACTCCAGCAGTATTCGCCATCATCTCGATCTCAACTTCTTCGTATACACCCCTCACAACTGCCCGATAGTAACCGAATCGTAGTAGAATTTCATGAGTTCATTGCTCCTTTGCTATGCCTTTGATAAGATGGATTTCACATGCATTCTAGCAGAATCTAGGCCACCTTTGCCACTATGCATCAGAAATCACATGAAGCTGGCACCATGCGTCAGAAGCCCCACCATTTTATTTCCAAAAGAAACGAGAAACCTTGATATCATTTTTGGTATTTGTCCTCCACCAAGCTGCAGTAGTCTACGGAGTATGGCATCGTTCGACACTATGGGCTTGCGCCGGCTTTCCCTGACTGCAGCTCCATCCTGTTTCCCCAATCACACTACTCCGTAGTCACATCCTCATCTTTTGAAACCCTTTGTGTGTCTTTTGGCCCCCGACCCCGACCCTCTTTGCTACAGACACTTTGCTACAGACACAATGCTCCTTCCCATCCTCTGGGAAAACCAGCTTCTCAAAACCCATTCCTGTATGCCCCCGCCCTCTTTTTCCCGCTGGTTCGAGACTGGACTGGTGTCAAAGACTGAGACAAAATGGCCTGTTCCATGCGAACCCTTTTTGTATCTATGTCCTTCTAGACAATACTAAGTCGCCTATAAGAGAATCGCTCATCCTGCTCCAAGTCCAGCTTATCCTTGGTCGCTTTATCCTCCAGTCCCAAGATCAATAAATCATGGCTGCAAGCATGAACTCTGTTTGCCGGTCCTCCCGACTTGTCCATGCAGCGCCTTCGACTAAGCAACAACGCCCGGTGCTTTATCCCACGCGATGTCCTTGGCACCACTTGCCAACTTGGTGGAACAACGTCTTTCATCGCCTCAATCACTCTCTGTTATTCCCCGCCCCACCTTTGATCCTATGACAAGGCTGACCTGACTTACCGGAATGGCATTGGGCCCATCAGAAAGAGAGTCCGTCTTTCGTTTCAACCTACCGTTGTTCAGTAGTGTGACTAAACCTTCCACATCCAAGGGACTATATTCCTTTTCATTTGCCGTTGAGAGAGTTTACCATTCGGATCCTACATTTGACCCACGAATGCATCATTCGCGTCTTGAGTCCAAGATTCGAGACTTTGTATTGGGTAACGGCCAGGGCTGATTTGCTTCTGATGCCCCGCTCACAATAACCCCGTCCTCGGGCAATTCGCCGCAAATACTGCTGGTAGGTAGGAACTGAGGTCAAATGGCGGCCGATGTTTCAGTGTGGCCCCGTCAACACGCCTTCTGCGGAAGGCTTGAGGCTGGATACGGGGGATTGCGCCCCATCCAGAATGTGGTTTTGTCTGCTTTGGCCTAAGAGAACCGTTGTGCTATTCTTCATTGGGACCACCAAAGCCAGTACAGTACGGATTGGGGTGAGCTAGATGATCGAATTGAGAACAAGAATCAAAGCTCGTGTCTTCCTGCTTTCCTAAGACAATTAGCGACCCTCTACACGTCCCGAATTATCATTACGCAAGTTGTATTTCCTCGAAGCTGCCAAATTCTGACTGGGAAGTGATGTCAGAAGCGTCAAATGTAATCTTTCAGGCCCACTGACTAACGGACACTGTCATAACTAAAATTGGTCACTTGTCAGCAAGTGACTCGCAACAAAGACTGGGTAATTCCACAGTTCCATTCATGTATTTCTTTGCCATTAAGTGAAGCTAGGTCTGGGGTCTCTGACTTGTTGCTAGCGAGGAAATTCATGGAGAGAAAGAGGCGACCAGCTGCAGGCAAATCCTTCAACCATGTTCTCGCTTCTGTATTGAGCACAGATACACCAGAACAAGATGATTATTTTGCAAAGAAGGTAGCAGCAGAACGATGGGATTTTCAAGTTTACAAGATTCTGTGAAGCCTTACACAGGATCTTGTGCTTGTTGAAGCAATTGAAAAAGGGGAAGTGCGGCTGTGAATTATTGCGTGACAGTAGTACAGCGGCACACAGCTTGACCTATCGCCGTTATGATTTCGACCTTCTGCGCACAATAGACTATCATCTGGAACTGTGTTTGAACAATTCTAGGTACACACCACAAAGGCAACTGGAGAAAGGTGAAATTTTGCTCGGTTAATTGACATGATACTGTGAGTCTTGTGCAGGCTTCACCCGAACCGGGATCCCAATGGTGTACTACTTCAAATCGACAGCGGTTGAACCGCCGGCGTTCATCTATGTGGGCAAGGACAAAGTGGAGAGTATGTGGCAGATGCGTCTCGGAGAATTGGAAGCAGCATCTGACATTGGACTTGCAGATGAGGATTTGATCAAGTTCGGATGGGATGAAGATGTTTGGTAAGTGTCGCATGACCAATGCCGTTGGGCAACAAGAGAACTGAGTCTGGTCGACAGGGTAAGACTACTCGTTGGCTCCTTTTCGTGAATCGAATGGCACAAAATCCAACTGAAATGGCTCCAAGTTTCACGTCGACAACCTTTCCAGTGCACACGTCTATGTGCGACTACGGCAAGGGGAGACATGGACCACGATTCCAGCAGGGTTGCTGGAGGACTGTGCCCAACTGACCAAAGCAAATTCCATTGAAGGTAAGTGACACAGGCTTGGGACCAGCAGGCGCCCAAAGCTAGGATGGAAGTGGAATTGCCTGACAGGTTTCTTCAGGTAACAAAAAGGACAACGTCACTATCATCTACACTCCCTGGTCGAACCTACGCAAGGATGCATCAATGGCAACTGGCCAGGTGTCATTTCACGACCCAAAGATGGTCAAGAAAGTTCACGTCAAGGAACGACAGAACGCGATTGTCAACAGATTGAACAAAACCCGAGTCGAGAAATTCCCCGACCTCCGAGAAGAGAGGGAGGCCGACCAGAGAGAAAAGCGTAAGGCAGAGCGATTAGAGCGTGAGAAAGTCAAGGCGGCGGATCGGGCAGAGAAGAAGAGAAGAGAAGACCTGCGATATCAAAAGGACCATGCGTATGATGATCTGTTCAGGGAGGAGAACATGGTCAGCAACCAAGACCGAGATGCCAACTTCTACGAAGACGACTTTATGTAAATTGCCATCATTGGGATGGGCATTGATGGGGTAATACACAAGGTAGAAATATGACTTGTCCCCGGGGCGGATCTGATGAGCCTCAAACTAAATCATAACGCGTATCTGGAGGGGAGTCTGTTAGGAAAGGCACGTGGATGACGATGACGATCCCGCCCTGCCAACAAGGCCCCAGGCGCTGAGTGAGAGAGGCGGGGACATGTCCAAGGCGCCACAGCGCCTAAAACCACACATTTGTTCACCATTATTACAGGGCGGAATTGTTTTTAGGCAAGGTAGGTCCATGGGGTAGGGAACGCCCAACCGCCGAGGCGAAGAGGGGCGGAGGGGCTAACTTAGGCAGTCGGGACGGGCAGAGCAAATGCCAAACAGGCTTGCTCTACCTACTATTAGGTACTTACCGCTACTGCCCACTCACCTTTTATTACGCAATGATGGTGTAAGTGCAAGCACGTGGTCACCAGATCTGAAGTCACCAAAGCAGGAAATTCGCCAGGAAATCCCAAGGAGGCTGAGCTAACAAGGTCCATAGAATTAACCATCAACATGAAACTAGGCGAACCTTGCAAGACGTGCCACCTCCTGATCGATGCATCTTCATGACTTCCATGCAGTCTACCGTCCTTTCATCCCTCTCCGGCTTGAGGTCGACATTGTAACATCGCATTAGAGTCCCACAGTCGAGCCAAATCGCGCGGGCAATCAGTCTTTCCAGGTCGTGCAACTCATTCGAACTCGCCCAACACCTGGCAACAGTCGACCGCCTTTCTACAACTTACCATCACCTCGACCAACTTCGTAACCCACTACTTCTGGAAAACAACAACAAGAACAGACTGAAATCATGGCATCCACCGAAGGGCCTCAGCGCCACCATGGTCAGTATCATCGCGCTTCCTCGGACGCGTCCTGCGAAAATGAGACCTGTCATACTAATTGATCAAATAGATCGTCATGCTCGACGACGACCATTCGCTGCGTGGATGCGTCGCCTCGCCAATCTCAAGACCCTACACTCAGACTCGAACGATAGTCACGATGGTGCAAGACGATCCAACCTCAATATGAACATCAAGTCAAAGAGGGCCAACATTGCAAAGAATAACCCATACCCTCTTTCCTCGAGACCCGACGCAGCTCATAACCACTCAGCCTACTCGACACCCTTGTCCTCTGTCCGCTCTCGCCAGAGTTCGCTGTCTCAAAGCAAGCATTCCGTGTCTATCTCCCACGACAGTCACCTGCACAATAAATCAAGAGCCCCAACCCTGGCCACCACAGCCGAGACCACACACTCAGACGCTGCTCCATCTGGCGCAGGTACGAGCCAAAGTGCCCCGCGGACTGAAGGAGGCAGAGACAGCACATTTTCGTCGCCAGCGCCGTCAGTGCGGTCCTTTGCCACCACCCTCACCACCGTCCAGTCGATCGCACCTGCCCAGCACAACCTCCACAACCCGTCAACTTTGTCACAACCATCCCCCACCCCACCAGCCTTCCAGCTGCAGCCTGCAACTGCTGTGCCAGCCCACCTGGCGCCTCACTCCCACCCAACAACCTATCATACAGCGACGGCCAACAACGTGCTCACTGACGATGCCTCGATTTTGACGTTGGCGTCTTCGTCCAAACGTCGTCGGCGCAACTCTGTTGACACCAATGCATCCATGAAAGCATTGGCGCCAGCATCAATGTTCGGAGGCAGCCGTGAGTCCCTTCCGCTGTCCGTCTTATCAGGAACAATGATGCATTCAACCTCCGGAGCGGACACGGCCTCGTTGCGTGAGACGAGCACTTCTGGCGCCGGAGCCGGAGGACATTCGCGGCCGCTCAACGCCGAGCGAGCTAGTCTGATCTCGGCCTCCGGAATTGCCGCTCCTGCCCTGGCCAGTGAACGCAACAGCTACATTGGAAGCAAATACGGTGGTGGTGATGCGGCCAGTGTGCGCAGTGGTCTGTTGGGTGGTGGTGGTCATGGCCGTACCGATAGCGTCAGTGGGAGTATTGGCGGCACCAAGGATTTGAGAGACAGAGCGGGTGACGGGACGCTGGTCAATGGTCCAGGCATGGTCACGGCCCCCACGAGTCCCCTGATCGACGGCCCTGGCTCTGCTACGGCTTATACTTCTGCCTTGGGTGACGTCTCTGAAGCCTTGAAGGACGACGACGACGGTGATGATCAACAAGTTATGCATGACAGACCAGTTCTTGGACGATGAGTCTCGGACCTGGTCGTGACCTCGACCTGCCCTGTCCCAGAGCTGGAGACGAACTGCATGAAACATTCAACTTGAGTTAAAATACAGCGGTCGAAACTTGTTGCTCGACGTCGCATATCCTTATCCGCCTACGCACCAACGCACCCTCGCGAGTCGTTGCATTGCTTTTGCTTCGGGATGCTAGAAGCTAGAAGCCAGAACCTGGCTGGTCTAGCTTATTACGAGGCCTACACTTTGAACCATTTGATGATACCCAAAGCTTATCTAGACACTACTGTGTTTGTCATGGCATGATATATCTTTACCTCATACACGACCGCGTTCCTATTTAATAGATCCTCCTGGTTCTGATTCTGAGTTAGGCTTCTTTCGCTTCGTATATCTTGATCATGGGCTCCTTAAACTATCTATCGGTCCTTTCCAGCCCGAGTTCAATATCCCTCGTGCGGGCCCACGAACAACTAATAAACATGTACAAATCTGTTTGAGACCCTTCAATCGTTTCCAGCAGGTCGGATCCTCGAACCATCCATCCATCAAACATGGTTTTCCTAGATGCCACCAGACATGTCGTCATCCTCAAAGTCATGTACATAGACATGTCTCATAGCTTGTCGTTTTTTGAAATCTTGCTGTCCCTGCCAAACTCTCTCTCGACTTCGGGCAAGGTCTTACTTCCATCACTAAAACTCAGGTTGTCGATGACAACCTTTGCTTGTTCGAAAAACGACATTTGAATCATATTCTGGATGCTGGAGCGGAGGATGATCATCTCCACCCCTTTCCACTTACTACTGCGGACGGCAGTCTTTGCTGCGTTAGTCACAAGAGTTCCCGAGTCGGTTGGGGTCGAAATTTGCGGCAAGGGGTTTGTTGGCTTTTTTGGCGTCGATGTGGAGCCCACTAGGTTGTTCTGGGCTCGTGTCTTCATCGTATCAAGAGGATAGGTCTGTGTCGTTATGGTCAGATACAGGCAAGTGCACTTCGAGCAAAGTCAAACTCACCACGACCCATGCACCAATACCACAAATGGCTCCCGCGACGGCAATGGCACCCGGGGTATTGGCCTTTTCTGCCCCGTAGTACGAGTTGAGAGACTGTTTCGTAGTCTCATAAACACCGAAATATATGCCACTGCCGATGACATCTCGAACGAGATGCAACCTGAAGCCCGTCCAGAGTCCAAAAACGCCGCGCCGTTCAATGATTCGCTTCATAGAACCCCAGGAGCTCACCCTGCCATAGTTCTTCACGTTGGGATTGCTGGTACCCGGCGGATTGTTGGAAGAGGCCATGAGTACTGAAGATTGTGTGGCATTCTTGATCAACTCGACCGGGGTCAGAGCGACCGCCGTCACACCACCCGAGACCATGCCTGCTCCAGTGAAACAGAGTAATGTGGCAGAATTCGGATATGTTCCAGGCTTATTGACGTGCTGGAGGGGAGAAGAGCCTGTAGCTGCTTCAATCCATCGATCAAAGGAATACTTTGCTTTTCGATAAATGGAAAAGCCCAAAGCCCGAGAGGTTGTGATGGATACCAATGGGCTCAGCGTGCCTTGTATACGGTGAGATTTCATATCTATGAGCTTGATCTGGATGCTTACCAGCCCAGAAACCTCGAATCCCCTCTGTTCGATATGTGTGTTTTGTGGCTTGCCATGCGTTTGGAAAATACCGCCTAGAAAGAATGATCAGAGGTGTTGGTTAAAGAGGGTTGGTCTTAAAATCCACTCACGATTGCATGCGGACTTTGACATTCTCCAACGGTGCCTAGGACGAATTAACAACCTATAATTCAATGGCCTCCTGTGAACTCACCCCCGCAACAACAGCCAATGCACAAGCAGGTGCAGAAGACAACATCTGTCTGTACTTCTTTGCATAGTAAATCCGAGTATCGGCGGAGCCCCAACCGGTATCCACAGTCTGCCTTGACGCCATCTTTATAGGTGGCTGAGATGATTTGGAAGGTATTTTGGAGGTATAATCATGACCAGAATCTAGTTGTCGATTGTTGCTCTCCTTGCTAGCATGGTTCATCGCAGGCTCAGATCGAATATCGCAGATGAAAGGCTAGCTGCAAGGCAAGGAGGGCGATATATGTATATTCGTGAGGGACCGTTACCGAAAAATGGAGGATCATGGACCAGCACAAGACCGTACGTTCTTTGTTTGGGCTGCGGAACCCGATGGAACGCAAGAAGATCTCTCAATCAAATGAGACGACCTCTACGCGTTCCACATGCCGTTGGACAGTGTGCAGCAGCGATTTTGCGTGGCCAGGAAGCTGGCAAGGAGCACTGGGAGGGCACAGGTCCGACTGGTGAAGGCTCCGCAGTGTTCGGATGAGGATGGTTCTGATGCCGGCGCTCGAGATGGAATGAGGAGGTCTTGAGGAAGATTGTAATAGAATTGAGAAGGAAGAAAGGAGAGCTTTCAAGGCTGCAGTGGAGAGGTTAATTCGTCCAGGAGTCTCAACGTAGGGGCGTGAAGAGGCGTTGGGATGCAGGTGTAGAAAGGACAAGGAACATAGGTACGGCAGTCTATGACGAGAAAGAATCGGGACGACTCAACACTTTCTCCTTGGAGCAGTTTTGTTTTCCTTTCAAATAGATGAAGGATCCCAATTCATCGGAGACAGCTGATGAAGAGGGAGCAATGTGTGAAAGGTGGTGGTGAGGTGAGGGTTTAGAGGTTCACAAGGATCGGTCTGGTAGCAAAAGGCATGTGAACAAGTGCCCATTAGGGCAGATTGAGGGCTCCTGCCAACCTGACGTATTTTCCTGGAGAGGTAGTGAGGGCGAGCGAGGGGTAAACACTAGTTTAGGATTAGTAGAACAAGCGACGAGTAGCTTGTCGAGTATAAGAACGACTAACGAGTCTAGTGGTGAGAGAGCCAATAGATATCAATGTTAGGTAAGTTGTATCCCCCATGTCCCCCAGTGTTCCCCCATAGTCGCAACTTCCAAGGGAAGGCATCGTGTCTAGACCATTCTTGGCATTTTGTCACCACCAATATCCATCTACGGTAAAGTCAGCGTTCAACAAGTCGATCACTGTCGACACATTAATGCTGTGTGAGGTGTCAATATCAGTGATTAGTCCTCTCAGTGTCTGAAAGCCCTATCAGCCTTGAAGCACCCTTCAGAAGATTCATCAACCCTGAATTCAGGATGTGTCAGGTGTACCATTATCGGTAAGCACATGGGCCTCATAGGCACCTGAGATCGAGGCACTTTACAGGTATATACCTACACATATATTGCTTCCACGCTACGATGGAAATCTAAACCGTTTACAGGCAAGAGATGTTTGGCATAGCCAGGCTCCCAACCATACACAAGTCTGCCTGGACGGCTCCTGTCCCTGAGGCGCTCTTCTCCAAGCCTGGGGATTAGTGGCATTTTTTCTACCGCGGATTTTTTATCCATCCACGCCTATCCAGTGAAGCAAAAAGCGCGCAGCCGCACTCAAAACCAGCCTCGGTAGATTGTCCAACCCTCAACTTCGTGGAGACCGACCGACATTGACTGGCCATGAAGGATTTCAGCCCCGCAAAGGGTGCCTCTGTGGGGGTTTCGGAGGCTTACTCTGTACGCTGGTGACTGACTGGCTCCTCCAGCAACACCGGTCGACTCTCAAACTTGAATGACCGAGAGCCGAGGGTCAGCGATCGGTCTTCCCGCAATCGCCGTCTTTCACACCTCTCCAGAGCCGACAGATACAAATAAAAGATGATTCTTCATTGCCTGCGACCCCAACATTTCTCGCTCTCGATTTGTATCACCATCAAGTTTACATTTCCTCATTTTTGACATCCCTCTAGAGAATACCAACCCGAGTCAATCTTCACGTATACCCTCCTCACCATGCCTCGTAAACCCGCACCCGCCTACGTCCTCGGCGTGGGCATGACCAAGTTCATCAAGCCCCGCGGAAAGGTTGACTACACTGAGCTCGGCTTCGAAGCTGGTGTCAAGGCTATGCTCGATGCTCAAATCAACTATGATGATGTCGACCAGGGTGTTGCCTGTTACTGCTACGGTGATTCTACCTGCGGTCAGAGAGTCTTCTACCAGTTCGGCATGACCCAGATTCCCATCTACAATGTCAACAACAACTGCTCGACTGGTAGCACCGGTCTTAACATGGCTAGACAAGCTATCTCATACGGCGCCGCCGACTGTGTCCTTGTCATCGGCTTCGAGAAGATGAACCCGGGCAGCCTCACAACCTATTTCAATGACCGAGAAAACCCAACCGGCACCTCCAACAAGATGCTCAAGGAGACACGTGGTGTAACCAATGCGCCAGGTGCCGCCCAGCTCTTTGGCAACGCTGGCCGAGAATATATGGAGAAATATGGTGCTAGCGCCGAAGACTTTGCTGAGATTGCCCGTGTCAACCACGAACACAGCAAGCGAAACCCTTACTCGCAATTCAAGGATGAATACACCTTGGAACAGATCCTCAAGTCACCTATGATTCATGCTCCCTTGACCAAGCTTCAGTGCTGCCCCACATCTGACGGTGGTGCCGCTGTCGTCGTCGTTTCGCAAGAGTTCCTCGATAAGCGACCACACCTCAAGTCTCAGGCTATTTTGATCGCCGGTCAGAAGCTCGCTACCGATCCCCCCGATCTATTCAGCCGATCTGCTATTGACCTAGTCGGCTATAAGATGTCCGAGTATGCTGCCGAAGTTGCCCTCAAGGAGGCCGGTATCACCCCCAATGACGTGAGCGTCGTTGAAGTCCACGACTGCTTCAGCGCTAACGAGATGTGTGTCATCGATGCGCTCAAGCTTTGCCCTAAGGGTAAAGCCCACGAGCTTGTCCGTTCCGGAGGTATCACCTACGGCGGCAAGTATGTCATCAACCCATCAGGAGGTCTCATCTCCAAGGGTCACCCTCTAGGTAAGTCGAGTATCTGTGATCTCTTTGGGCTCTCGTACTAACACCCGACTTAGGCGCCACTGGTCTTGCTCAGTGTGCAGAACTCACCTGGCACCTTCGAGGCTGGGCCAACAACCGTCTAGTCAAGGACACCAAGTACGCTCTTCAACACAACCTGGGTCTCGGCGGTGCCGTCGTTGTAACCGTCTACGCCCGCCCAGATGGCAAGGCTGCCACCCCTGTCACGGATGTCGAAGTTGGCAAAATCAACGGCTTGGGTTACAACCCTGCCACCGAAGCCAAGGGCTTCACCACCGAGCAGGCGAGAAGAGTTGTCTCACAGAAACAGTTCTCGGACTGGGCGCTCCAGGACACCCAGACCAAGGTGCAATCGAGGTTTTAGGCATGAAATGTCTCGTACTCTCAATTTGATATGTATATAAAACTCTGTCAATGACCATCTATCCATATATGATGTATGATGGATGCTCCATCAAGTGTTGAAAAAGTCCGCTACCGCACAAACGTCGCATGCCATGATGACTGTTTCAAAGCGAGATTACCTACCAGCGCTACCTACTGTCCGCTAAAAGATTTCGTTTCACATAGGATGCTTATAATTTTTTCCACTTGCCTGCACCTGATTCGCGAGGGCGTAAGGGACCTGTTGACCTCCCTCCAGTCGCGAACATCCTCAATAAGCATAAGAACTGCAACATAACCAGATGAGAAAGCCACAGTGTCGTTGAAAACGTCGTCATGTCAACTTTGTTCCATTCGGACCAGAGCGGTTCGCACATTCCGGACGACTTTGACGTTGGCTGGTTACCCCGCCAGCCCACCTTGCACCTCGGAACAGAGGGTGCCAGGTATTTAATTGAACCCAACTTTCACACAGATTCTGGGTTCAAGCAAGAAACAAACCTCGATGACTCTTGATGACCGTCAGAATAGGGCAACCTCCCTCAATTGCGCAAGTAGGCTGGAATTGACCAAGTCTCGAGTCTAGCCTTGTCCTTACAGAGAAGAAACGACTATGAGTACTTAATTCGCCTTACTAAGACACTTTCCCAGTGGAGAATCTTGAAGCTGAGTCATGATAAATGGACACAGTACCTCGGGGTATTTTCCGTTGGGGACTGGGAACCTATTCGGCACATCTTTCAGGCTCATGTAGTTCAAGTAGATATGCCATTTTTCCAAGGGTTTGCAATCAATGCACAGATGCTTGATCAAGGTTTCGGGCTGCTTTCCTCTTTGGACGATTTGTGAACAATGAGACCGGCTTTGGAACTCACCAATGGAGGTGGGATTGTAAATCAAATTGTGGAATTTGGATGATATCCCCGTGGAACTGTCGCCACGGAACTTTCTACCATCGAACGAAGACGATTGACTTTTCGCGTATCAGGTTCCAAATCCCGGCGACAAAAGTGGGACGTGAGACATTTCGTCACTTATATAATTTCTGAGCTTGCCCCGATGTCGTGTCGTATTCCCGTACCCCTTCGTCGGTGACCCAGTGACACCCATTCAATTCATATTCTCTTTCGCTTCAACTAGTCAGCACTACCCCAGCCAACATGCCAGAACGCTTCGAGTCAGACGTCAAGGATGCCTCGGCACTGGGACAACCTCTTCATTTCGAATTCAGTGGGAGAACAGCTCCAAATAGATTTCTCAAGGCTGCCATGACTGAACGTTTGTCGTCATGGGATGCACACGACAGGACCAAGCGTGGCGTTCCCTCAAAGGAACTCATCAACGTCTACAAGCGCTGGGGCGAAGGAGGAATGGGCCATATCCTGAGCGGCAACATCATGGTTGATTATCATCAGTTGGAAGCACCAGGAAATCCCATCATCCCTATCGACGCCCCTTTTGAGGGTGAGCGCTTTGAAGCCTTCAGAGAAATGGCCACCCAGGCAAAGGCTCATGGCAGTCTGATAACCGGCCAGGTCAGCCACCCAGGTCGGCAGGTAGCAGCGGATGTCAACGATGATCCAATCTCTGCCAGCGACGTTCATATGGCCGAAGCCATAGGCATGAAATTCGCAAAGCCCCATGCCGCGTCACAGGAAGAAATCGACCACATTGTGAACCAATTCGCCCATGCAGCAGAATACTTGTACAAGGCTGGATACGATGGAATTCAGCTTCACGGCGCGCACGGATATCTGATCGCACAATTCCTATCTCGGACCACGAACAAGAGAACCGACAAGTACGGAGGCTCGATTGAAAATCGTGCCAGGTTGATAGTTGAGATTGCCGAGGCCATCCGCGCAAGATTGCCTTCTAACTCCGGTTTCATTCTTGGAATCAAGATGAACTCGAAAGAATTCCAAGAAGATGGACTGACCGCAGAAGAGGCCAAGCAAATATGCCAGATCCTCGAGCAGAACAAGTTCGACTTTGTCGAGCTATCAGGCGGCACATATCAGTCATTGGCGTTCCAGCACACAAGAGACAGCACTCGGGCTCGCGAGGCTTTCTTCCTCGAATTCGCAGAGCTGATCACCCCTATTCTAACCAAGACAAAGACTTATATCACCGGAGGCTTCAGAACAGTCGGGGGCATGGTAGCAGCCTTGAATACCGTCGACGGTGTTGGTCTTGGAAGACCAGCAGCCCAAGAATTCCACTTTGCCAAAGACGTCCTGGAAGGTAAGATCACAGGAGCCATCCACCAGCAGATTGATTTAGACAACTTTGGGCTTGGAAATGTCATTGCAGGCACACAGATTCGGCAGGTTGGCAAGGACCATGAGCCAATCGATATGTCCAAGAAGGAGAATGTCGAGGTCTTCTTCAAGGATATGGGCAAGTGGATGGAAAAGATGGGTTCTGGTGATCCAAACAACTATGGATATGTTGATCTGGATTCATTCAAGGCTCAACCATATATTACTACATAAGAGAGGGATAGAGCTAGAAGCCTTGCGTTAGATTTGGGCCGGGCAAAGATTGCTCAAAAAGGTCTTGATGAAATGATAGCAGCGAATACAACGTCAATTGTAGTCTAGAAAAATTATGGAATGTCTAGAGGCAAAAACAGATTGAGTGATAATTGTCGATTTGTCAGGGTAGGAACAAGGAGAACTTAGTTATCTACAGGGGGCCGAAGGCTGAGGGGCAGCCCGAGGGGCAGCCCGAGGGCCTAGCATACCTGACCTACAGAGTACATAGGGTTGGCTTAGCGTCCCGTGAGAGATCAAGTGATCTCACGTGATCAGATTCCTCATACCTCTTATCAACACGTGATCAACATATCAGTGGCAGGTTAGCCGACAGTCTTCGCATATCCAATATCCGTTCCAAATGCTTTCCTCCGGTGGAATCTTGATTGTTCCTCCTCTTCAAGGTAGGTTAATGCCACGAGACGCATGTTTGAGGACTATACTCACTGACATGATCAGAAAAGCACTTCCATGTCCGCACCATATGGCCGACAGCAACAACATCAATGACGATGACTATGTTGCCAAATTACTCGCCGAAGACGCTCGACAAAGTTCCAAGCGATACTCGTCTATCGGTCTTGCGGCATTGATACCCAAAAGGTAGTGCCCAACACCTGTTACAATGAAACACCACGGAATCTGCTGACCACGTACAAATATGTCTAGACCCACCGGTTCGGCTCCCAAGCCCAACACCCGCTTCCTGCAAAGCCTGGTCCGAGACGTCAATACTCATAATGAAGCCTTGAAGAAGAAAGAGGAACTTGAGGCCAGGATTCATCTACGACAGATCAGAGACCGCGAGTCCGGAAATCGAGTAGAAAAGACCAAGGGACACAGACATGGATACGATGAATCCCGCGAGAGGAGAAGAGACAAAGACCAGCATGACCGAGGCTCGAAACGTCGAAGATTAAATGACGACGACCAGGACGAATACCACCATAGAAATCATAGGAGGAGGGATGATGATCGCCGACACTCGCGAAAACATAGGCTTTCGCCACAGTCGAGAAGCCCTTCACCGGAGCGAAGCAAAACTGGCAGAAGCCGGTCCGAAAGAGAGTCTGAAACTGCCACTCGCACACCACGTGAACCCAGACCGGACGACCATCGCAAAAGAAATCGCCGACGCTCAAGGTCAAGGTCCAGATCAAAAAGTCCTCACCGAACCGAAGATCCAAAACGCCGTAGTCGACCCTCTCTAAAACCATCCTCCTCCTCCTCTCAATCTCGATCACACGTTCAGAAAAACCCTCATCCCACTCGTCCCCGTCGCATTTCCACCTCCAGCTCCAGCTCCACCTCGAGTTCAACAACATCAACCAACGACTCCGATCCCCTATCTTCAATCATTGGCCCCCGCCCACCATCTCCAACCATCCAACGCGGCCGGGGATTCACATATCCCAAGGACCCTACTTCGACAACAATCGACGATCGATTCTCCAGCACATACGACCCTCAAAACGACATATCCACCCATGATAAAGACACCACCGCTATCGACGACGACGATTGGGCCAACGCCCTCGAAGCCCTCCGTGACCGTCAGGCTCTACGCATGAAACAAGCAGATCGAATGCGCGACGCTGGATTCGACGAGCATGTCATTCGGAAGTGGAAAGATGGTAGTAATTCATTATTCACGAAATCAAAATCGAATGAGCGGTCTGGGTTTGGAGGAGGAGGTGGTGATGGTGGTGATGGTGGTGATGGTGACATCAATGATGTGAAATGGCGGAAGAGAGGGGAGGAGAAGGAATGGGATCAGGGAAAGATTGATCTGGATCCAGACTGATAGATACGTACCTAACGTAGCCATCGATCGAGTCTAAGGTAATGGTTGGTACGAGTCATTGAGTAAACGAATACATTTCAATCAATCGCACACACATGATAACACAGCAATTATTTGAATTCAGTGTACAAGAGTTTGGCGCGCACACCCCAACATACATGATCATCGTCATCGTCATGGTCGTCCCATATCTTTGTTGCAAGAAACCTGGAGGTTAGCTCAGGGGGTCCAACAACCAGAAAAAGTGCCACTGTCTTGGACTGGCTGAGAGAAACCTTTAGTGAAACTTGTAGTATGCATGCCAGCGACGGTTCAGTCGTCTTGTGTTGGTCCTCTGGTCCACATGGAAGTTCCTCCTTGCCAAATAGCAATATTCACGAGCTTTGCTTGCTTTCTCTCGATACAGAAGAGTATCGCCTCTCCCATCTCCGCCACTTTTTCCACCGTCGTCAATCATCAAAATGTAATGATGACATGACCCTTCCATCTTCCATCTTTCTCCTTTTCCGATGCAATCCTCCGTTATTGCAAAGCCCTAATTTCACACCTAGCGAGTCACAATCACCACCAATACTGCTGCTGCTGCTGCTGCTCCTCCTCCTGCGATAAGCAAGTCAGGCTGGCTGCGAGTCGAGTCCGAGTGAGAGTCCTTCATTAAACATGACATTGAAGCCCTTCCCTTCCCTTCTCTCCCACCCCTCCCTCCCTGAACATTAATCATTTCCCGCTCCTTTCAAAAAATAGCCGAATTTCATCATTTCCATCGTAGAGATATACCGGCAACACAAAGCCTCCTTCCTGGTCAAGTAAGTTACCATGTTGGAATCTGTTAGCCCAACAAAGTCTTCTTCTGTTCTTGCCATGGTTTTGTTAGTCCTCATAATGCACAAACATATATCCTCTTCTTTATTCCCAATTAAAGCCATCTCCCAACCAGATAGTATTGACAGACATCCATATTGATCGTAAACACCATGTTTCAAGAGTGGATGGAACGTTTTACGGTTCCCTTGATTTCGTGTTATCGTCCACTGCTGTCTGGACTTGTAGGCCGATCTTCTGTGAGTGATTTCTCGCTCCGATTTCTCTTCCAGAATGCCAGACCCATTTTTAACTTGCTCCTTTTGCGACCAACACTTCGTGTGCTCGCTTTTCGATGTCGCGCCATGCTGGACTCGTCAACCTCACCATTGCTCAGTACGGTCGTTTGAACTTCTGCCTTGCTGCTCTCATGGCTGGTTGCACTGTTGCTCCCCACGCTGAAACTCGGCGTGATGTTGGGACTGCCAGGCGACAGAGGCGCGCTAGCCGCTCGTTGTCTCATCGCCTGAAAGCTATCCTTGTTGTGCGAATACTCTTCGCTCTTTTCGGACGTGTAGCTTGGAGATTCAAAGCTCTGACTCGGCGTCAACACGTCGTTTTCACCTCCATCTCCTCTTGGCGTCGGACTCGGCACTGCTGGGAGAGCAGAATGCGTCTGCCTCGTATCATCAGCGCCAACTCCACGGGGTGTCTGGTGATCCGTATTACCTTTCGGAAAGCTGGATCGAGCATCCGCGTCTGGAGCAGAGTAATTCCTCTGTGGTTCATAAGTTCTAACAGGTTCGTCGTCTTTGGATGTCGCAAAGTTAAACTTTGCCAACTCTTCCCTGGACGACTCCTTGTGCTTCTCCTCCTTGAGAACTTCCACAGGCAAATCATCTGTACCAGCTCGCATAGAAACGCCCTGATCCCTCCTAGGGTCGTTGAGGGCTTGGATCGATTCGTCCGAAAGGTCTTTTAGCGACGTCTGCATTCTCGGCGTGCTAGACGAGTCGGGTGAATCGTCGGCGCTATCATGCGACGGGATTTGTGACTTTGAAGGGCCATGCTCGCCGTTAATCAGGTTCGCTTGTTTTCGGTTGAGCGCCAGAGGCTCAGTTTTTGTTACAGATAGCCGTCGGGGTGTGCTATCACCTTCAGTCACAGCGATGCCTGCAACAGCAGCCAACGACGACGACGAAGAATCCTCCCGCCGCTGTTCAACTTCGCCTCCTCGTCCCCTTTGCGAATCATTCCGCTTGTCTGGAGAGACCGGTCGGGCGCGAAGAGGAGAAGAGGGAAGATGTGAATGCTCAGGCGTACTGCGACGGCCTACCGGACTCTGGGTCCTGGGACTAACAGCACCATTGTCGGTGAGACTGGTTTTCTTCTTGAAGGAGGTCTGCATTTTCTTCTCATGCTCCGCCCTTGTGAACCAGACTCCTTTATTAGTCAATATCTCGTCGGCAGCGAACCGCATAGCAGGCATGATGTCGGCGACATTCGCAAAAAGTGGATGAGCGAAAATGGTCATGAAGCCGATTTGTCCATTTGCCAGCTTCAACATGTTTCCCAATTCTGGCGGGCCTCCGAAAAGTGCAGTTTCCATTCCCACGGCAGCTTCCATTTCTCCTTGATGGGCGAATTCTTTCTGGAGCAGGTGTGTCCATTTCTCGGCCACAGCCCACGGTCGTGCCTGAAACCGTAAGTACGTCATTTCACGGAAGAATCCATCACTTGAGACTTACCACGTTGCTGATATCGGCACACTTGATCAGCAGTCCACAGGTCAAAGTGCGAGCCCACTCGATATCTTTGGGTGCCCAAAGGTCGGTCCCGCTTTCACTTTGGTGGATTTTCTCCTGCAAGTTTCCGAGCTTTCCCATATAATCTGCATGCACTCCCATGTCGGTGGCCAAGATTGTGTCAATCATGAGCTTGCGGAGCACCTTATGTTGGAACGCCGCAGGCCAGTGCCTTCGAAGTATCTGTGAATAGGCTGCGCAATGGAATGCTTCTAGCACTGATTGGTCGTTGTACAGCTGGGCGAGAGGGGCATTCAACTTGACGAGGAACATGTTGTTGACTCCAGGGTGACCCACATCGTGGCCGATTGCAGCGATCAACAATGTCAGGGCTTCAAAGGGTCCCAGTAAACGGGCGATTGGTGATTTCTGGTTGGCATAGGGTGGAGGTTCTGATCCGCTGGGGTACGGTGGAAGGATGCCAATTTGGACGAGAAAGTAGAAAACTGATTGGAGAACGTCGACAGCATGGCGAAAATTGTGGTAGAGGACAAACGAATTGTAGGCCACCCTACAGCCCTGCATGAAATGAAGTATGTCACCTGTGCGAATTAGCCAGTGAAAACAGTCAGCGAGGTCCTTTGGTTACCTTCATCCATGCGCCAATGTTGTGCCTCTGGCATTTTCAGCGCATGATTGAGCATATAGTAGCCAGCATAGACCAATTCATCTTCTGTAAAATCATGGCCACAAAAGCTCCACTTGCCTACCTCCGCGGCAACGACGTTCTTTCTGTGATCTTGGATATACAGATCGCGATGTTGATAATCCTCGATCAGGTTTTGTGGTTCGCAGATGCCTTTGAGCAATTTCTTGACCATGGCCTCCCGAAGGTAAGCATACGGCTTCTCGTCCTCAACGCCGACCCAAGACTGTTTGCGACCTCTTCGCGACATGGCCATAAATCCGGTTTGTTCCTTTTTGGCGTTTTTATAGATGCGATAGGCATGGACCGTCAAGCCCATAATACCAGCTTTATCAAGAGGACTGCGAACAACGTCGAGCGCGCCAGCGTCTAGACATTGTAGCATCAATCGCTCATCGATGATGTCAGAATTGTCTTTGATCTCGACAGGTTGTGCTTCAGGCCCGTAAGGAGCTCTGGATATTGTGCTCGGTTGGACTTCGTCGTCGGTTTGATCGTGAGAGTCCTTGCGCTTGGGTAGGACGATGGCGACGGGGATAATCAGCTTGACGCCTTCTTCGACTTGAAGGTCAGAAGCTATTCTGGACAAAAGCTGCAAACCGTAGGATTCATCGGACTCGGAGGAAAAGGTGATCTCTCTGCGGAGGAGGTTTGGGGAGGGAAGAGGAGAGTCGGAGGCAGGAGAGAATCTTGACTTGGTGCGCAAATGTTCATTCTTTGATTCAGAACCAACATCAAAGCAGGCGAGGATCGGGGTGCAGTCGGATTTGACTTGCTCGTGAAGCTCGGACAGTTTGGTGGAGAAGGATCTCCCGGAGGAGCAAACATAGACTAGATGTGGGAGAGTGGACCTGTCAGCTGGGGGGTAATGCGGCAACTTCTGGTCCCTGCAAACTTACCTTGGTTGAAAACACTCAGAAAGGCATTCACGTTGGTTTGAAGGTCATGCGGTAAGTCGGAGAATTCAACTTGTGAGCCTTTCCTTTGGGGAGTACTCGGTGATAAACCCTCCCGCGAGATCCATCTTTCCGTGTTGAATCTCTCATCAATGTACATTACTCGACAAGCGCCTGGATCCATTGTGCCGAGGCGAAGATAAAGATATGAAGAAAAGGGCGCTCCTTGGTGGAATCGCAGTCTTAGAGGTCCATACTGTGGGAGCTGGCGACCTTTGGTTTAGACAGACGTATTGGGAACGAAGCGGAGCGCAGCGTCGCCACCGAGACTTGAGTGGTGCAGGCGGCGTATCGGGTGATCGTGAGATTGTGCTAGGCGGAAAACAGATCCGATGAAGTTCAAATTGATATTGGGCGCGTTGTGCAGGATGTAGATGGTATGAGTATTATGCAGGGTGCTCGAGAGCTGGGAGGGAGTGCTTTATAGAGTACGGTCGTTTGTTCTCTTGGACAGAGATGACGGAAGGCAAGGCGAGGAAGGAAAAGGATTCGAGGTGAAATGGTAGGTCGAGAGACGCCTTGCGTTGGCAGCTCGATTGTCGAGTCGGCGACTACTGGCACAGAATTGAGCGGAAAAGGAAAAAGGTTACAGCTTGATCGCAGAAAACGGAGCCGTGTAGGTAGCTGTGTCGCAGGTGCCAATGGGAAATGGTAGCGAAGGGGCGGGTAGTCAATCGGTGCAACCAGGAACAACTGGAGACAAGCGAACAAGCGAACAAGAGATGATTGCAGAAGAAGGAGGTCGTCGATGGACGGTATGGAGAATGGTATCGTGGTTTGAGGCGAGGAGAGGTCGAGGTGTGGTCATAACTCGACAGGTGCAGCGGTGCAGCTGGACGAGATGAGTCGAGTGTAGCAACAGCAGTGATGGTAGCAGTAGCAGTGGCTACCTCAGGACTCGGCACTCGTAACTTCTGGGGGATCAGCACCGACAAGTCGAACGAGGAGAATGATCAGCATAGGCAGTGATAGCCGTGGGTGGACACTGGAGCGAGAGGGACTGGAGGGGAGTGGCCTGGCGCCAAATAAATGGAGACTAGAGGGAGCGAACGAGTGGGAGGGGAGGGTTCATACGACCCGTCCAGCCTGCCGAGCCTGTCCAGTGTATCCGTGCAGCATGGATGGTGGTTGGTGAGCTGCCTAAGTAGTGAGATCTCCAAGGCTTCAACTCTGCGATTGTCCAGCGCATGATCAAGGGATGAGTGTGGATGATGGTGTTTGTACTTGGAAGTGTGAAAAGCCAAATCAGATTGAATTGAATTTCAGGGTACAGCTAGGAATTGTAATCAGGTTACAACGGTGAGGATCAAGACCCAGCCAGATGCTCCAAAGGGGAGAAAGAATAACGAATAACGACTAACGATTAACCAAGTCATGGTACTGCAGCCTGCCCGCAGTAGGTAAACACACGTACAGTAGGAGCTACTGTACGGCTGATGCTAAGCTAAGCCCACACGCCCTTCGCTTTGTCGGGGGCACGAGGGGTTGGCACCAAGAATGCGGAGCCGTGCCCAATGGCAATTCAGTGGGCGATGGGGCAGAACGAATCGACGCCTGCAACTGCTTGATCAGCTTAAGCGGAATCAAGGCGGCGGACGATGGAAGGAAAAGAAGGCCAACGAGTTTCCAAACGGCGATTCTAAGCGGTAGGGATACGAGCGCCACGCCACAACCAAACCTGGCTTGATGTCCGGTCTACTTACCCTCTGTGGGTCATCCATCAGGCATGATCCCCGGCACCCGGTCATCATCACTCCCCAGTTCTTTAACTGAGAGACAGGACTTTCTCGGGTCAGAGGATACCTGGCACGCCTGGATGGAGCAGCCGCGGAGGCCATAAGTCGTTACAAAATGTGCGTCCCAAAAGTCAATTATTTCTTGTCCTCAATTAGGCACCAGGCTCTAGGCTTCAGGCTCCAGCACTTCACAAATCGATTACCGTGCATCTGCTGGAAGGATGATCAACAAAGCTGGATGATTTTCCCCTCATCCACACCTTGTTGCTTCTACGGCCCTTCTAGAATCATCAAGGGCCCTTGTACAACACACCATCTATTGAACAATCCCTGTCATCATCGTCACTCGAAGTCATATTCTCATCACTGGTCAGCCATACATGTGGAAGTCTCGCACTCTCAAGCATCGAAGCACCATCTTTGACGTTGGAGTGACCTATACCCTTGAACCTTATAGCAAAGCCCCCCCCCCGGCCCCCGGGGAGGGTGTTCCAGGCGTGTAGGATACAAGTGTCGCACAGCGCACGGCGGAGTCTCCGAAAGGCCCCGCGCCAATTATCTCAATATACCTAGGTGATGAGCCTGCACACTAAACACTGATCCATGGAATTCTGCTAGTATGTAATGCCTCTCCTGCCTGTGTACATCCGAGACGATAGATAGCTACCTATGACTGATCTACACTGCCCATCCCTAAAACAGGTGATGGGCCCTTTTTCATCAATCAATCCTTAGTCCTCAAACGGTCAGTCGTATGGGGCTCGTGACTGTAGATCACTACGTCTTGACCCTTATCTCATGAGCGTCCAATAGATGTCACCTCCCTCTGTCCCATCACCATGACGATCCAAGATATCTTTCTACCGCCTAGCTTTACGCCTTTGCGCAGTCGCAATGCTCATGCCGTGATTCATATGGCGGTGATATTTCGGGCCATTAGAGTCACCGCTGTTTAACGCGACCTGGGGTGCGCTCTCGCTCTCGCTCTCGCTCTCGCTTCACTCAAAGTCGCCATCGTTCCGCACTAGGCTCTCTCGACGCCATCACAATACTGCCCCGGCCATCAACTGGCATGGGGGAATCGGAAGTCATGACTGGGGTCATCCAGCGATGCATCGAAACAGCTGATCGTGATGCATAGCGGCGTTTCGTCACCGGTCAAGGCTAGCCGCCTGTTTGAATCTCTTAGCCAAGCCATCCGATGGGCCCTCAGGGTTGGAAATATCATCGGTTGTATCCAGAGACCAAGTACGCTTCAAGGGCCGCTCACCATAAGATTCGAGTATAGCCATCAACGTTCCCCATCCCGAAGATTCTGTCAGATGGACTGCGTCTACTTTGTCGCCACGGGTCGCAACCTTGCACAGCAGTTTTTCCTCATCCTAATCACCGCCTCAGTATCGACCTCGCAGAATGTGAGCTTGCTTACCTGACTGAAAACACCCATGCCGTGCAGAAAACACAACAGGTGAAAATCCGAGACAGCGTCGATGTTGGATCCTTTCAACTGCTTTGCAATATCTCGAGGATCTTGGCCTTGGGCCACCGCCTCGCGATGTTCGATGGGAAACTTGTCGCTCTTGAACAACGGTTTTGGACTGATTGGCATACCTGCTGTGAGTGAAACAAGCAGGTAGTCGACTGGAAAACTCGGTTTGGCGTTTTCTTGAACATTGGCTCCATACTCGTTGATACGCCGGTAGAAAACCTCGGGAATATATCGTGACCGAGTGCCGTCGACTTCATCATCTTCCGCCTGAACCAGCATCACGCTAGGTTCTGCCGAGGGCTCGACGATGTCGGCTCGCACCATCTCGACAGCAGCGTTGGATGCTTGGTAGGCATTGATGGTGATGGTTTCGTCCTGATCTCCAGTCACCACGCAGGTGACAAAGCTGGAACCAAATCGACCCGTGTCACTCCACTTGGATGCCTTAGGGTATTGTGCCTGCAAGCGCGACGCAAATGCGATTTCCAGTGATGACAGGAAGTATGAGTCCACATGCCGACGGCAGATAGCCTGACCATCACCACTCTCAGACGGCACTAGGTCGGTGAAAATAACTCCGACGCGCTCAAGACCACACGCCTGCGCGACCGCATCAATCTCTTTCTCGTTGGGCCATTCCAAAAGCGTCAGGCCATCGACTTCGCACATTTGCGGCGGTTCATAGATGGCTTCGACCACGGCTTTGGTGCCTAGTGGGACTTCTGTATATTCTTCGTACCGACCGTAGAGAAACCCAAGTCGCTGGGCTCCCGATCTCCGCCAAAAGTCAATCAGCTTGTCCACCATCTGTGCTGATGCAAATTCGACATGATCGACCATGCGGAATTCCTGAGGTTGTAACGTGATGGCACTGGGTTGACATTTTGAACAGATACCACCTGGCCACGGGGGATGGCCCGATGGGCAGTCTTTCTTCACCCGATAGTATGGCTCTGTAAGCGGAGGCATGTACGAACTCTTCAATTCTGGTTTGTTGGTAGCCGAGTTGATCTTTCGCAGGTAACTGTGAAAGGATAGATGTTTGATCTTTCTCTCTGCGAGATAGTTTTTGTCATAGGGCTCTAGCGGCTGGCAGTAATCACACATGCCTTTCGGTCCATGTCGACACATCTTCTGATCTCGGGGCCGTGACAGTTTTCCATCGAGTTTGTCTAGTCGATCGTCGAGCGCAGATTGTCTGACAGATTCCCACGGGTTCTTTATCAGAGTAGGCGATGTCACAGAGGGAATGGACAGGGGAGCAGTCTCAGGAAGAGCTATTGTTCCGTTTAACCGTCTCGGGGCGGCCGGGGCGGAGGTGGTTCCACTGTCGGTGTGGCCGTTGGATAGGTTTTCAACCTCTGAAAAGCCGAGGAAGAGTTTGTCTCCATGTCTGGAATCTGTTGTCAGAAAACCCACGAAAGCAGGAGTGGATGACCAACTTTAGCCCGACTTGATGAATTTCTATGCCTGGTAGATCGGCGAGTCTTCGTTCGTTCTCGGGATTGGACTTTGAACTGATGGGTTTGTTGCTCAGGGTAATGGAGGCGGCATCGGTATTTGGAGGGAGGTTATCGAGAATCTGGGGAGGCTTTGGTCAACGAGGTACATCAAAGGACTGGTATAACCCATCTTACCTGACCAGCCAAGGCAGAGAATCTTGTGTTGGGTTCGACGTTCAATCGAAATTGGCCCCATTTTGACTCAAATCTTAACAACATAATCTCCAATTCAACAGGCAACGTAAGGCCGGGTATTTGAGGATAGGCAGATAGCAGGACGTGGAGAGATAGAGGTGATGAGTTTGGCAACGCAGGAGAGACGTTCAGGTCATTGTGTTGGAGGAATGCGGGAGAAGGCGATGGCAACTTGTACAATGTCACTGGCTCTGCGGCGAGGGCAGTTTGGTCGAGGCCGGGGAAAGGCTAACAGTCGACGAATGAGGCTCTATGAGGTTCTTCGATAGGCAAATGGACGAAGTGGTGGCAACTGGTTGGTGTAAGAGTTGATGTCGGTTTCTTAGTGTGTCGTGTCGTTGGAGAATAGAATCAGTGGTAGGCGGAAATCAAGTTGCGTCATTCCTTTGGTGGACAGGCACGCCAGGCACGCCAGGCAAAGCACAAGCCGAGGGGTGATGGTTGTGTCCGCAGACCCTGGAGTGCCACTGTGTGCGTCCCTGGTGCTTAGACAGCCCAGCGATAGGTACCTGCTTTTAACTAAACGCACGCTTATTAATGGGGTTCTCATTAGTGTGGTCGTGCATCCCTCTCTGTAGTTTATGCCTAATAAGCACCTGACTGTAAGTGAAGAACGGAATACAGGGATATTCATACTACTTCCTTAGGTACTTCAAGAGTTCTGTGTATGTGCTGCTGAATGCCCCAGTACCGATAATGCAATGGAAAGTTCAAACACTAAAGTGCATCCCTGTGTGCTATAGAGTACCTCCGTGGTCTTTTGAAGCCATTTTCGATTTTGCCGATGCCAAGATAGCGCCAAGTCAATGCTGCTCCAAATATAAACAAGCCCCAACAACCGGCCTTGGCAAGTCATTCTGTCTGACCACGCTTCTTTTGGCCAAAGAATATTCCTTTTCTTTACCGGAACGACCACGGAACGGAATATACACCTAAATTTACGTCTTTCCTCCATGCACATTCAAAGCTATAGCCCTGGCCTGTTCAATTACACGATTTTGTCTAATGCAATAACGTCGCTGTCTTCAACGATCATCATTAATGTATGCTGGTGACAGTATTTACGGAGATGTATGAGAAAAGTTTCAAGCAAATAGATGCACCTTACACCCCGGTTGCAGGATCAGCTTTCCATGGCTACTCTTGTCATGGAAGTTTCTCACGGCCAGGACTCAATCCCCTCTCAATCCCGCGAAACTAGAAACATCCAAGTGTAGCGATTCATAATGCTCGCGAAATCTAAAGGAGAAATAGTCGTGCCAGGCATTCGGCAAGATCATCGTCAATCGATAGAAAATCGCCATCAACCGTCTGATGAAAGTGGAGAAACTTGCAGGCGCCGAATCGACAATTGTAAAATACTCGTCGCTCCCTCTGGAATGGACAGAACAAAGTTCGTACTTCAAAACACCTACTTTAAAAGTCTCTCTGCACGATTAAAAGCACTGGCGTTTCGGCAATGGCTAACCATGCAGATGCATGAATAGTCCCAAAGTCGATTGAGAAACACCTCGTGGCATCATGTACCGAGAAGACCATAGTTCCATCACCAGCTGCCCATACAGGAAGGTGAACGCACTACTCGTGGAATTAAATCGGGAAGCGAAGAAGCCAATCCCAGCAGCTAGAGATAGGCTTCTTAACAAAACAATTGGACTGCGCTTGCCCAGTCACTCCTTAACCACAGCGCTGCCGGCGCTCCTTGTACCTGCCTTTCTCTCCTGGTTCTGCGTAATTTCAGAAATGTTATTTCCCAACTGCGAGCGAAAATGCCGTATCCCACCATGGTGTTTGAAACATAGCATAAGCTGGTTTCCAATAGCATCCACTAATTTACCATCGGGTTGAATTTTGATTGAAGGGTCGATACAGAGTGGTGTGGAGGATTCTAGAATTTTAGGCAATGACCCACTTCGTGGGAGCGCCTTTCTTAATTTGGTTAGAAACATGGTTAAGAATACTTCCAATCATTATCGAGGATGTTTGTGGACTCTGTAATTTATAGCATCATATTACTTCGTAGTTCGATTGCCCTGTCATTTGACGTATGTCTCCCGGAATTTACCCTAGTTCCCGTGTTTCCCCACTTTCCACTTTGCGCTAGGCTGAGACCTGCTGTGGAAAACTCGACACGTGGCTTTAGATTTGATAATCCGCTTATGGCGAGGACAAATCGATATTCCATCCTATTGACTCGTCACCATAATCACCATTCAGACTTGAAAAATGTACAAAGATGTTGAATTGATTCTTCAGGAGGAAGCCCAAGATGAAAGAGAGTCCGTAAAAATCCCAGTGTCGTCTCATGTCATGTCAATTGCGAGCCCCGTGTTCAATGTCATGCTCCAACCTAAGGTCTTCGAAGAGGGAACAAATCTTGCAGGCCAAGGTTTCGTTCAAGTGTCACTTCCTGACGACAATCCACAAGCTATGGCTATTCTCTGCAATATTTTCCACCTAAAAGCTAGTAATGTTCCAATGGCAAACATAACTGTTGATCTCCTTGGTGAAATAGCCACACTAGTGGACAAGTACGACTGTGCAGAGGCTATACAGCCGTGGCCAGAACTATGGTTGCAACAAGAAAGCATACAATCTAATTTGAAACGGGATATATCCTTTAACTTTGAAGAAGCAGCAAGGTGGACGTATATCAGTTGTCACTTGGGATATGAGGAGCTCTTCGAAAGATCTACATCGACGATATTTAAATTGGTGAGCTTGGATGATATGGAAGAAGGACAGAGCGAACCCTTCGCAAACTTGTCTCAAATCATACAGGGTAAAGTAGATGAATGACCAAACCGGCCCTGGGATCTAATATATCAATCTAGATGAGATGAGATCCAACCACCAGAAAGCCATCGACCGATTTCGCCGAATGACTGTAAACACACCACTCGATTTGAAGCCCACCCTGTCTATTTCAGGGAAAAGGCACCACCGAGGTGGGAATATGTTTGACACTAATTAATGGCACCTACGACACTATCTTCAGGGCTGGGAAGGAAGCCAGTGTCTCCGAAGCGCTGATAATTGCTGGGTGATATGTGGTATGCGTAATTTTGCTCACGCAGTAGGTATTTTTCAAGGACGTCAAGGCAAAATGTAGATAATTCGCTGAAGATACCGGCCATTGGATTCACTGCAATTTGCGAAACCTCATAAGTGCAGCGAAGTGGGAAATTCATATATGCCGAATCTTGGTGTGGCATTACATGTGGTGTTTATCACGTGTGTGAACATAGTGCTCGTACAGGAAATGCTGTCTGCCCCGATTTGCAAGCCCAGGTTTCATTCGTGGCCATCGAGTAAAGGAGACTTTAGAAAGGCAGGTATAAACTGTTGTTTCAGGAAATGAGATGCTTAACTATCTAAATTCTAACTGGAGCCCCAGGGCACTAAATTACAATTATACCACCATTCCTAATAGGGGTGGCTGTCATTTCACAAGGTTATATCATAAACGAGCTGAGGGACACAAAACTGGGCCATCTTGGTCACACGAAACTGTGAGGGATTCTACAGAGAGGTAGCGTAAACGGCGGAGTAAGTAGATAAGTAAACGTTCTATTCTATCCGGGCCTTGTAGGCCGTACTCTAATAAGAACTCAAAGCCATAAGGATGCGAAGAGCCTACGCATCAGGTGCGCTGATGATAAGACCCCGCTCCTTGGCGCTCTGAGTGCGAGGTGGTGCAGCTATACGGCGGAGCGTAGGGCTCTGCCGTAACAGAAACATCCAAACAGGGAACGAATGTGGCCGAATTATGGGCCTCGACTCAAGGCTCACATTTCCTCAGGCAGCAGCATCAACACCTCAGGGCGCTTAGATGTCGCTCAGCCACGCCTCAGGATTGCTTAGTCACCACTCAGATTAAGCGGCAGGTTGCTCAGGTCCGCAAACGGAAATGGCCTTTGCTTTGGCTAGTTTTGACCAAAGAATAAATCGCTATACTTGGCAACCACTCCGCTCCAGATCCGACTATCACACCTTTCTTGCTATATCACACTCACTCACAGGCACCAAGCCCGAGACACCAAGCATTCCTTTACCAAATACCAATACCAGCCCTCCCTCTCCTCTGCAGCCCTGCCTGGTGGCAGCGCCCTGGCAATCAGGTGACAAATCAAGAGATGGGAGCAAATATACACGTACAGGCAAGGCCAACTGCGCCTGTCTCTACTAAAGGGCTGCCACAGCCCAACACTTCTATAGAAGACAGAGCCAAATATACAATCGTTACTGCCTCAGTTCCTATCACTCCCGTGAAGATATCACTCCATACAAACCCCACTAAAGGAGTCGTGGCCGACTCCAACAGGAGCAGATGACTCGCTGAACCATTTCGGAACAACACGTCGTTAGCTGCGTATGATATACTTCGAGCTATGACTTAAGAGAAGTCTTTGGATAGGCGATTGTCTATGCTCCATATAGCCCTAGACTCATCGAACAATAAATCGCGTTATATAGTTACAGCCATAATGTTGCTTCCCCATTGCTTGGGGTGCTCTCTTAGCCGCCTCCCCTTCCCACGGAACCTGCTAGGCATTGCCTGATCTTGAATATATTCACCTATTCTTCGTTGATAGTCTATATCAACCTTCACGGAGCGTTACAATCCCCACTCACTGCTCGAGTTGATTCAGACCGCATTGACTGTGCCAACAGCATTATTCTCGACTTGAACAAGCTCTTGCTTATCTTCAACAATACCCTGTCCATCAGACGTCAAGTGCACGTCCACTTTAGCCCGAACAGAGCCCCAATTTCTTCCATAGGAAGGCCTTTTGTCTCGGGATTGTACAAATAGACTACGATGAAGCCGATGAGACGCTGGCCAGCGTATACTATAATTAAGCCGCACTTACTGTGATTTTGTTAACAAGCTCTCTTTTGCTTAGCTTAAAGTGCCAGTGTTGGGAGGACTCGGATCCTGCGGATCCCACATTCGAGCATGATACTAAAAACCTCCCCTAGTCTAGAGCAAGAAACACTCCTTCGCAGATTCAGTTTATATGAAAATATACCATAGCACAATCGTTTCAGCTTGTGATCATCGATTCTCGAGCTCCTTCTCATCGGCCAAGACCGTCGCCTGAGTTTCGGCGTCAACTTGTTGAATCTTGGCGGCCTCCAGAAGTTCCATATTGATAATCTGTGTCAAGTGCTTTAGTACTACTTCTCATGGTCGCACAACAGGGACGAAGATTCATCATTCTGGATCAGACTCACCGGTCCCACAAATGTCTTTCTCTTGCCAGAGAACCACATGATAACAATGATCAAGGCACAACCGGCGACAACGACAGAAACATAATTCATGTCCTCGACCTCTGCGGGCAAGAATGTTGGCAAGCAGAACAATACTGTGTACAAGCAGACCCAGCACACACAGAAGATGTTGCAGAAGGGTCCAAAAATCTTGCCCAGATTGAATTGCCTTGTATGCGGAAGGACCTTATCTCGACCCCGGAAGAAAACGATGCCTTGTGGAATCGCATATGTGACATTGAGCGAGAGGATCGACATCGAGATGAAACTGTTGAAGGCTGTTGTGGATCCAACGTAGATGGCACCGTAACAGGCAACGAATATGCTTGAAGCAATCGTCGCATTAACGGGCATTTGGAGGGTGGGGTGGATCCTTGCAAAGGTAGATGAGTACGGAAGTCCGTTGTCGCGAGCAAAAGCCCAAGTCAGACGCCCTGTGGCTGCTACGACACTAACGACCGAACCAAAGTAGATGACTAGAAGCCATACGGCAAGGAACGTGGCACCTGAGCGGTTGTTCAACGCTTGTTGATAGACTTCGAGGATGGGGAAGGTGGAAGATGCGACGGCGTCGAGATCGTTGGTCGAGAAGAGGAACGCCAGAGTCCAGGGGATGACGCTGACGGCTGATATGCCCAGACTGAGCATCATTGTTCTGGGAACACCTTTGCCCGGGTTCGGAATTTCCTTGTTCTTGTCAGCTTGGAGCTCTCGGCCCTCTCACAGCCACTGAAACCTACTTCTGCGATATGGGATGCACCATCCGTGGCAATGTACGCATACATGCAGGTCCCAACCCCCAGGATGAAAGAGACACCGTCACTCCACCCAGTGACGTTGGTTACCTCGGTGAACACGACCTTGGCTGGCTGTTTGGTGTCACTGGCCGAAAGTACAGTGATGAAGAAGACAATGCAGCCAGAAACGCTGATCAGGAAGAATCCAATCTCCGTCTTCGGCAGCTGTCGTGGGAAGAGGACGACAACGGCAGTTGCGAGAGCCTGGTACAAAATGTACATCAAGTATATCTGCCACTGCGTTGCGACATAGTTCTCATGCCAGAACCCTGCGATCGCGGCCGTGATCTGGGCACAAACGACGGTGGCACTGGCCGTGAAGAGGCAATAGGCGATGACAGAGAGCCAACCCATAACGAAAGCAACGCTCGCCCTTGTCTTCCCCGATGAGACCATGAATGCGAAATGGTATTGTCCTCCAGTCGAGGGAAACGCGGAACTTAGCTCTGCCAGTCCGGCAGCTGTATGGTGGTTGTTAGCACGCATCCAGCGAACGATTTCAAGCAGGTTGCGCCGTCTGGAAGTGATCTTACTGATAATCGAGCAGGCAATCGAGGCAACGATCAGGCCCCAGAATACATATGGCCCACCGCCCGCCAGCAACGGGTATGGGAAGGTAGCTGAGTACCCGATCCATGCGCTTGTCAGAAGGAAGGCGATGGCCAGAGTTGAAAGCGTAGAGAATTGTCTGGGGAGCTCTCCCCTGTGACCCTGAGCCCGGAGTTCGAGCTCATCGGCGGAAATGATAGCCTCTTGCGAGTTTTCAGGCTGCACTGTGTGCTCTTTGAGAGACAGTGGTGAGTCGCTCATCTTTGCTCTACTTGACACAAAAATATGGCCCTGCTCTATGGGAAGAGAGAAGGGAGACTGAGAAAAGAAAGGGTGAGAACGTTCGCTTTAGCATTGTTGCTTGATTCTCCTGTCACCTATATTCCCCTACCTACATTGAGATCTGTCCCGGGTTGTATACAATGGAGACGCCAGAATACTGCTGTGGCCAATCATGAGGTGCCAATTGATGAGGCTGTCTGATTGGAGATCTCTTTTGTTATCCGCCGTCGACGGGGAAGATATCAGAGGAATCTTATCTGGAACCCATATTCTTGATAAGATTTTTCTCTGCCGGCTCCATGGGAGTGGTGCGCGGGTCAGACGCCAGGATGTGTTTTGTTCTTTGCGGCCGTGCTCTGCTACCCTTTGTATCCACATCGGACGCTTATCGCGCAGTCCGAAACAATCTCGATTCGCTTATCCGCCGTCGAATACTTTTTCCACTGCTTGAAAGTATACCTGGGCCGACAATGTGGTAGACATTGAGCAGCGAACCATGAGCCAAGGATGCCACAGTGCATGCTCGTCGAGCTATGGATATAGGAGGTGAGGGAGGGCCCTGCTCACTTCGTCAGTCGAACGTTGTATCTCCTTTACGAGAGAGCGTTGCTTGAAGTAAGGCGCCATGATTTCATTCTTCGTCCTGCTTCCCGTAGTGGGTGCTCTGGCACTCGTTTCATCCGTCTTCTACAAATCACTGGCATTGAAAGATATCCCTGGTCCATTCATCACAAGATTCACAAAGATCCCTCTCCTCTACCAGACGATCACTTTGAACAGAACTCGACACATCCACCATCTACATCAGAAATATGGTCCCCTGGTGCGATTGGCTCCCGACGAGATCTCTCTCAACCATCCACCGTCCGTCGGTCCCATCTACAACTATGAGAAGACGCATTTCTACAACGCCTTCGAGGCATACGGGGCGAAGAATATGTTCAGTACGCCAGACCGTGCGAATCATAGCTATAGGCGAAAGCACCTCGGCGGCGAATACACCAAGGCGTACATAATTCGACCGGAGAATCTGGCCGTCATCTACGATCGAGTCAAACAGATGATCAACAACATCTCAGAGCACAACGCTGTCGACGTGTTCTATCTATTCAATTACATGGCCCAAGATGTCATCTCGGGGTTCTTCTTCGGCAACCAGAACGGAAGCCAACTGCTCCAGGGCAAGGACACCGAAGTGTTCGATGCCTGGCACATGCGAAGACACACCTTCCACTGGTTCGCCGAGCTCCCCAACGTCACGAAGCTGCTGTACTCGTCGGGTATCGCGTACTTGATGCCAGGCTGGAAGGATGCCGAGGCCGGAGAGCACATCATCAACAAGATGACCAACAAGTGGATGGACAAGTGTGATCCGGAGAAGGCACACCTCCTGACCAAACTGATGAAGACAGAAATGTCGCGCGAGCAAATCTCGGCAGAAGTTATGGACCACATGGGCGCCGGGCACGAGACGACAGGCACAACACTCACGTTCATGATTGACCACCTCTCCAAAAATCCCGAGCAACAGCGAAGGTTGCATGAGGAACTCAAGACCGTCGACCTTGACAACTTCGCCGTCATCGATAAGCTGCCGTATCTGCACGGCGTCGTCTTGGAGACTCTGCGCCTTTACTCGTCCATTCCGGCCTCGGAGCCGCGCGTCGTGCCGGACGGCGGCATCACACTCCTGGACAAATCCATCCCAGCATCCACCGTCATTTCCGCCCAACCGTACAGCATGCATCGACAGGAAGAGTACTTTGACCAGTGCCTAGACTTCATCCCTGAGCGCTGGGTCGAGCCGACGGCGAAAGCGAAGACGGCTTGGATGGCCTTCGGTAAAGGCACGAGGGGCTGTATAGGCCAGAACATCGCCATGGTCACGATCAAGGTTGCCGTCAGTCATTTGTACAAGACGTTTGAGACGAGGAAGCCGGCTGTGCTGCCGGAGAGGGAGAATATGGATTTCAAGGATTATTATATGATCACGCCTGTGGCGGACACCTGTTCGGTCGTCTTCCAGAAGGTGGACGAGGCCGAGAAGTGACAGGGGTGATTAGTCCTGGATATCTGTACTAGTCCTTAGTCGGACTCCGGTGGACATGAATATACTCGAGGGAACCGCGGGCTGCTAGTTACTGCAACACGATACCATGAAACCAGATGATAAGGTGCTACCGTGCTCTGTACCTAAGGTTGGTGCGAGACAGCGGGCCCGATCCAAAGATAACTAGGTTGAGGTTCAATAACAAGGAATAACCCACACACCCAGGTCCGATGCTCGGGGACTAGACCAAGGTGAACAGCCTCAACTACTAGACTACCCGGCCCGTCAAGGGCTTGTGCATCTCAAAATGTTGATACGTTCTTGAATTGGTGAAGAGTTCATGAAGAATTCGTTCTACATTCTATCCAGGAAGATATATTTGGTTACATCTTGTGACCACGACCAACCGTATCACCGCGCCACAAATTCCAACGGACAGCTCAGCGCATACGGCACTCCACTAGTCAGCTGGTCGTCCATGCGCATAGACTCCTCGGTGACCCCAGGCGTTAGCCGCGTCGTGTAGTGCATGTACACTGCGGCAACGATCAGCTTCATCTCGACCATGGCGAGATTGTGGCCCAAGCACATGCGCCCGCCAGAGCTGAAGGGCCAGAAGTAGTTGCGCATGGCCGCCAGATGCGCGGCGTCCTCCGTCAACCATCTTGCAGGGTCGAAGAGGTCCGGGTTCGGGAAGACTTCTTTCACCCGGTGCAGACTGTACGACTGGCACCCGACGGTCGTCCCGGCAGACACGGCATGGCCAGCGATCACGGCGCCCGTGGGAGGTACGATGCGGAACAGCGTCATTGGCACTGGTGGCCTCCAGCGCATGGCCTCGTGGATCACAGCGTCGAGATATGGGAGTCTGTCGAGCATGGCGATGGGCGCGGTTCGCGTCACGGGATCGAAGGCGTCTTTGATGCTCGAAAGTTCAGCGAAGAGCGTGTCTTGTACGTGTGCGTACTCGGGCGTCGAGATGCGCCACATCAGGATGCACATGGCGTCGCCGGTCGTGTCGACGCCTGCGACCAGGTGGTCCATGCACTCGGCAGCGATGGCGGGCTCATTGTTAGGGATCTCCCGGAAGAGCTTCGCGCACGCTGAGACGGTGTCTTTGTTGGCTTGATCGCGACGGAAGGCTGAGACGCTGTTTTCACCGTAGTCGTTTAGCCGGCTGCCGCGGACGTGGAATGCCGTGCTGTGACCGCTGAGCTTGCGCATGATAAACGTCATCTGCGACTTGAGCGACATCATCCAGCCGAAGTAGTGTAGCATGTACAGACGTGTGCGGTGCTTGACGCCGGAGAGATCGTAAACGATCCCTCGGTGTTCTGGAGTCGACAATGTCTGTGTGCCGTAGATGCCATAAAGATGATTGGTGATCGCGCTAAGAAGAGGTCAGGCTCACAGCTTACAAGAAAGAGAGAGAGAGGTTGAGCATACTCAAGTGCGTAGTAGTGTAGCCAAGTGTAAACATCGAGAACGGGTCCTTGGACAGTCACTTGCTTCATAAAAGCCGAAGCGTGCTCGCGGACTTTGTTAGCTACGGACGGCTGCATCACATAGCTCTTGGTGTATCGATCTGCAACAAGCCTCTTCTTGGCCGAGTGCTAGAAACAGAAGCATGAATACACTGGCAGCGCTGATGGGAAACGAGGAGAACGTACGTTTAGCTTGTCTAGACTGGTGAATGTGTTCCGCGTGTTGTAGTACACGAACAGGTCGTAAAACGAGCTCTTCGAGAAAGTCGACTTGATGCCATAAATCTCCTTCAAGCTATCGTAGCTGTTGAACGAGACTTCATCCGGCGACAGTCGCACCACTGGCCCATAGCGAGAATGGAGTTTATCGACTAGAACTGTTCTGTCACCTTTGAATTCGTGGTACATCATCCATAGCTGAGTCACTGCGGTGATTTTGGGGCCAGGAAATTTCGACAACGGCGCAAAGAAAAGCCGATACAACACAATGGCTGCGAGGGATGCGACTGCGCAGAGGAGTGCAAGCACTATCGGGCGTGACCCGAACAAAACGGCTGCCATTGCTATTCTCGATGAGATGTAGGTATCGTTCAAGGGAATTCGAGCGTCATACAAGCAAGTCCTATCCCTCATGCACCATATAAAGGGCCGTTCGTATGAGTATAGGAGATCGGTAGAGCCCCATGCACTCTTCTCGGCCACGCTAATCCGCCCATATGTGAAGTGTGGGTTGAGAGGGTGGTAGCCGGGCGTTATCAGCATGACCGACGTCGAGATCTGAAGTCCTTATCAACGGCCAACTTGAACGGCGGCTGGCTGGTCGATATCCGTGGGCTCCACTTTCGACGCCTTATCATGCACGTCCCCCGTAGGGCTGAGGCCCGGGGGATCCTTGTTGCAAACAGCTGGGTGATGAGCAGGCGAGGCAATTGATCCGCTGTCTTCAAGGCATGTGTCGTAAAGAGGCTCATGTTATTGATCGGTGTCGATCAATCTGGTTTCCCACAAATCCCATGTTTCTTTCCAGCACTGAAGACGGACGCTTTGTCCGAGGATCATTTTCAAGCGAGCATTCCTCTCTCGGCTCGCAAGCTATCGTACCTCAACACCGCCCCAAGCAGCACCTGCGCACCCAGCGCACAGTCTTCAGGACTACAGTATTCCGTGGGTGTGTGTGACAGCCCTTCTCTCGTCGGTGTGAAGATCATACCAGTTGGACATCTTCGACTGGTTTGGAAACTGTCGTGCCCCGCGCCGCTGACCATACGTTTCCATGATTTGCCGTCTTCGGCGGTCTTGGGCAGACCCGCAACAGTCTCCTCCGCGGACTCTTCGATCACGTCAATACAATCTTGGTGAAACATGACGGCTGGAGCGGCGGCCAGCTGTCTCCATTCCAGCGAGACTCCTCGCTCACTGTCTCGTGCGGCGATCGCGCTGAACGTTTGCCGGCATTCGGCTTCAATCTGGGCAAGGACGCCGTCCGTAGGATGCCGCATATCGATAGTGAAGCGGACGGTTTGCGCCATGGTGTTGATACTCCCCGGGATTGTCTCGACGATTCCAGTTGTGATTAACCCTGAGTGCGCTTTTGCAATCTTGTTCGATTCAACAATCATCTTCGCAGCAGCCAGAACGGTTTCTTTTCTCGCGGCCATAGGAGTGGTGCCTGCGTGGCTGTTCTCTGCCACTAACAACCACTTGGAACCATTTGTAGGCTTGTCCACCGGCGACGACTCCGATTCTGCGTCTCTCGTCCTCCAAGATAGGGCCTTGTTCGATAAGGAGCTCAAAATGTGCGGCTATGGGCTGGGCTTCGTAAGATGCAGGGATGCTACCCAAGAAGCCAATGCGTTTCTGTTCTTCCTTCATGGTGTATCGGTTGGCATCCTGGCTTGGGCTCACTTCCTGGCAGGCCCATGCGGTTTCCAGTGGAGCGGTACCAGACCATACGCCTGAAGAGACGGTGATAATTGGGAAGCGGGCACCTTCCTCACTGAACAGCCACAAGGTTAGCGTGAGCACTCAATTTTGGATGCTGGCGCCTACTTGGTCCAATTGACCATTCCAATACTTCCTTCACTTTGGTAGGCATTTTCATGGAGTGTGCGCAAGACCTCCAGGCCCGACAGCACACCAAGTATCCCGTCGTACCGTCCGCCCGTGGGCTGGGTATCTAAGTGCGAACCCATCATGACAGGAGGTGCTGTCGAATTCTTCCCAGGTCGGATAGCGAAGATATTGCCCATTTGGTCGACGGTGGTCTTGCAGCCCAGTGACTCTGCTTCTGTCACGAACCACTGTCGAACAGCCTTGTCAGCGGCATTGAGCGCTAGACGAGCCATGCCCGTCTCTGTCTCGTGTCTGAGGCAACTTTAGCATGCTATTATAGATCGCGATGTATTCGAACTCACGTTCCATAAGGATGTGCCTTTCCAAATTCACATGACTCGTGGAGCGAAGACATCAGTCTGCTGCCGTTGATCTTCAGACTAGACACATCTTGTGCAGGAGCGGTCCTTGATTTCGCGCCTTGGAGGACTTCCTTGCGTTCATTGGTAAGCTGCATCGCAATAGATTACTCTGTCCGTCGTGGAACCAGACACGTAGGTGCAATGTTTGTAAGGCAAGCCTGTCAGAGGTTTCAATTTAACACGTCTCAAGACAGTCTTCTCCACATGGCGAAACTTCCAGGCGAGCCTCAACTTGCCAAGGGACGCTCGACGGCTGGGAACGATCAGAGCCGGCGGTGAGCCTAGACCCCGATTGCAACTAGAGCGAGGACTCAACGGCCATCAGTCCAGCCGCGGGAGCAGAATGACCACGGCTGCTGCGGCGAGGCTGTAGGAATCTTGTTGCCAGCAGCCAAAAGTTCGCACCACCGTCAGGGTGGCGTAACAAAAAATTACAGTTGGCCGTCGGCCAATGGTACGAGCCCCATATGTCGCGCAAAATTACCGGTAAAATTTCGTATCGAATCTCCGCAGCCAGCAGGATTCAGGCTCGGGCGTCAAATTTACCTGCCTAAACGATACTCTTAGATGCTCTGCAACGCCCCAGCTATCTCCGAAGACATCATATAGTGCTCGTCCGTTCCCGAGTCTTGAGGCGAACCCCCAATGATGTCGCGATCCGTCACCGAAATCAGCGTTCCTAGCCCTGCTTTCCAAGAGCGAGGGCCACTGAAGGGAGGCGCTGAATCTCGTCCATTGGAGGTAACCAACTCAAAGCGATGCGAGTGCTGACATATGTACCTGTAGCCTTTACTATGGCATCTACTTATGAGTAGTGTGTCATATCTGCATGTCTGGCCCTCCAGGCCAAAATTGCTTGCCGCTTGGCAAGCAAATAGGCGCGGTAAAGCAGCGACCTCGGTGACATAGGATTTCTGACTGTCTGACAATGTAGCCAAGTCATGTCCAGCGGTCAGTCGGGCCAGGCGCGCTGGGTAGTTTCGTCATTACATTTCATGGCGTTCTAGTAATCGATAAAGTCCGAGCTTGTCAAATGTGATAACGACGCGCCGTCAATTCAACCACAAAGATGATAACCTCATCCTTCTGCTGGAAAAGTCCTCGGCATGCGTTCAAACAGGCCAGATCCTGTGTATGAGTCTCAAGCCCGCAAGTACCGGTCTAAACGGCAACGACCCTGTGACATTTGTAGACAGCGCAAAACCCAGTGCAAGATCCCCGGATCTGGTGGAGCGTGTGAGCTTTGCGACAAACTCGGGCGCAGCTGTACATTTGTCTTGCTGCCTCTGAGAAAGGAGCGATGGCCTCCAGAACAGTCAAGTTCGGCGTTGCAACAACCATCGCGTCCCTCGGAGACTTTTCCAACAGAGCAGCATCGTGCCACGCAATCTGATTTCGACGCCCGCCATAGCGACCCTATGGCCATCGATGTCAGCGCTTTCGAGAACTCAGTCTTAGAATTTGATATTGATGCCGATTCGCACCCATTGCTACCTGTATCTGACCAGCTGTCGTCGTTGGGCCAGCGGGTCCCGGAGTCACAGGGCGGCAGTGCTATCGATTGGTCGTACCTCAACTTTCCCATCTGTAAGGAGATTGACTGAACTTCAGATCTTCATGAGTGACTGATGCTGCCATCCAGCCCCTTTGAATAACGACTTCGAACTCTCAAGTCGAATGTCGGCAGTCAATGACGGCTCACCCCAGGCATTTCGACCGGAACACGTCTCGCCAGTATTGTATCAAACACATGCGCAACGTGGGGATGGTGCAGCTGGCATCAGCTCGAGTGATCAAGATGATATGCCCGAGGATCTACCACCGGACAAGCAAGAAGCTCCGAGAAATGGAGAGTGGTCAAGCGAGTTCTCCCTTGATGAACGCCCTGGTTATTCCTCCCAACTTGTCGGCTTATCAAGTGAGACTGATCCGTTCCTTCTACGGCACTACCAGTACGATATGCGAGACACGTTTCGGATGTTTGCACTTGATTTTCGTAAAGTCACGGACGACATGAACATGCCAGGGCCTCTCGCTTCACCTCAACCATCACATATTCCTGTCACTGACATACCAGTCCAATTTGTCATGACCGACGAGGAGATCTGCAAAGAGGATGTCAAATCAATCGACACGGACTTTGCAGGGTTCAGTACTGAAGCTGAAGACCATGCTTTGCTATACGAGATTGTTCCCATTGACTTGGGCTCAAGACTTCTAAAACTGTAAGCTACTGTGCGTTGTGAACGCGAAAGCTCACAGCTAATGTGGACAGCTTCTTTAAATTTATTCAACCATCATATCCGGTTCTCTCGTCGCACGACCATAATGGTGAGTATCGAAATTGCAACTGTTCAACGGGCTTGAGAGCAGCGGTCTACGCGCTAGCCGCGCCATATTACTTCCTCGATGACTATCTCTCCGTGGACAGAGGGTATCAGCAACCTTCCACAGAAAAGCTCTGGGGCATAGCTCATCGTGGCTTGCAGCGGGATTCCCGGAAGTCTCATATAGGGCTTGTGCAGCTTAGCCTGTTGTTGTTGCATCGGCCTCCGCAGAATTATGCTGTCGCCGACAACCCAAGCTCGTGGGCCCTGGCGTGTTCTGTACTCGCTGCAGCAGAGACCTTCGGACTGAATCTGGACCCTTCAGATTGGAAGCTTCCTTCACACGAAGTCAGGCTGCGGAAGAGGCTGTGGTGGCTTGTTCACGTCGAGCATACCTGGCGCGCTCTAGTCTCAGGACGGCCATCTCACATCGCCGCCTCCAATTGGGATGTCTCTGAGTTGACTGCAGATGATTTCGACCTTGATGACATTGCAGATCCGGAAGCTCGCAGCTGTGTTCAAGCACAGAGCCCTTATTTTATGGCTCTTTGCAGCCTGAGTACGATTGCTAGCGAAATACTTGACGCTCTTTAGTTAGTACCTCCCAGTTCTTTTTTGTCTTGCTGTCCGCGAGGCAATGACGTTCTAATCCACATGCGCATAGTTCCATCAAGTCGATCCGTCAAGCTACCACCCTGGAGGCACTTCTAGCCCGCGCACATCCATTGAGGATGATGATCCAACAATGGCGACAGAAACTACCTCCGGATGTCTTAAAGCCGACCAAAGAGCTGATGGAGGATGATGGCCTCGACAACTGTGGTCCACTCCGCCTGACGTATTTGACGCTGGAGTTACTGGTTTTCAGGGCACTTCTTCGTCCACTGGCTTACCAGCCGGGAACAAGTGAGCAGGCAATGTCAGAACCGCGGTCTACCATCTTTCAAAATAGCCAATCATGTGCCAAGCTTGTTCTGGAGTTGGTGGCAGCTCTCAAGGCAAATCACTTTGTCAATTTCTGGCCTTCGTGTAAGTGGTGCCTCAACATCTTTCCTTTCTCTAAAGGAAGACCTCCTGCCCATCTGGTCAAATGCCCTCATAGATATGCTGACGCTTCTCGTACCTGAAGATACGAGGGATCAACTGTCGTACATGACGAATTTTGCCCTTCTTCTCTTTGTGCAGTCGCCGTCAATAGCTATGGCGAAAGAGAACAAGCTTCTCCTGGACAAATGGCGCATTACTGCCCGGATGCAGTCGCGGGCCTGGCCTGTTCTCAAACTGGCAGTCATGCGACTTGACGCTGTAGTTTGGAAAGGATTGGATCACATCGTGAGTTGGGCTGGAAAAGGCAGTCCGGCGGAACTACTGCTGAGGAAAACGGACAACGGCTAAAGGCTGCTGTTCTGGAATTATTGAAGTGGCATAAGAAGAGACACGGGGATTGCATCCGAGAGCTTGCGCTTGTTCAATGACTACGGCAATAACGGCGTCTGCGGGCCCGCAGTCCGCATTGTTGGAACCAAGGGTGAGATCCAGGTCTGGCCGCCGCTCTATCGCCCCACCCGCATATAATTCCCTGAGGCTGCGTTTCTGTCGTAAGTAACACTCCTTGCAGAATCATGAATGCCTACCCAAAGCTTCGATCACACTATAATACTCCGTATATCTACGAAGACTGGTACGAGGGATGGTTCGGGTATTTGAGTTGAGAACCGTCCATTGAATGGACCTGGGAACTGAGGGTGCCCCGGTCCGGATAGAAACAACCGGCGATACACAAAGGCTCCCGTCTCCTGGAGTCGGAATCATCCCCGTAAAGTTCTGAAAACGCTGCGACTAGAGAACAAGGCCATTCTATAGGTACAAGGTAGCCTCCAGGAAAAATAAAAGAAGGAGCCCGAGGAAGGGAGACGGTAAAACCGCTTTTCAGGGACGGTCCAAAAATCGTACCCTGTTCTGCAAAAACGCAGAAAAGGGGATTCGAGGAAGGAGAGGAGGCAAGGGCGGAGCCGAGTCGCCATGTCGACGCCCCGTCCGCCGACGGAAAATCCTAGTCACGGGTGGGACAATCATCGTACAATCCGAGTGGCAGGTCCAGCGCGAGGATGCGTCGCCGGTCGATGTGGAAAAGTGGACAAAGTTGAGTGAAGGGTGACGAGAAAGTGAGAAGAGGGTGTGGGAGGTGAGCGATTCTTAAAAGCGGCGCGCTGTGATTTAATCGGAGGACTTTGTCATTTCGAAAGACTAGCGTAGCGCAGTCAGACTATATACCTACGTGTATTGCCAAGGCGTATCGAATCGAAGCACGCTACCCCAAGTCGGTCCATTGGACTGTCTGTCTGACGGCCCGAATTGCTGCCTCGTGACAGCCCTTGGCAGGATAGTTCATTTAAAATCTGCCCTGCCGTGGCTTCAATTCATATTTTACAAAGTTGCCCACCAGCGATTCCTTTCCATTGTGATAAGTGTTATAGTACGATTAACCAGCGCAACCCAATGTGGCAGCCAGACACTTTCGAGTGTGACCTCAGTGGATGAGAATGCGATCAAAGTGCTGGATAACTCCTATGGGCAAACCCTCGGTTAATAGGATGTCAAGACACATGTTTTAGGAACGAGGAATATCATTTGTTTGCAGTATGTTGCCAATTTAAAACATAAGTAAGAAACTTACGGGCCTTGTTGATATCTCTCATCAATGCGAGCGATTTAACATAGTCGCCGAACCATGACTGTGTTTCGATATTCTATGAAGCTCACCAAATCAACTATTAGCAAACGCATTTTCTCTTTTCAGAAGGACTCCTTTCTTCGTTCCCATTGGTACTTACATCGCGAATCCAATCACTTGTCTTCGTCCACCCATGCAGGACCCGAATATGTCTCCTTGCCCCCGTCGTAATATCCTTTGAGATCTTCAAGGATCCCAGGCTGCCAGGCAGAAACTTGTACCGCAAGTGAGCCTACGATGTTGACAAGCGGTTGCGAGTCTGGATCGCTGAAATCACAGTAGTGATAAGCAAGTAATACGCCAGGGGTATCAGAAACAAACGTCTTAATCTTGTCGACCGCAAACGAGCTAGATGATGAGGCGTGCCCTGTTATTTCGACAAACATCCTGAGGTGAGCGGCGTGAGGTACCTACAACAAAGTGGTCTTTCCTGAACCGGCTACAGAGAGATAGTCAGGTCATTAGTTTCAAACAGAGGGAAGTAACTAATCAACGCCTACATTTCCCCGTAATCCACATCAATGAGTTTAAATAAGATTCGCCTTGTAGCCAGGACAATAATGGTCCGGTGGTGAACGAAATCCCCGAACCAGGATGTCGCAAGGCCGAGACTCTTGCCTGGGTATCTTCCGGTCGAGTAGGGGCAAGCCAGGTAACCACATCCTTGTCTACTTTGTTGTCAGCATAAAGATTACGTAGGGCGGCCGCTGCGATCTGCACACATTTCGAGGATCTATTGACCTTGCTTTCAAGTCGATCGAAAGCTTTCTCTCCCTCGCCATATCTGAGAGACATTGAGACATCAAAAATTCCCAATAGACAGTATGCCTTGTCCTCTTTCTTCAGAGTTTTACGATTAGCTGTCCAACGCATTCGCTCACTCACAGAGAAACCAGACAAAGGAAAGCCCTGAAGAGCGCTCCTTGGAATTCCGGTTATCTCGTGAATCTGCCTCTCGAGAATCTTTTTGTCGCCGAGGAACTCACCCTCTCTTGAGAAGAATTCGACTGAGCTCGGGGCAAGGAGTTCTTGTAGCGTCCAACCCCGGTTGAACCATCTACTATTACGAAATTCCAATTCCCATGGACACTGAGACTGGTCCTTATCCTTACCTATTGGAGCAGAAACATCGGAGAGGTACACGTAACACTTCGCGGCATTCCGGTACCAACGGAACATTGAGACAATAGCTTCTGACAACTCGACATGGTTGCTTTTGTCGATGCACAAGTGTCAATCCATAAGAACTTGAAGTGATCAGCCCGAGCCTGGCGGAGGCTTCCCCAGAACTTATTATTCTGGCCTGATATGTCCCTAAACTTCCTGCTCTTGATGTCGGCGAATGTGACTTCGTGGTCCGTCCATCTATGAGACAAAATGGCATATCTAGGGTTTTTGGGTGGTGGGATAATCTTTAAATTCGCGGTTCGAGTATCGATAAGGCGCATCTTGCAGATTAGCGCATCAGCAAGATTTTACGTTGTCGTTGTTCTCAAAGCTTCTGACGCACTAACTAGGGCTTGAGAATGACACAGTTCTCACCTCCACGATCATCTGTCGCATTCCGTGCTGAAAGGTCTAGCAATGACCAAGTGTGTTGGTGGCGAGTGAAGCAGAGGCAGTGGGAAACCGATGCTTTCGCTGCACACGCGTACTAGGCTGGGAGGAATCCATTCTGCCTGCAGCCATGCTGGTAGCGAATCCAAGGAGGCGGTGTCATCGATGACCAGGCTGAAAGTTGGCTTCATGCAGATTCTGACTGCAGGCGCAGTTGCACCAAAAAGAAGGCATCACGTGCCGATGTCTCAGTTATCGCTAGGTTTGATGCAACGCCAAGCATTGCCTTACCAGCCATAGCAGGCTAAAGTGGTTCAGAGAGACCCAAGCCTGTCTTCAACGACAGCAACAGCAACAATAATGTCGCCTCCACCTGAAGAAAGTCCTGCGCCCGTGTTCCCTCCTCCAATGGCAGCAATGTTGCCACCACCAGTCCCAGCTTCGAATCCAACAAGCTCATCAAACTCAAGTCGCAAACGCAAGCGAAGTGATATCGACAGTGCAAATGAATCTAGCGCATCGTCGACGTCACTCTTCTCGAGGAGGACGAAGCAAAAGATTGTGGAGCGCAATAACGGCGAGAGATGCTGGCATTGTGGTGGCGGTGCGCCAGACGTCGCTCATGTTATAAGTAAGAAAGATGGGTCGGTATGTTTATGTCAGGATTGCAACGCGATCATCGTGCTTCGATGGTCGGGCAGATGACTGATCACTCGCAGTTCAGCAAATATGTAACTTGGGGCCTTCTGACATTTGATCATCTCGGGGACGAGCAAAATGGTCTTCCTCTTTGCCCTTCGTGCCATCGAGCATTCGACGACATCAATAACCCCGGCTTGATATTTATTCCTACTGATCTGGAGTATTTTATCGATTTCGAACTCAAGGACTACCACAACCGACTTGACGTTGCGAGTCGACTGAGCCATGTTCCTCCTCGAATCGTTCCGACGCCGCAGATGTATGCTGATTTTCTGAGAGGACGGCAAATCCTGTCACCCGAGGCAAAAGGAGGAAGTTACTGGCGTTACACCTTGAGGGACTTTTTCCCGGTAAATGCAGATAAAAGCTTCATCCCGGGACTGGGTCCATTTAAAGAGCCAGGATTGTGGTGTGGTGCGCCCATGGCAGCGCTGAGACGTGCCTTCCAAGTTATCAGCGATCCAACCGTCGAAGGAATTCCAGAGGATCAACTCGAGCAGCTTTGGCAGCTGCGCAAGTTATACGCCAGAAGGATACCTTGTGCTGATACACACGAATCGCATACAAGCGATGTTGCGGATCAAGATATCGGACACAGGACAACATCAGACGCTGAAGAACCTGCTCAAGCATCAGCCACTTCGTCAGCGACCTCTGCACCAGCGCACCACATCACAGGCGCCTTTGTCGATAATAATGATCGAAGGAACAATAGTCTCAGGTCTGAAGCCGGTGTCAGTAGGAGTTCCACCACAAAACCAACATTTACGCCAACGCTATCTCGGGATGCGAGATCCCCACGACTGCGAAAGTTTGGCAGTGGGGCAACCACCGAGATCAATATCCAGCGATATCTTACCATGCTAAAGTCGTAGAGGAGTGTGGTACAAGAGTTCCGTAAACTCAGATTATGCGTATGTAGTTATCAGACTATTACAGTATTACTCCGCACAATAGATCCACAAGCGACAATATTATGGAACAGAATTCGCCAAATTCCTAAACCTCAGGAACAGCACGTCCAGCGCGCATGTCATAATCCGACAAATATCCCACAACACCGGTGCAAGCTCTACAATTCTACCATCAATCGCACCAGCTCTCGAACACACAGCAATATTCCTGCATTCCCGAAGATTCTATCTCACGGACGGCTCGCTCGGCTTCCGTTAAACGCGTCCGTTTGTTTGGAACCTCCGACGATGCACGGACGCCGCGCTCGACTTCCGCCAGCCTGGTCCGTTTGTTTGAAATCCCTGACGAAGCCCGAACTTGTTGCTTGCTGATGGAAATGCATTGATCTCCTGCGTTAGGAGCCGCTACATCAAGCTTCAACAGTTCTGCCACAATCTCTTCGTAACTCATTATTTTGGCAGGGCCAACAACCTTCGATGGGTTTGATGTTCGAATTCGCTTTTCGTAGTTCTGCTCAACCAGCTGTCGATTTTCATCTAGTAAGAGACTTTCCTTGGCAAGAGCCCTTTCTCCAGCGTTTAAAGCCTTCTCGATTCTGTGCTTGTTTAGCTCACTCAGGTCTTGGGTCTCACCTTCAACCAAATTTCGCAAAGCCTTAAATCCATCTGATGTTACAGGAGTATAAGGTAAACTGTGGAGCGAAGACTGGATGAGATGAGGAAGAGTAGCTTCTGTCAGCGTGTGACTAACAGCAGGGGCGACCATAGTACTCAACACTCTGTCTGGATTGAAAGGAACAAGTCCGACCTTTTCCCACGCAGCATTGATGTTAGATTCACTAAAAGCAGCGCATCGTGCTCGACTGTACAACAAAGTGAGATGCTGCTTTCCAACGGTGCCTGCTCCTCCTCGACATAGCTTTTCGACTTGCTCTCGGTAGGCAGACTTAAGCGGCCCAAATATACCTACATCAAGTGGCTGTAGTTTATGAGATGTGTGAGAAGGTAAGCGGCATACAATAATATTATTTTGGAGACAAAAACGCAGCAACTCGGGTGTTTCATGAGCGGTAAGTCCATCGTTGATCAAGATACGGGGTTTACCATTTGCCTTTTCGCGTGTTTGCGGGTCAAACACCTTCTGTATCCAGTAAAGACTGATTGCCTTATTAGTGTACCCTGTTTTGGAACAGGCATAATGCCATCCCGGAGTTGGATGAGTGGTCCATGCGCTACGGTGTGTAGAGGCAGGCCATATAATGAGTGGGTTCAATGGCTTGCCTTTGACGGGGACACATTCGATAGACGTTACTAGTTCACGTTTGCGCAGCGTCCCTCTAGTACCTCTTCTATCGCTCGCATGCACTAATACCGTTAGGGTTGCCGAATGGCCGAGGAGAATACCCGTCTCGTCCAGATTGTAGATGTTCTCGGGCAAGACATCGGGGTTTGAGAGCACCTTCCCAATTTTCTCAAACCAATCTTTGACCTTCTCATAAATATTACCGTTGGCTCTTTTCGAATCGATGGCTTTAACCTTTCTCGATTTAAGTTCTGGATGACGTTTGTACAAATATTGGACCCAATTCTTCCCAGGGGGTTTAAGTACATCATCGTTCGTCGAGACTTGAGGACTGGAGGTACGTCGCAAGCGGATGGCCAGGGCCAGTGCTCTTACCGCTTTGGGGGTTAAATGACGGTCATCGGCAGCCGCTCGCCAAATGAATGTTACTAAGGATTTCTCTTCTTGGGGAGTGAGATATTGTTGGTTGATGGCCTTCTTCTGTCTCGCAGACAATTGTTGGCTCACCGCGGCCATGTATGTGAGGTCAGATGGAATGGAAGACTCGTGTCCGTGATTCGTTTGGGGGCCGCATGGATCACCGCTGCTAGTCTGGGCCATGGTTCGGGGCTTACGCAGGGGCGGTTCGTTGGCGTTGTGATTAGCGACAACAGGGCGTCGACGATACGAGTTTTGGGGAACTTTTAGGCCACGTGTCTGCTGGGGTCGCCCGGAGGAACAATAAACCGCAGACTGCGCCCTTCCTCGACTTTCGATGACTTTCCATTGTGCGTTTCTATTCTGCCACCCTGCGCCTCCATTTGGGCAGCTGTGCTGGCACGCGCAATGCTATACACAGTATCATTCTCGTCTTCTCGAGGAGAGATATGGGAACTTGTCGAAAATAAAGAAGAGGTCGTACTATCTGGTCGTCACATTCGCACTTCTCTCGATCTCTATGACCTAATTTACACTTTGAAGGACAGTCTTAGTCCTACCTAGCGATAATGTATATCCCACCACCGCTCCCGAGGATATCTAGCTGATATTCTGATGGAAACCCAGTCCCTTCACGCATGTACGTTTCGAGTTTCCGAGTGGCCCTCTTTTCCTCCGAACCTGCCTCCACAATTGTACTATAGTAACAATCCTTCTTATCGTGGAGGTCTGCGAAATAAAACTGGCAACATTTGAGCTTAGAACAGCCTATAGAATAGAACACTTCTCTCCAATTCCCCTCCCTCAACATATGACCTTGGAACTCCAAAAATCTTGTTGGTCCAGCGTCATAGTAGAAAGCCCTGGTCGTATCAAGGTTCGTGAGGTTCGTGGATACCGGATCCTTCATCAACTCAACGTTTTCTAGCCGGAGCAGCTTCAGCTTATCCGCGTTGGTTTCGATTAGGCTAGTAAAATCAAATTCTTCAATCATAACGTTTCTAAGCGTGCAGCTTATCAAGTTCGGAAAACGTTCACTTCCTAGGTAAACAAGGCGGTCAGTCTGCTCCTCTGTTGCTTCTATCACCTCAATTTTCAGCACACGAAGGTTTGAAGCCCTTCGCAAGAGGCTGTCCAAGAAAGCGTAATCTTCCTGCCTCTGTTTTCTATCTTCCGATTCCTGGACATTGAAATTCAACTTTTGGAGCGTCCCGATCGACTTTTGCCATTCGGGCACAAACCTCACTGCACTTTCTAGAACTCCCAGAGGTACATTAACCAAACAGAGTGCATCGCATACAACTTGTGATCTAAACCACGCGGTCAAGAGAATGAACAAAAGCTGGTGCAAAAGATTCTTTCGCTCAAAATCATCGCCCACGCCCTGAAGGATAAATTCGTATTCTTTTCCGTGCCCTATATATTTGAATGAGGCGTAAATCTGATTGAAAGCATTAATGTCACTCAGCAAGAAGATATCTTGCTCTGTCACGGTTATACTTAGAGTATAGATAAAGGATGGGTCGATGTAAGAATTGTTGTGGACTTTAGTAATGAAATCTGCTAGATTCATAAATGCTTCCTTCTGAAACGTGGGCATCGTCGTGTTCTTCTTAGGTTGCATCTTGAACAAACCAGCTCGAACGAAGTAAGCACAAGAAGTAACCTCTTAAACCACGAGAAATGCCGAATATATGGAAATTTAGTCATCTCGCTCGAGTGCTAGCATACTGCGTAGGAAGTTCCTACTCTGTGACACGGAGGAAACGATCGGTTACGGTAAAATAAACATTGCCAGAATTTCAAACCCACTGTCAGACAGGTGGAGAACTAGGAACTACTGACCCACCGAGTTTTGAGTTTGAATCTTTATCTAAATTAAGCCTCACGGCTCTTTTCGGTATTTAGAAATTATGTCAAATGACCACACAGGGATCCAAAACAACACCGGGATGCACTTTACCTTATACAATTACAATCATACTTGCATTCCAACAGCAAGTTTCACCTTGCAACGCATAGATTACTCTCCGTCGTAGAGATCCTTCAATCTCTTCTCCAGGACTTTCCGACCATCCGACGTCTTCCAAATCTCTTCTGGCGGTGCTCCTTTGACAATGTCCCACGCCAGCAGATTTGACGTCACTTTGGTCAGATCTTCCTGTTTCCTCTCCCAGTCTTTGTTCTTTTTGATATGAATCCCCGAAGTCACTACGACAAGAGGAACGTTGGGGTCTTGAATGATGCGCGCACTGACGACTTCATTCTTGGTGAGTGAATCCGCCACCAGATTCTCCTGCAATTTGTTCTTGATGAACTTTCCTCCTTGGTATGACGACCTGCCATACACGCGGTCTTCCTTGGTGCGGCCTTTGAATAAAGCCCCAGCGACACGGTCCAGACCCAGCGGGGAGATGATGCCACGACCCCAAAGAATGAACCCTCGACCGGGGCTGGCGATCTGATAGAGGAGGTCTTCATGAAGACCGTCGATTAACATCATCCCCGAAATTGATCGAGGATGTCTTGCCGAAAACACTCGACTGTAGACGCTGCCAATCCCCGCGGATACCAATATCCAGGGGCCGTCCTCCCCAGCGATGGCCAAGGCTTCGGAAAGTGCATCAGCAGACATACCTGCAGAGTGTGGTGAAGGTGCATTATCAGACCAAGCCAGACCGGGTCTATCCCAATAGCAGTAGCGAGGGATTGTGCCATTGTCGTACGCATCCTGCACCCAAGACTGAAAGGAGTGTTCGACGGGATAGTATCCTCCTTCCAGCAAGACGGTAGGGATAGGATCGCCATCAGCATTGAGGGTTTGATTGCCAACGCAGGCGAGGTGGACCTTGTACTTGTCGCCATCGACGAGATATCGCTTGCCAGGGGCAGGAAGAGTTGCATCTCGCGACCGAAGGACAAGCGTAGCCGTGAGCAGGATTGTTATCAGGACATAGACAACCATCAAAAATGTCGACAGCATGACCGCGAGCCATTCTCTGACGGTGCGACGTGTTTCCTGTCGGCCGGTCAACCGCTCCTCCTCTTCAGCCTTGCCCCATTTGACTGTTCGGTTGGTCACGACGTTGTAGAAGCCGATGAGGGCAGCCCAAACGACCGACGCAATGCCAATCCATCCTTCCTCGACACGAATGCGTGCCACAGCCAGGATGATGATCATGTCGATGAGGAGGATGACGGAGATTGCCATGCTCAAAATGCTCATAGCAGTAGAGGGGACGGCGAAGAAGACCAGGGCTGTGAGGATATTGCCTATGGTGAGGGTGGTGTAGGAGACATCGAAAAAGCCCGACCCACGTGAATGCATCTTCGGAGGGCTGACGAAGATAGAGATGAAGAGCAGGACCCACCACAAGCAGGTCACGGCGAGGAAGAAGACTTCGAAATAGCGCAAGACGCGGACACTCCAGAGATTGTATGGGGAAACCTATCATCATCATCAGTATCGCCCGTCGGATGGTAATAATTGAGCACATACGGCAGGGTCATCCGGGCTCAAGTAGCCAGGAGCTTGACCATGACGAGGAAGGAGTCTGGTTCGTTCATTGGCATCTTCAGATTGTCTGGAGGGCTGCTCATGGGAAGATGTCGCCCTCGTCTGCTCCTGTTCCTCGTCTCCTTCTTGATGCTCGTCGCCGTTGGTCTTACTACCCCACAGAGACACCATATCGAAGCCGGAGTTAGGTAGGTGCAGGCGGTAATCAATCAGTGAGACTCAAGTTAACGGTGACTGCGCTCAATCCAATCGGCGCTTGCAGAAGGGGGGAAATGCTGGATCAGGAAGAAATAGAAGAACTTTGAGGCGCTCGCGTAGCAGATAAGCCAAGAAGCCCTTTAAGCATTATCAAACGAAGAAGAGATAGATCGTAAGGAAAAAAAGAATTGCAACAGGCACTAGATGGTGGAGTGAAATGGTGCAAAGTTGACGACGTCATCAAAGCGATTTGGTGATAGTACGAGTAGGCGGAGGCGGGGGCGGATAACATGATTTGCAGGAAGAATTGGGCCGTGTGTGGTTCACTGGGTGAGAAGCTAGGGGCAAGTCCTCGGTGAGATCTAGGCTCTGGCCTTAGCTAGGTCGGCTGATTCAAGCGAAGGAACATCAACTGACCTACATTGAGTGACGAGTGACGATTGAGTGGACAAAAGAGAGTTTGAGTAGCTTAGCAGCTGTGGCAGCTTAGCTTCTGGATCATCAGATGTTGTGACGCGGGAACTAGGATCCGAGCGGCGATCAGTGGCACCAACGATTGAGGATGCATGTGCTGCGGTTGTGTGCTGCGGTTGCATAGGAGTCGGTTGAGCATAGTGAATAGCGAACAAGAACAGTCTCACAACTAGGAGGATTGATTGATTGCCATGTACAAGATGATGGTGAAGTGTATCTGCGTCTGTATCTGCATCTGCATCTACATCTGCATCTGATAATTTGATAATCTGATACATCGAGGATCCTTCACGCACCGCCACATATAAGCCCAAGTCTAGCCACCAGCCACATTCCCTCCCTCCACCCACCACTCACCACTCACCACACACCACTCATCCACCTCTCCTCCTACAGATATCAAACTCCCTCTCATCCATGTCAATGCCCGCTCTGGCACTCACTGACAGACTCAAAAGTCCAACCTCCTTGGCCTGTGTCTGCAGACAAAATGAGCGACCTTCAGAGATCCTTCGCCAAAAGCCAATTATCCAAACTTCCACCCGAACCTCCTCCAGTCTTCAATGAACAAGACGAAATCGATCAACACTCAACAGACACCAGCGACCTTGGGCCTAGTTCTCCCAATGGCTCAAGTTCCTCAGCCTCGTCAGCCTCATCAGCCGGCACAATTGTTCCCTCACCAAGTAGGAACCTCTTCGAAAAGCCCAGGGCATCCAACATCAAATCTCGATCTGCCCCTCTTCCTTGGGATGATTTTTATTCCCAGGATCTCATCCTGCCCCATGAAACTCCTTCAGAAACGGTCAATCACCATGTCTACCTGACTCCACCCTCTGCTAAAGGCCCTCTCATCATCACCCACCATGGTGCCGGCTCGTCAGGTCTCTCCTTTGCCACATTTACCCAAGAATTCCTCAAACTCATCCCCAATGCTGGCGTTCTCTCCATCGACGCTCGAGGACATGGTCTCACCACCATGACCACCACTTCTACTTCTACTTCCACCACCCCAACCCCCGATTTAACCCTGGCCACTCTCGCCTCAGATCTCGCCTTCGTCGTCGAATCCGTCATAACCCATCTGAAACTGTCTGATCGTCCCGACATGATCCTCATCGGACACAGCCTCGGCGGGGCCGTTGTCGTCGAAGTCGCTCACCAACGACTCCTTGGCCCATCACTACTCGGCTACGGCGTCTTAGACGTTGTCGAAGGCTCTGCCATGGACGCCCTACAAAGTATGGACACATACCTATCGACACGACCACAGAGCTTCCTATCCCTTTCCTCCGCCATCGAATGGCACACTCGTTCTCGCACCATCCGCAACACCACGTCAGCTCGCGTCTCCGTTCCCTCTCTACTACAACCTCTCGACAACACCAACAACGCATCCAAATACGTATGGCGCACCGACCTCGCTGCCACGAAACCCTTCTGGGAGAATTGGTTCGTCGGCTTATCGTCAAAATTCCTGACTTCGCGCGGAGCTAAACTCCTCCTTCTCGCCGGCACGGATCGCCTGGACAAGGAACTCATGATTGGCCAAATGCAGGGAAAGTATCAGTTGCAGGTGTTTCCTGAAGCAGGTCATTTTGTGCACGAGGATCAGCCGGCCAAGACGGCGATGGTCGTGGCGGACTTTTATCGGAGGAATGATAGGAGTGCTTTGGTGTTGCCTCCGAAGGTGGATGAGTTGATTCGTCAGGGGAAACTTAAGCCCGCGGCTTCAAGTTGACGTTTCGTCCATCGCGCTTCTAAGTTACTCGTAGCGGTCGATTGGAAATATGGTGGTTTGGAGCGATATAACATAAAAAACGAGTTTACGATAAAGACAAATCCAATATGAACCAAAGCATTTCATCGTCAGCATGTGTGTTCTTCTATATCCATAGAGAAATACACACAAGCAGACTAGATACCTAACCATAGACGCTTTATCCTATGATTCATCTACCTCTTCTTCCCTCTCGTAAACGACTTCCCCTTCCCCTTCGATCTCCCCACCGAAACCGGCTTACCGCCTCTGCCGCCATCATTTTTCTCCTTTTTCCACATTTTCCCCTCCTTGCGCTCTCTCGTCAGATCCAACTTCTTCTTCATCTTATTACTCATCTTCCTCTTCTCCGACTTGACCTTGACCAAACCATTCGGCCCATTCAACTCGATCTGACCTCGTTGTTTAGCATCACGTTTCTCCTTTTCACTTTCGAACCACGTCCGTCTCGGTCTCGCCATGATTTCCGCCTCATGCTTGACAATATTCTCACCTCGCGTAAGTTGCGTCTCCACCTGCGCGAGCTGTTTCTCTGCTTTTTCTTCTTTCAGAATCGCTTCGACGTCTTCTTCTAGTGATTCGATCCGTTTCTGCATTTCGTCGACTTGTTGAATGTCCATTGCCCTGGATACGATCTTGGCGCCTTGTGTCCGTCCGCTTTTCACGGCTGCTTTGACGACTTTTCGATCTGGTTCTGCTGCGATGGTGCATGCGCGACCGGATCTTCCGGCTCGAGCGGTACGGCCGACACGATGGAGGTAGATTTCGTGGCTTTGGGGTGCTTCGTAGTTGATGACGGTCATGACGTTTTTGATGTCGAGACCTCGAGATGCAAGATCGGTCGCGAGGAGGTGGGTGGTCTTGCCTTCGCGGAAGTCGTTGACCGCCTTGATTCGCTGTTCCTGGGTCATGCTACCGTGCAATTCTCCGGCTTTGACGCCAAGGAGGCCGAATATCACTCGAACACGGTGAGCTTCTTTTTTCTGGCGGAAGAAGACAATCGTTCGGCTGGTGAAGGCGGTTGTGGCGAGTACGCACAGTGTGGGCAGGCGAAGTCCTTCTCGCCCGGGTCGGAGGCGGACGAATTCTTGGGTCAAGCCTGAGGTGGTGCTCTTCTTTGCGTCGACTGATAGGCGCACGGGTCGGTTCATGCCGACACGAACTAGTTTGTCCACGCTGTCTGTCATGGTCGCGGAGAAAAGCATTGTTTGGCGGCCTTTGGGGATGGTCTTGAGGATTTCGTTGAGTTCGTCTTCGAACCCTGTTTCCAGCATTCGGTCTGCTTCGTCGAGAACAAGAATCTCGATATGCTCAGTCTCAAAGCTGGCCGAGTTGCGCATGTGATCGATAAATCTACCAGGAGTAGCGATGACGATATCCGGGCGCTTCTTCAGGATCGCTTCCTGTTCACGGAGGGAGAAACCTCCAACAACTTGAGCGCAAGTAATGTCCGTATAACGAGCGAGGGCGGTGGCGACGTTGAAACATTGGACTGCCAGTTCTCGAGTGGGCATCAAAATGGCGACACGGGTGGTGGGCACTTTTCGTGGTCGGTATAGGAGACGTTCTAGAATGGGTAGAAGGAAAGCGGCTGTTTTGCCCGAACCCGTCACTGCAGATCCAACCACATCCAGACCCTGAAGAGCAACGGGGATAGCACGCACTTGAATGGGTGTTGGCGTAGTGAAGTGTAGGCTGGCCAATCCACGGAGTATTGGTCTCGATAAAGAGAATTGCTGGAATGAGGAGACAGTCTTGAGATCAGGTGCTGCAGCTTTGTGTTCAGGTGCAAAGAATGCTGCTCTCTTGGCATCTTCTTCGGCGTCGGACTGAGATGTCTCTGACTCAGCATCGGATGCCAGATCGTCAGGGTGTGCGGTGGGAGAGGCAACAGAATTATTGTCCGAGGCGGAATCGTCTTCCTCGTTGTTGTCGTCGTCACTGTTGTCCTCTTCATCGGTGTGGTCTTCTTCCTCTGGGTTTATTTCTGCGCCGAAGGTGTCGGGGGCAACTAGCTCGTCATCATCGAAGTTGATTTCATTATCTGAATCCTCGTCTCTGGTGGATGCTGTGTCACCGTCTTCTTGAAAACCACCATCGCTCTCCTCGGAAGCGGCTTTCTTCTTTTTGATCACCGCGCTTGCAGACTTGCCTGCTCGCCGTGCAATGATATCGTCCAGGTCTACCCCACGTTTGACTGGCGCTACCTCCTTTTCTTGGGATGTAACATCTTGACCCCACCCATCAAAGTCGTCAAGATCCTGGGTGTCTTGGTTTGTGCCTATCTCGAATTCGAAGTCGGAGTCAAAGCCTTCTTGCTCGTCCTCGCTGTCATTGTCCAATGGCTCTTCCGCAACATTTTTCTGTCGCTTCTCTTGTATACCATTTTTCTTGCCAGAATCAGAGCCTCGCTTGCGTTTCGTACCTGTTTTTGAGGGGTTGGGGAGATCTGCGTCGGAGGGTGCCTGTGTCTCTTCGTCAGATAGGGTGAGGATGAAATCCTCGTCAGTGGGACGTCCCATATTGGCAGTGAGAGGTATTAGAGTGTTCTGGTTTATCGACGTCGCATTGTGGTATGGATTTCCAAGGCCTGGTTCTCGTATGTAGGAGCAAGTAAATTTACTCGATGGTATTTTTCTTGTTGCTGACCGCCTTTTTCTGCCAGCACAATTATGCCAAGACGTGTTCTGACGGTTCTTGCCGCTTTGTGGCGGGAATTTCCCCTTCTGGTTTGAGATGATTGATCCTACAGCCTACCACCTCCCTCACAGTTTGGAATTATTGCCATCTGGGTAGACCTAGCCTACCGATGATTACTCCTATTCTCGCTTGGACCTGTGATAATTATTTTGTGCTCTATGGTGGAGCGATTTGCCATAGCTGGTGATGTCTTCCATCTCCATGATACTGGAAGCGCTGTAGACGTTGAAGGAATGCCGTATTCAGTAGAGCAATGTCATGGATATTGTTACGAAAAGGAGACTGATTGATGCTACTGATGGTTACACCCTTTTCTATGGACCCTGATCACCTCTCATAATGCCCGTCGGGACTGTACGACAATCAACCGAGCCGTTGTGTTAACAAATGCAACCTGATTGCGAAACTCGCAATCGCGTCCACTATCAAGGAAGGGTTCATTCGAGTTACGTTGGCTACCGAGGCACCTTCTTATGTTGGGCTCGCATAATCAAAGATTCTCCTGCCGAGTGTAACCCATATGCGCGATCAGAGGGTGGATAACCCTCAGCGTTGGATGCAGAGACTAAATTGAACTGCCGGTGGAATTCTATCAAGACCTTTGATGCATTCATTATTACAAACACACGAATTTCGCCCATGGCTCGAAAACCATCCATTGTCAGCCTCTTCTGACGCCGAGCTTTATGCGATTGTCCAATCGCTGGCATGGAAGTCCCACGAGAACGGATATGAGTCATTGACGGGAATCATTTTCAACCTACAAGGTCCTCAACGGGTAGCACCCAGGCCTTCCCACGCTAATTGAGTCAATCTCAACGAGGAGGTGCAAGAACGGCAACAAATGGTGTCACTCTTGGCTCTGACAGACAGTGCCATCTCAAATCATATTGTAAAGTCAAGCAGTCAGTGTTGAAGCCTGTGAGACCATCGAGAAGAGCATCGCATCGGTACACCCCACCTTGTTGACCGTTCGAGAGTGTGGCTTGCAGTAGTTCCGAACCACAGTATTCTTGGAAATGGTGACATTGTGTGACCGCTACTCTGGTGCTCCGAATTGGATCAGATTTATTTCCGATTACCTTGAGGTGTATCTGTCAGTGGCGGGGGTGGTAGGTGAAGCATGATGCAACGCAAGTAAAGGCAAACAAACATGAATGTACGGTAAATGGGAAAAGGAGAAGCCAGTCTATGGAGCAGAAATCGCGGCGAGTGTCGGTACAAAACGGATCAGACGGGCAGCGAGATGTCGAAATGCAGGACGGGGGCTGGAAGTAGTATTGTATGATTCTAGAAACCATGTGGTCTCACAAGCGATCATCAGTTGCATGATTGACCGAGGCGAGAGTGATGACCACCCACGCTCGCTCTCGCTTGTTGGAGAGGCTGAGGGCTGAAGGACCAACGAACGCAGGATGGTTGCATGGCTGGCTGTCTCACCGGCTACGGTTGGCTGGCTGGTCTGTATCGTTAAAGATTCAAAGACTCAAGAGGCATTAACGTCGAGACTTGTTATTAGAGCACCGGTGAAAATACGGTGCCCCCCACAAATCCCAAGTTCCGATGCTGCTCTGTGTGTCATGAGATGGCAGCATGTGAGGTTTATCAATCGTAGATGGCTTGCCGCATCCTGTACCTGTCAGGACATCTGTGACGGTGATTATCATTGAAGCAGATTGAAGCAGCCCACTCTGCTACTCTGATAACCCGCACTTGATGAGCATCATCGGAGACAGGCATCTTTGGATCGTCCAATCCTATGCGTGGACTGACCCCAAACTCGCCCACCTCCGTCGTTCCTTTTCACTCGTATCAGTGACGGGGGCCTGTTATCTCCCCATCTGATGGAAGCAGCAATCTACGGCATCCCACCTTTGCAACCATCATAGCCAGCATTGTGATCTTTGGGTGCGGGGAGGGGTAGGATTTAGGGTCGATATGATATCTCAAGGTTGATCGACACATGCCACGGCACGCACGGACATGGGCATATCGATCCGCTTTGTGGCTCGATAAGTAAGGTAATCTTTTCTAGGAAAGGCCCTCCACGGTACATCCGAATGGATCGCTTAAACTTCACAGACACGGCCACACCGCCGTGGGTAGAGACTGCAGACGAATAAATTATCAGTGGTTGAGTCATTGAATTACAGGTACTTTTGGGGGCAGTAGAATGCAGACCGTGAGTGGTATGTAACATGCAACTTGTGCTGGCAATGCTAGCATCAGCCCTGTAGGAACTGTAAGAAGCGTAGGAACCGTTGAAAGACTGATGGAACCGGTGGGTGACGATCACATCAGCCCAACCCACTATGAAAGTCATCTCACAAAAGGGTAATAAAAACGGGCAGGCCACGGCCGAGGGGCCTAGGGGCCCCTATGTGATGCACCCGCGATTGGAAGTGTTCCGGCCGTGCAGGCTGACTTGTAATGGTCTATGGAGCCTTTTGGAGCCTTTTGGAGCCCGAGGGGCCCTTGGGCCTTTAGAGCATTAGGGCATTACTCGTAGACCATGAGCATGGTTACACATGCATCTTCTGACAACCAAATACCCACCTACCTACGTATTAATACCTAAAACCAAGCTTCATCTGGTGAATCCCTTCTGGCAAGTCAGCTCCCGGAGTTGACAGGCGAAACTGCAATAGCGCCACATGTCCCGAGCCTAGCAACAGTAGCAGCCTGCGTCCTGCGTCCTGCGTCCCTGCACATCCACACATCCACTGGCATCCCATTCCCATTTTCTTTCCCTTGGGCCTTGATCCCTCCCACCAGATCCTTCCATGTTGCTAACTACTGTACTCTAGTCTGTACGCATAATTTGTGGGTGCCCTTGCATGCATCACTGATTCGTCCTGCGACGCGGCTGCTTGTCCTACAGCGCTTTGTTGTCATCTTTTTTTTCTCCCCTCTTCCCATATCTATCGCTCGATCCGCCTAATCACCTCTCACCGTTTTCTTCTCACCATGACCACTCCTAGCCTTTCAGACAGTAGTCATGGCCCCTCGCGATCAGAGCCCAATGCCCCCTCCACCTGTATGTTCCCCGCGGCATGGTGCCGTCTCCCTCGAATGAACACCAGATTTGCTAACATGGTCTTAGCCACCCAACTCTCCAGTTCTCAGACGCTCCCGGAGCTGAAGAAGCGCATTCGAGCTGGTCTAAAACAGTATCCGGACTTTCCCAAGGTATGTTGGCCTGTTCGATCTTCCTGGACCAACTCTAAACCTTCTCTAGCCAGGAATTTTGTTTGAAGATATTCTTCCTCTATTTGCCTCGCACGAACTCCACAAAGATCTCATCCTCGCATACGAACTACAAGTCCAAGAGTCATTTGGGAGTGACGACAAGCCAGATGTCATTGTCGGTCTCGATGCCAGAGGCTTTCTTATCGGAGCAACTTTGGCTCTGCGACTGGGCATAGGATTTGTTCCCGTGCGAAAACCCGGCAAACTTCCCGGAAACCTCGAAACAGCGGAATATCAAAAGGAGTACGGAGTTGACTCGTTTGCAATCCAGTCCGATGCAATCAAACCAGGTCAGAAAGTCTTGGTGGTGGATGATCTGATTGCTACTGGTGGCTCCGCTCAAGCCGCAGGAACACTGGTCCAGAAGACTGGAGGCATTCTACTCGGCTACATCTTCATCATTGAATTGACCTTTTTGAAAGGCAGAGAAAAGCTCAATGCTCCAGTCTACACATTGATCGAGAGTCAAGATTGAGCACTGATCTCAGTGCGAATATTCTTGCAGTTTCAGCTGCCTATGGTCCCTCGTCAGCCTCTAACGCAGACTCAAAAGCTCTACCATCGAAAGCAAAGTAATGCGGCTTCAAGACCGGTACACGGCCGATGATTCGTGTTCATCGATTCATTCGCATTACATACATACACCAGTGCTTGAGTATAGCATACGAGTCTATCTCGGAGCTATACTCCCACGGGCCAGCTCCCACGGACCTGTATATCGAGAACACTCATCTCAATTCGTTATAACGGCAGACTACATACTACGTTTTACGGCATACACATTCTGTCTAAGGATCCTGTCTGGGTAAACTCCTGCCAATTAGGTCTAACACTGCCCTTGGAATAGTTGGAAGCGATATTGAAGCCGGAATACATCCTCGAAATGGACAGACCAAACTTGCCGCTAGCGAATCGGCTCGAGCGAAGTAGATATCTACCACAACAGCCAAGCTACTTTGACGCCTATTATGATAGGTCTCAGACTTTCTCTCAAGATATCATGCCACCAATGAAACCTAGATGTGGTGGTCTTGAAACTGCCCATGAGTTCACTCATACATGAATCCCTCATCCTGGGATATCTTTACCTAATATACTGAAATATGATATCTTTAAGTCGCAATTGTTGTCCAATCTTCTTTCGTGTCTGGTAAGCTGGAAAGAGGATCTGCTACATCCTCGGGTGCTGGCTGTTTCTAAAGCAAGCTGAACGCGAGCTAATGAATAGGCCCCAAGTGGTCAAAATGCAATTGCGTGGAATGAAGATGCGCTAGGCCGTAGAAGAAAGGAAAAGATTTATGACGCGTTAACAGACGTGAACGATGATATCAGATGGTGTTGACGAATCCGAAAACCGCAACAACATTCTCGAATAATGATGAAGCAAAAGTAGGCCCGAGGCGCCCGAGGCGCCCGAGGGGAAGTCAAGCGCCCCCTGGGCCAAACCAATGTTAAAAACCGGAGGCTTGATTGTTGGGCGCCCCTGCCCCCTAGGCTTAAATCTCCTAGGCATTGGCTTATGCTACAGGCTCTGAGGCTCTCTTCCAACCCCCAGTGCCTTGCAACACCACATCTCCTCACCCACGGTTCCTCCAATAATAGAACTGCCTTGACCTGCCGGTTTCACGCTGCCCGCAGTCCGTAGTCCGTAGCCTGCAGCCCACAGATACTGTGGTACTGTACTGAGTCCTCATAGTAAGTAACCCTCCACTCGAATGTGGGAATCAGGACAGGAATCATCAGATGTCCAGACCAATCCACCTGGCACCAACATCCTACCATCTCCAACTCTTGCGTGTCTCTATCCTCAACGACCACCACCGTAACTCAACAACGCCAACCCCTTCACAAATGTCACTCGCTTAATCCTGTTGGGCTTCTCTCGTTGTCGGTTTCAACTTGCATGCACTGTGCACCGCAAGCATAATCACTTGCTCGTGGCTTGCCGCTGCCTCGACTCTGACGTCTGCGCTCCCTGCGTTTCTTATGTCCTTCCCAACTCCGAGATCGTCTGTGCAGCCCAACTAAATGAGGCCTCCACCCCATGGCGACCGTCAATATGGAATTAGAATCTGCCCTCCGCAAGTTGGACGAGGAACTCGAGGAGGGCGATATCACGAAGAAAGGCTATGAGAAACGCCGCACCCTCCTCCTGTCGCAGTTCCTGTCCCCGCCGCAGCCATCCTCCCCCGTCCAGCAGTCTCGAGGTGGATTGCGCATCCACTCCCCCGATGATAGCGACCATCCAGCATCGAACGATGCTTCTCGAGCCGCCTCGCTCGCCGCTCTTACTGCTAGCAGCACCGCCGTTAATTCATCAAGAGAAGGAACAATTTCCTCAGGCTACCTCGACCCCGGTCGCCAATCCTCGCTCTTCAATGAACCTCGGGGCAGCACACCACAGAATCACGTTAGCAGATTTCAAGAGAGTATGGGAGGACAGCCGCGTGGCTCATTTGCTGGTTCCTATGATACTCGCCAGGATACCTTCCACACCGCCAACGATAACTCGAGATCTCAAACCCTCATGAGCCAGAACTATGCCTTCAACCCGGAAACCAACCAAAACTATCCGGCCACAGATACTCGAAACTCGACCATGTTGGAATCACAACAGGGCTACTTCTCCGATTTCGCCGGCCAGCAAAGAGAAGATTACCAGGAGACTTATGGTGGACATGTGCATCGCTATTCTCAAAGTGAGGTGGCTTCGCCAACGGCGCAGATGGCACCTCCATTTCTCAATCCCGTTGAGCTGGCGGGGGGAGCCGCAATCCACCAGATGCCCATGGAGCCCCGTGAGGTGCCTTTCGCCATATGTGATCCCCACGACTCCAACATTGAAATGTCCCGGTTCGAAAACATCGCTGCTGTACTGCGACATCGCGCCAAGACCAACCCAAAGCAAGCTGCGTACTGGGTCCTAGATCAACGGGGCAAAGAGCTGGTCTCTATCACGTGGGAAAAGCTGTGCAGCAGGGCCGAGAAAGTGGCCCAAGTCATCCGGGACAAGAGCAGTCTCTACAAAGGTGATCGTGTGGCATTGATCTACACCGAGAACGAAATCATTGAATTCGCCGTCGCCTTGTTGGGTTGCTTCATTGCCGGCGTTGTGGCGGTTCCCATCAACGATTTGAAAAATTATGCCCGCCTTAATGTCGTCCTCACCTCCACTCAAGCCCATTTGGCCCTGACCACCGAAGCAAACCTGAAAAACTTCCAGCGGGACATCACGGCCGCCAAGCTCAACTGGCCTCGAGGAGTGGAATGGTGGAAGACCAACGAATTCGGCAGTTATCATCCCAAAAAGAAGGGAGAGGAACCTCCGCTCGTTGTCCCTGATTTGGCCTATATCGAATTCTCGACCGCCCCCACGGGTGATCTCCGTGGAGTGGTTATGAGCCACAAAACCATCATGCATCAAATGGCGACCTTGAGCGCCATGATAACTTCGGCAACTAGCAACACAAGGGCAGACACGTTTAACCCTTCATTGCGAGACAAGCAAGGCCATTTGATCACGGGTTCCCGCCATGGCGAAATCTTGCTCAGTTATTTGGACCCAAGACAGAGTATCGGCATGATCTTGGGTGTCCTGCTGAACATCTATGGCGGTCACACAGTTATTTACATTGACCAACGCGCAATCGAAACTGCTGGACTTTACGCCAACTTAATCACCAGATATAAGACGACCTTATTGGTCGCCGACTATCCTGGCCTCAAACAGGCCGTGTATAACTACCAGTCCGATCCCATGACGACGAGAAACTTCAAGCGCAATTTCGAACCCAACTTCAGCAGTGTCAAACTGTGTATGATTGACACTCTGACTGTAGATGCCGAATTCCACGAACTGCTGGCAGATCGATGGCTAAAGCCTCTGCGCAATCCCAGGGCTCGTGAGATCGTGGCGCCGATGCTATGTCTTCCAGAGCATGGGGGTATGGTCATCAGCATGCGAGACTGGCTTGGTGGCGAAGAACGCCTTGGTTGCTCGTTGACACACGAGATGGACCATGACCGGATCATTGAGGAAAAGAAAGAGGACGATTCTTCAGCCCAAAAATCAGGCTTTGGCAGCAGTCTTATTGGTGGAGGAACCGTCAAACCCTCCAAAGAGCGATCCACTGAAGATCTAGGCGAAGTACTTTTGGATAAAGAAGCTCTCAAGACGAATGATATTCTTGTCTTGGCCATGGGGTCCGAGGCGAGAGCCAAGGCAAGCTCATTCCCCAACGCCGTCAGATGTGGTGCCTTTGGGTATCCAATTCCTGATGCAACCCTCGCTGTCGTCGATCCAGAATCGGGCCTGCTGTGCACACCCAACTCTGTTGGAGAAATCTGGGTTGATTCACCTTCACTTTCAGGCGGCTTTTGGGCGTTGCCCAGACATACAGAGACCATCTTCCATGCTCGCCCGTACTGTTTCAAGGAAGGCGACCCAACACCGACCGCCATCGATCCGGAGTTCCTGCGGACCGGCTTGTTAGGATGTGTCATTGAGGGCAAAATCTACGTTCTGGGCCTGTACGAGGACAGGCTGCGGCAACGGGTGGAGTGGGTTGAGCACGGCGTTGCCGTACAAGAACATCGATACTTCTTCGTTCAGCATTTGATTCTCAGCATCATGAAAAATGTCCCCAAAATTTACGACTGTTCAGCGTTTGATTGTTTCGTGAATGACGAACATCTTCCCATTGTCCTCCTCGAATCTCTTTCAGCATCGACCGCCCCTGTTTCGTCTGGCGGACCCCCGCGTCAACTAGACATTGCACTGCTCGACTCTTTGGCCGAACGAACCATGGAAATATTGTATCAGGAGCATCATCTGCGTGTGTACTGCGTCCTCATCACTGCTCCTCTCATTCTGCCACGAGTCACCAAAAACGGGCGTCGGGAGATCGGGAATATGCTCTGTCGGAAAGAGTTCGACAGCGGTTCACTGCCATGCGTCCACGTCAAGTTCGGTGTCCAACGAGCAGTCCAAAATTTGCCATTCGGTGAGGATATCAGTGGAGGAATCTGGTCGGCCGACGCCAGTACTGCGAGGGGTGATCTACTTTACGACCAAGAGACGCAGTGGTCCGGTGTCGATCCTCGTGATGTAGTCATCGATGATCGAACTTCCACTTTGCTAAGCAACTTTACCAACATTTTTGATTTGATGCAGTGGAGGGTTGCCCGGCAGGCCGATGAACTAGCCTTCTGTACCATTGACGGCAGAGGAAAGGAAGGCAAGGGTCTGACATGGAAAAAGTTCGACACTCGCGTTGCTGCCGTCGCGGTTCATCTACGCAACAAGCTCAAAATCAAGCCGAGTGATCACGTCATCCTCATGTATACTCATTCAGAAGACTATGTGTTTGCAATCTATGCATGCATGGTATTAGGAGCGATCGCTATTCCTGTGGCTCCACTGGATGCCAATCGACTTTCCGAGGATGCTCCAGCTTTCCTTCATATTGTTGCTGATATGGGAGTCAAAGTGGTGTTATGCAATACCGAAGTGGACCACTTGTTCAAGCAGAAGCCTGTCTCCCAACACTTGAAACAGTCGGCACAGTACCTCAAGACTCACATTCCTGGTGTCTACAATACAACAAAGCCTTCCAAGCAATCACATGGCTGCAGAGATCTCGGACTGACCATGAATCGGGCATGGATCTCTCCAACAAACCCCGTCATCATCTGGACATATTGGACGGCTGATCAACGTCGCATCTCAGTCCAACTAGGACATGACACGATTCTCGGCATGTGCAAAGTACAAAAAGAAACTTGTCAAATGACAAGCTCAAAGCCTGTGCTGGCCTGTGTCAGGAGCACGATCGGCATTGGCTTTCTGCACACTGCTCTACTGGGGGTCTACAACGGCAGCGCAACCTATCTGATATCACCTCTTGATTTTGCGCAGAATCCAGCTTCTCTCTTCCTGGCCTTGTCCCGTTACAAGGTCAAGGACACATATGCAACGAGCCAAATGCTGGAATTTGCCATGGGTCACGTCCCTGGAAAAGGATTTTCATTACACGAGATGAGGAACTTGATGATAGTCACCGAGTCAAGACCTCGTCTAGACTTGTATGGCAAAGCCCGTGCGCACTTTGCGCAGACGGGCCTGGAGAGGACGGCGATCAACACCATTTACACCCACGTTCTCAATCCAATGATCGCCTCTCGCAGTTACATGTCTATTGAGCCGATTGAGCTATGGCTCGATGTGCGCGCACTGAGACGTGGGCTGATATATCCAGTCGACCCAGATACTGACCCAACCGCGCTCTGCATTCAGGACTCCGGCATGGTGCCTGTGGCTACTCGCATTGCCATTGTGAATCCAGAAACCTGCCAGCTTTGTCACGTGGGTGAATACGGAGAAATCTGGGTACAGTCGGAGGCATGTGCAAAGACCTTCTACATGTCCAAACAGCCGTTCGATGAAGAACGTTTCAACGGCCGGATTGCTGGAGGGGACCCGAACATGGTCTATGTGCGAACCGGAGATCTTGGCTTCCTTCACAACGTCACAAGACCAATTGGTCCCGGGAATCAGCCGGTAGAGATGCAAATTCTTTTCGTCCTGGGCAGTATTGGAGACACGTTTGAGGTCTATGGTCTCAACCACTTTCCCGTCGACATTGAAGCTAGCGTGGAGAAATGCCACCGAAACATCACTCCCGGTGGATGCGCCGTCTTCCAAGCTGGCGGTCTTGTTGTTGTGCTTGTGCAGGTACATCGAAAGGCATATTTGGCCTCGATTGTCCCCGTGATTGTGAACGCCGTTCTGAACGAGCATCAGATCGTGGTGGACATCGTCGCTTTCGTTGGGGACGGTGATTTCCCCCGAAGTCGATTGTCGGAAAAGCAGAGAGGCAAGATTCTGGCCTCATGGGTTACAAGAAAATTGCGGACAATCGCGCAGTTCGGTATCCGAGACACAGACGGAGGTGACGGCCAGGACTCGGGAGCGCTAGAACGAAGATCCACAAACGTCATGGGCAAAGGTCCAAGCCAAATGGACCAGCGGCGAACGTCAATGACGATGGAATCCCAACAAATGTCAAACCAGGGGGAGAGGATGTCACGCCAATCTAGCATCATGGCCGAGTTGCCTCTGACATTGCCACCCAACCATTACCAAGTTGACCCGACTGGGCAGTACGATGACAAGGAAGTATCTCAATTGGGGGGTAACGGAACTCGACCGTCAGTGACACTCAACGATAAGCCTTATTCGTTGCCAGAAGGAGTTGTTGAGATGCCCACCAGCTTCCAGGACCAGGATGAACCAGGACGAAGTCCAATAGACAATCCGTATTTGACGGACGAGAAATTCTTCGATCCAAATGCCGATTGGGACCACCAGTTTGGAGAGAGTACGCCACAGGCTTCACAAATAGATCTTGTTCCAGGAGGGCCGCCTCGCCTGTCTATTGTGAACCCTGATAGCTATTCATCAGGAGGTAGCACCGACAACACGCCTACTTCGTACACGGCCACAGCTACGCCAACATCTGCGGTGCCTCGGTCTGCAACATCATCGAATGGAGTCGTGAACGATAGCCCATACGAGGATCAGGGCAATCCTTTCCGAAATTCAATTCCAGCTGCTGTGCCCAGCTTCGACTTTGTCGCGTCGCCTTCTGCTCGAAACCCAGCTCGAGAACAAATGGCCGGGGCGTCAGCCGCATACAATCAAATCACATCTCCCACCGGAGGCCGTGCCTTGCTGCCTAGCCAACAAGCCCGATACCCATCGTACAATTCTCCGGCGCCAGAACCCAGCAAGCCTCGACAATTCAGTCAGAATTCATACGAAGCAACGGATTTGCCGCCCGAGGCGCTGGCATACGCGTACGGGCAACGGAGAGCAACGCCGGGGAGCGAGAGATCACAGGGACAACAACAGCGAGACAGGCAAGGTGGTTTACAACCGGAGGGTCAGCCTAATGCCGACATCAACAGTGTGGCAGGCAGTGTACGAAGACGTTATGATGGAAGTGGATATGACGAATACGATTACTAGTTTATAGTGATGAGGGCTTGAAAACATGTAGAAAAGTGAAGGATGGGTTGGTGAATGGACATATGGGGGGTGTCTGACATAGCCATGTCACAATAAATAAGGTCGTTTTGGCTGATCGTCGTCGTCGTTGATGGAAGACCTGAACTGAAGCAAGCCCTTCGTAAGTTAGAGACTGAAATGTCACATCGAGCAAGATGGCATTTTCGTGAAATGCGAGATGGTCGATTTCCTCCCAAGCATCAGAGGACATGATAATGGGAGGATCTATAAACGGGACCTTGCGGATACATACACACACACACATATATATATATATATTTATTGTCACTGGTCAAGAGACGCAAAACAAGTTGGTCCAAAGGTAAACTCAAGTCAAACGAACATCATTGGGCAGACACAATCAAATGCCCCTCGATATCTGCTTCTTCTGTGATTCTGATTCATCAGCCTCTTGGATCTCTGAGTCTCTGCATCTCCCAATCGCCCCTCATCTCCTCAGCTCTCAAAATCCACAATAGTTAACCACAATGACACACTAAATGTTGTACACTTATTCTTGTGTCCGTCCACAAATTCCCAGACTCCACTAGGTTCAGCCATTCACGGAGAAGAGCGTTTTTCAGCATAGTACCCTAGCACCCAATCCGATAATTATCAAAAAGGGCGTAAAGGCGTAATTACAGTCACTCATCAGTCTCACAATTTGTGATTCATCAATTTGTGATTCATGTCGACTTCGCTCTACAAGACTTGTTTGTTACGCCATATCACTTTCTCCCCTCGCTGCTACCGGTCCAGTCTACCACGAGTTTTGGTATCTAGAGCTTCAAACAGCTTCGTGTCTTCTCACCAGCCCACCACACGTCACTTTTCAGTCTCATCACCCGCAAATATGTCTGGATTGACCCCCGTCTATACCAAGGAGGCCTGTCCTCGTAAGTCCATGTCATTTCCCTTCTGCCAGTTGACTGGGTAGGGCTTTTGAAGCTTGATCCGTGTCGAAAAGGGCACATGCTGTTAATCGGTGCCGTATCGGAGTTTGAGATGGGCATCTGCTGATATGATGGATTTTCCTCTCTTACAGCTGCTGGACCATACAGCCAAGCTATCAAGGCAGCTGGCATCGTCTTCTGCGCCGGACAGATCCCAGCCGACAAGAATGGTAACCTGGTTGAAGGCACCATTGCCCAAAAGACCGAGGCTTGCGTCAACAATGTGAGAGCCATCTTGGCCGAAGCTGGTTCAGAAATCGCCAAGGTTGTCAAGGTTTCTGTGAGTTGCTCCCCGTCCTGTTCTATTTCGAAACCCATACGCGTCATGTGTTCTCTTTGTATTTGACTCTCTCTCTGACCGGACCACCTTTCTTTTCAATAATCAGGTCTTCCTCTCCGACATGTCACATTTCGCCGAGATGAACGGTGAATATGAGAAATGGTTCACCCACAAGCCCGCCCGAACCTGTGTCGCTGCCAAACAGCTACCCAAAGGTGTCGATGTCGAGATCGAGGTCATGGCTCTACAGTAATGGGTTCTTGGTTCTTCACAACACGAACGGACACAAATTGAAACAGGCCTTGTCGTCATATGGCTAAGTAGTAAATCTTGATATTCCGTAAAACTAGCACAGGCTCAGCACATTGCTACAAGCCCTTTCTATCCAAAAGAGTTCACAGCCAGAAATATCCAGGCAACATATCAAGTACCTTGAGTCATCATAGCTTACTCTTGCCGTCTTCGCCGTCATCCTCGGACAAGTCAACCACCACTTTACCCCAAGTATCTCGAGCTCCTAAAGCGATCAAAGCCTTGGAAACGTCTTGTAGACCCTTGTAGTGCTTGTCTGTGTAGGTGATTCCACGTAGTTTGCCTGCTTTGATCAAGTCGAAGATTCCCTTCCATACTTCAGGCACCGTCTCCTTCTCTTTGGTGCCATACATGCCCCAATGGAGACCAACGATGCTGATGTTCTTGAGCAAGACGCGGTTCAAAGCAACCTTTTCAATATTGCCACCAGCGAAACCAATCACGAGAAGCCGACCATTCCAGGCAATACATTTCATCGAAGCGTCAATCATCCCTATAGTTGATCCATGTTAGCTAATGCCACCCCTCCCACCCCAGCACCAAACATTGGAAAGAAGCACTCACCAACAGGATCATAGACGATATCCACACCCGCCTTTCCATTGCCCGTTCGATGCTGTTCACACAACCCCACCACTCTCTGCGTCCATTTCGGATCCCTATAATCCACCACATAATCCGCACCATAGTCCAAACAAATCTGTCTTTTCCTCTCCGACCCCGCCGTCGCTATAACCGTCGCACCCAGCGCTTTGGCAATCTGCACGGCCGACAACCCTACACCGCCCGCGCCAGCATGCACCAGCACCCATTCACCCGGCTGAGTATTTGCCCTCGTCACCAGCGCACCATACGCCGTCGGCGTCGTGACATACACACCCGCTGCATCAGCGAAACTCCACCCTTCAGGAACAGGGAACAATGCCGTCTCATCAGCGAGAATATGCGTTGCATATGCACCGTGTGTAGCGCCGAATACTCGATCCCCGACTTTGAAGAGATGTTTCGTGGGTGCGGCCACGGTGCCGTCGATACTGCTGGCGACGTTACTTTTGGTGGATTCGATGGGTGTCGCGACTACGACGCCGGCGAATTCCATGCCTGCGATCCATGGGAGAGGAGGTTGGTGTTGGTATTTTCCTTGGATTTGGAGGAGATCGAAGAAATTGGTGCCCGCAGCGTGGATTTTGATCAGGTATTTGGTGGGATGGGGGGTGGGGGTGGGCAGGGTGGTCACGACCAGATCTTGTGGTCCAGAGACGTATTTGGTGACTTGGATGGCTTTCATCTTGGAGGAGTTGAGAAGGGAGGAGAAGGTAGGTGTGATATGAGGTGAGGTGAGGTGGTGAGGGACCGTACGAGATGTGAACGAGATGTGAGCAGGCTCAGGAGTAGAGAAGATGCAGTTTTCTGTACAGAGAGATAGAAAAAGAAGTGCAACAATAAAAAGTCAATCACATACGATAGCTCTTGAAATCAATTCTGGGGCAATGTTGTCGTCAGTTCGTCGGCATCTATGCAATCCTAGACAAGCCCCCCATTCCCCCATGGGAAACGTGCCTCGGTATGTCCTCCGTAGATTTAGCCGCCAGCTGTGTGGTTGGGGTTGAACTCCAATAATGGCTCCCACGTCCCTATCAGCCCGGCCCTTAGATAGCCATGGCACCATTCCCGCAGCCTGTGGTTAGCCGTGGGTACTCACTCCAAAAGAGGGCACACACCACACACAGCACCGTAAGAGGGTTCAGTCACGTGATTCGGACTTAATTCAATCCTTCGCCAGACTTTCTTGATTGGGGTTGCTCGTTCCTGCACAGAAATCCTCCAGAAGGTACAAGGAAAGTGGCGCGATACTGCCCTCAACCCACTTTTCCCCCTTGGCATGGATTCTCGCCTCTTGTCCTCCGTCTTCGGCTTTCTGCCTTGACGAATCTCTCTATTAAACTCATGACAAACCTCGCACATCAATCTCCTCCCGTCACTCTCAATGACCGCGGCTCCTGATAGGGAAGGTCATTTCCTGTCAATTATTGACGGTCTAGTCCTCGAAATCGACTCCCTTTCAAACAACATTCGTGATCTGAAGGAGGTCTTGACTCAGAGACTCAACTTTGCCGCAGATGAGGTAAGACACCATTCCATCTCATCAACCGCGTATCTTTCTTTGTTAGGATGAGAATCTTTTGATTAGCTCTAGATCAAGAGCTACTCTTGGTAGCGATGAGCGACATTTGCATGTATTACCTGAACACACACACACACACATACTGTCTTGACTGTTTTCTGCCTGAGCAATATCTGTTCGTGCAAGACACTAACTCGTGTTGACAGTACGAAAAACTCGTGACTGCTGATGGCGGTTCGTCCACCGATTCGGCGGACCATATTCAGATAGTCAAACAAATCCGTCAACCAATCCTTGAAACTCCTGATCCTCCTTCTTCATCCCTGATCAAGAAAGTCCGGGCCGATATTCACAACCTTAAAATGGCGAATCATCATGGTAATCAGAAGATGAACGGAGCACGCTGCCCAGTGACGGGTGCAGGTGCAGATCCTGAAGACATGGAACTCGATTTTACTACCTCGGGCAAACAAGGAACATTAGGTTGTCCCTTTGCCAAGATGGCCGCCAACGGAAAGTTGAACCCTGCCGACGGCATCGACGACCCTGTTGCCGCCGAGTTTCATCTAGATGCAGCATCGGTCAGATCTCCCCGAACAGACTCTCGACCTGCTGGACAATGTCCTATTCGATTCCTCGATCAACATTCGCCTGAAGAAATTGCTCAGTATTTTGAAAATCATAAACATGAGATACCACGAAGTCATGAGATCTGTGTGAGACGGTATCAGGGTAATGAGAACAGCGTGCGTCAATTGGATGCGAAGTATGGCAATCTCGTCAACATGATCCAAGGATTGGGAGTGAAGCACAAGGCGTATCTTCCCGAGAAGGACAGGATTGAAGCCCAGGATGCTCCTTCTACTTCTGACAAAGCTGTGGAAAGATGGGCAGAAAAGGTCAATTCCGAACTTGCCGTCGACATCGAGCCTTCGATGTCAGAAGAGGAGGAGGCTCGGGTCTCGCGTTTCGATAAACCGTTGAGAGAAGTCCGAGTTGGCGAATCGCCCAGTAGACCTTGGGGGATTTCTGTTCCACCAGACAAGCCTCGTGCACCAAGTGCTTTACAGTCAGAAGCCGGGGGAAAGATTCCAGCAACAAAGGCTGAACAGCCAGAGGTACTACAACCGCAACATCCTCCTGCCATCTGTCCTGTGGACCACTCGAAACTGAACAACCAAGACAAGAAACCCAACATCCCTACCGAGGAGAAGCACGAGGAGAAAATTCATCAACCACCAACACAGATCATTTTCAATGGTCCTGTCTTCTTTGGCTATTCAGCCGAACAGGTCGCGATGCTTTTACAGAGTGGTAATCTGGGCAAGATGAACCCGGGTACAACATGATCCCAAGAGCTGGGTGATTTGTATTTCATGTAATTGATAGTTTGTAACATTGTAGCGTTCTGAGCGACTTTAACGAAGGAAATGATATCTACTGTACACCAAGTTTAAACAAAGGTCAAGACCATGAATTGATTCATATATTCATTCAATGCAAGTATACAAAGTACTGTATGCTGATAAAATGTCGGACGCAAGGAGTCAACCACGTCATGGTAGCAAGTGAATCCCAATCCGAAAACCAGGAAACCTCAGCCGAGTGGAGATTGAACTATGAAGGTCCTCTTTAGGTAAAGATGTTGTTTTTGCAACCAAGTGTGAAAGATATCCACCAACTCTAGCAGAAAGAGTCCACAAAATGCAGACTACTCTCGCCGTGACTTCCGAAGAAGAGCCTGATTGATGAACAAGCAGTTGGAAAGTGAGTGTTGCGTGTGAGTTTGGGTTTGATGTGGGTAGAAAGGAGAGAAGTGGGATGGGAATATTTCATCAGGGTGGTTGTGGCATGGGAGATCAACTCGGTCAACTAGTATCTTCCATGCTGCTTCAAATTCATATTGTCGTCCTACCTGTGGACATGCTCGTCAAACATAACAGGGTCATGACCTGAAGTCGTTGAACATTACAGACTGGTAATTCGATGTGAAAAGTCGAGGTAAAGAAAGAAGATAAAGTCAGGTTGAGGTTTGCTGAATTACATAATATGGTTGAGAGTGGATTGGTTGGTGGTGGTCTTGGCGACTCGTCAGGTGTCAGGGATCATATTCGCGTCTATCAACAAGTGACAACTCCTCGACAGCTGATTACTCTTGGACTGATCATTGCTATACAATTCCTCAAGGCAATGAATTCGTGTACTATCTCATTGTTGAATACTTCTGTTGTCAATGTCGACCACTAGCTTTTTCTTAATGATGCGTTGAGGTCGATGTGGAACGGCAGCCAGCCACGCCCATACCACCTTAATAACGACTCCTATCACTACATCAACCAGGATCCATCCACATTTCCCACCTAACACACAGTTACTGCATGCCCAAAATGTCAAGATGTACATGCACCTTAAAAGGACATCCGTACATCTGTACACCAATACATAAGTAGGTAGGCAGGTAGGTATAAGTAACCCCTTCCCCAACCCCTTCCCTCTCCACCTCCAACGAGCAAGTTTCCTTATCCCGTGAGCAAGTTTCTGCCGCCCAAATGGCCCAAAGGATTCGAGACCCAATTGATACTCGTCCAGCCCTAGCGCAGCCTCGACAAAGTTCGACGACGTGCCTTGCTGCTGATCTTACCAAAAAGGCAATTTTTCCAAAAGGAGACGACCTAAAGAGCGCCATTAGGTTCGTTGCGAGGGCATTCTACAGTGTTTTTGAAGCGTAGGTCTTCAACGTGTCTTTATTTCACTTCTGTCACGTCCATTGAATATGCATCGGCTACATATGCATGGCGAAATGCGCATGATTGCGTTGTTCGTTAGGGCTGGTGGATATGCAGTTTGTAAGTGGATTGATTGTTTCGTTCTGATGGTTAACGCCACTGGGAGCTCAAGAGAATTTGACTGAGAATGTATGATACATATAAGCTGATCAGCCAGGGTGTTGACAGGAGGTGCTCAAACCGATTTTCATCATCCATCCAAATCCTCAAGTCAAGTAAAATCCATCCTCTTCTTCTCTTCAAGATGCTGTTATTATCGCGGTTATCACAATTAAAATCAACTCGTCATTACTTCTCCTCCTATATCTTGGTCAATTTCATCGTTGGCCTACCATTTGTCGCTTATGGCACATATGTCATCTTCCAGCTTCAACAGATTGGATTCGTCATCGGTCACGGCGTCGATGAGCCCACATGTATGACCTCTTGTATTGTCCCATTCGGGTCTTCCGAATTGGACATGAATGCCGTTATTCTCTACCTCAATGCCATGGGGTTTGCTTTTGGAGGCTTCATTATGATTTTTGTGGCTGCTTTGGCGGATTACTGGAGTATGTTTTTTTTTGGATTCCTCTACTTCTATCGAGTGGTTGTCCATTCAGGAGGCTGACATCGCTGCAGAACAAAAATCTCTTCTCATGGTCATCACTATCTTCCTCTACGCTGCGATTTCGATTCCCGTCGCTTGGTTGGATAAACTGACAAAACCCACATTTGATGCCTTTTCGGGTCTCTATGTCCTGTTCTCTGTCATTACCCTCGCACTCATGGCCTTGTTAAACATATACATCCCATTCTGTATGAAATTGGAACCAGACGTCGCCAAAGAAATGGGTTCATTTTCAGTCTCAGGTGACGATCATCGGTCATAAATGGGATAAGAGGTAGTTGCTGATGTCAGTGTAGATGAAACCGAAAGAAGACACAAGATTGGCACGAAAATGTCGGTATTCGGGCCAATCCTCAGCTGGTCTGCAAGTATACTGGTGTTGATCATTGGCATTATATTGTCCAAGACCCTGGAGCTTGAAAGACAGCAATCCGCGTACGTCGATCTCGCAGTCATATTGAGGATGGTAATAGCTAATATGCAAGATGTCTAGGGGTTTGATCATGACCACGGTCGCAGGCTTTGTCACTCTGATAGGCAGTGCTGTCGCCTACTTCGGTCTACCCACTCTTGTTGCGCGAGACCTTCCAGTTGGCAAAAGTTGGTGGTCGATTGCATTTTCTAGTGGTAGGTTACATCCATCCCTAGTCTTAACGATATCGACATCATTTTAACCTCTTCCACTACCTAGTCTTCGGCCTCGTGAAAGATCTATGGAAAAACAAAACCGCAGCCTTGTTGCTCGTGGGTTACACTGCCTACACTGACACGACGTTTGCACAATCGACGGTCTTGAGCCAGTTGTTCATACTCACCGTCAAGCCTGACATTGTTGAGTTTTCACTCTACAGCCTGAGCTTCAATGCCATGTGCATCATCTTCTCGCTTATTTGGTTCTGGATCCGCCCTAGAATCAACATCCGTCTGCGGAGCTGGATGATATTTGGATATCTCGTGAATCTGATCCCTGCTTTGTGGGGTAGTATTGGTATCTCTGAGAATGTTGGGATTGGGTTCAAGGTTTGTACTCCTCATGAGGTTTGTCAACCAACTGACGATCAATTTCTCAGAGTCGCTGGGAGTTCTATGTGGCCTTACTGTTTACGACAGTTGCCAACTCGATTGTGAACCCGGTGTTCCGCGTTGTCTTCTCCGAGGTTATCCCTCCCAAGAGAGAGGTGCAATGGTTTGGCATGCAGCTCATCATCTCTTGCGCTACGGTAAGTGGTACTACCCTCATATAAAGCTAAGACCCACTGACTGATGTGGTCCAGACTTGGGTGCCATATGTCGTCCTCGCGCCTTTTCAACAGGCCACCAACAATCTGAGATATCCATTACTAATGTGTTTCGTATTCTTTTCTGTTCCTTTGGCAATCGAAATATGGCACCTTGTGGCGGGGAGCAAGGGCCCTACCAATGACACCGACTCCTCCAATGATGGGTCTGAGAAGGACGATGTGGTCAACAACGAGTCAAAGGGGAGATCCGAGACTGTTGTATTGGAGAAAGCATCAAGCGGTGTTTAGTCATTTTTCGTGTCTTAGACTCGGACATGTATGTGATTTCCACTACCAATGCCACCTACTTGAGATCGCTTCACGGCTTGAATACAACCGTTCTAAGCTGTGGATCCCCTAATACTCTCGATGTGCTTCGGTGAGGTGATCACCTGAGCTTCAGTTGCCTTCTCCTCGGAGACCGTAACTGGGTCGATGTCGACGCCCCTGTTGCCGCCCTCAACATGCAACTTTGTCTCTTCCCAGGACTCAGCGACTTTGTCGCCAAACACGCCTGCCAGATCCTCGAGAGTCTTGTTCTTCGTCTCCGGGTAATAGAAATACACAATCACCACGTAAACACAGTCAAGGACCAACCAAATGATGAAGTATCTCCATGTGATGGCCTCGACTGCCAATGGGGCAGTCTGAGTCATCAGAACGCCCATCGCGTTGAACACGAGAAAGCCAGCTGCCACACCGGTAGGGCGGATCTTGGTGGGCATAATTTCTGATGCGTACTAGATATCGACATATTAGTGCCTGGTTTCGCATCGACCCCAAAGGCGCAGGAGAGAGACATGACTTACTGTGGTACCAAAAGTGTTCATAACAGCTGCGTAGCCAAACACGGTGAGATATATGCCAACATTGATGCCTTTTGCCAGTCCGAGGTTGGTGTTTCCGCCTTTTTCAAAGGCAGCCCACAAACCCACGATGATCACAGATGCAGGAATCATAATGGCGTATGAGAGAAACTACAATATTCCAATACGATTAGTAAAGAATGAGATACAATTTCGTAACATTCTGCACATACCAGGGCATTCCGACGGCCAATTCGATCGAACCAAAAGCCGAGGCTCAGAACTGCAAATGTCGACACGCTGCCCCAGACTCCGACAAGAACGAGAGACATGACTGGACCGGTCCCCAAGAGTGTATAGATTTGAACTTGATATACCGACTGAGGAAGAATTCCAGTCGCCCTGTACAAATTTGTTTTAGTAAAGTGCGTCCAAGTAAGCTCCAATATAGGATGAAACATACTGTTGGAAGAAGTAGAATGCCATGATAAGAAGCACGCGTTTTCGGTACGAGGCTTTGACAAAAATGTCTTTGATTCCCACCTTCTCGGTCTTTTCCAATTCGATCTGAGCTCGGATCTGATGGAATTCACGCGCATAAAATGAATCAGAGTCATCCTGATCATTGCCGTGGATTTGCTTGAGAACGGCCAGACAGTCATCGTAACGATCCATCAACGCCAGCCATCGAGGAGACTCCGGCATCCATGGCGATCCTGCCAGCATGAGAATGCCTGGAAGGAGTTGGAACCCAAAGAGAATACGGAAAGCGGCATTTCCTGGAATAAAGTAAAGGCCAAGTCCGATCCAGACGGTGAGGCAATTGGCAAGCGAGATGTTGAGGCTATTTGGGAGATGGAGATCAGCATATTAGATCAGAAGAGCGAAAGGAAAAAAGAGTGGGCAAACCTACGCGAAAAGGGCACCAACTCTTCCACGCGTCTGAGGTGGAGAGATTTCACTGGCATAGACTGGACAGATCCCAAAGATGATACCGGTGGCTATTCCACCGATGATTCGACCAATCAGAAGCATAGCATAATTGACAGCGGCCGTCTGCAGAATGATCCCGACAAAAGAGATCAAGCATCCGATGCGGATTGTCCAAAGGCGGCCATACTTGTTGGGTAAGTACGTGTTCATTGCAGTTCCGACAGCGCAGGCAGCATAGTAGGCAGAGTTGAACGCTCCAATGGTATTGGCGTCCAAGTTATAGTACGTTATGAATTCGGAATACCCCAGCACGCAGGAGATGATGCCTTGAGGGTTCGATCAGTCAGCCGTTTATTACTTTGTGCTTGGGCACGAGCTAGGAGCAAAGACATACCAAAGTCATAGCCATAGAAAGCACCGCCAAAGGCGATATACATCAGAGAAAGCAACTGAAACTTCTTCATGTTGGCAGTGGCTCGACCTCAGAAACGGGATCAATCAAGGTGTGCTTGTGGTGCAGTAATGGACTCAAGATTGTCGTGTAGCACGGACTCAAGATCAATCTTCCTCAAGAATTTATCCGTAAGTTGAGGTCTTGATTCGAAAGATCAGACGATTGTCGTCTTTTCATATTGCAATGTGTGAAGGCCGGAACAAGGCTGGGAAACCTTCAGCTCTCTGTCATGAATAGAAGAAACCGGTCCAGATCATGACTTCCAGTGACTAGAACTCGCTCTGAAGACAAAGCCAAGATCCGAGCCATCGAGGCATCGAGTTGGCCTCAGGGACAAGAACAGCCAAGACGGCTTCATCTCAAAGGTTAAAAAGTGGTGGAGAACCGGAGAACCGAGGAACCCCACGGGGCAAATCTGGAGAGCCTTGATCGTCGAGGCTCCTCTCTTTTGTCTTGTGACCAAAATCTCATTTGATCGAAACTTGTTCCTGCGGAGACAGCAAAGGTGGCGGGGGAAGACATCCACACGTCGTGAGCCGAATCCTGGGGAGAACCCAGATTATGGGATTCTGGAGTCATCGGCGTCTTTGGTTCTGGCTTGATTCTGCTAAGGTACGTCTTCTTTGCCAAGATCCCGGTGCTAGCTCTTCAGAAGACAGATGATGCACCCATCAGACGTGAGAGCGGTCCAGCTAGGTGGCCCACGGTTGTTCGGCCGAAGGTCCATGTCTTTGTGGTTCGACCGTAAGTTGCGGGTCCAGCTCCGCTCCCCCTCAATCCATGTGCGTGCTGTCCGGGGCACACAGTCTTGGGAAAGTCGTCTTCGCAAAACATCACCATTGGCTCTTACATTGATATGTCTTTCCATTGTCGCGAAAGTTAGTAGCACTTACTAGGCATTGGTCCTGCGTATATGCTCAGCTTCAAACAACAAGCCCAGGACACTCTATCTTTTCCACTTTACTTCACGAAAGCATTCGGTTGTTAGTCTATGATAATGGACGTCGATGCGCTCTCTGCAGCAGGGGCTCTACAGACAGAGCCCTTGGAGAAGTCAGCAGTTACCAACGGCGTCAAACATGCTGGCGACAGTCACATCAACGGAGTTGGGACTCATGGACAGCAAAAACCCGCAAATTGGGTCGATGTGAGAGACGAGTTCCTCGGAAAGCCCCATCGTCGCTTAAGGGTTATAACAATCGGAGCTGGCTTCAGTGGTATGCTTGACGGTCCACCTGCTCAGAAAGGGATATGAATGGCGATCTCACTCTGATATCTGGCAGGTCTCACCCTTGCAAACAAGATTCAGCGGACTCACAAGCTCGACGATGTAATTGAGCATGTGATATACGAGAAGAATGTAGGAAAAGATGTGGCTTCCATGTTGCTGTGCTAACTTTCCATAAGCCCGAGATTGGTGGGACTTGGTATGAGAATAGATATCCTGGGGTTTGTGCCTCCTCGCTGAGACTTAGCTACTACGGGTTTTGGTGCTGACAGACTGGCCAGGTGATGTGTGACGTTCCTGCGGTATGTATACACAGTCCGCACTCGCACCAAATGTTTGCTCTCGCTGAGTACAGCAGCATATATATACTTTTGTCGATATTCCCAATCCGGAATGGAGCCACTAGTGAGTTCTTCAATCTCTGCTTAACGCCGTATGAGCGGGTAGCCTGACTTGGTATAGCTACGCGACCGGGGCAGAAATTCAGCAGTACTTGAAGAAAGTCACAAAGGAGTACAATCTTGACCGAGATGTGCAACTTAACTCAGAGGTCAAGTCGGCGATCTGGGACGAAGATCGAGCTATCTGGAAGATTCGAGTGTTGAAGGGAGGAGAATTGGTTGACGACTGGTGTCATGTGCTCCTCAATGGCTCTGGAGTCCTTAAGTATGTCATCATCTTGTCGTTGGCTGATACATCGTGTACTGATATCAGCTTCCGTGCAGTAATTGGTCATGGCCTTCAATCCCTGGACTCAAATCGTTCAAGGGACATCTCTGTCATTCAGCGAACTGGCAGGACAATTTTGATTTTACAGGCAAACGTGTTGCGGTTGTAGGCAACGGCTCATCAGGCATCCAGATTGTACCAGAGATGCAGAAGGTCGCCAGTAAAATGGTCAACTTTATTCGATCAAAAGCCGTGAGCTCTTCCACATGGGACACCCATGCCTGCAGTATATGATACTGATTTGAAGTTTTAGTGGATCTCGGCACCATTTGCAGAAGACTTTTCAAAAGCCCCAGGCGGAAATCCTGCATGTAAGACTAGGACGCAAGTTCAGGCTTGATCGAATGCTGACAGACCCCTTCCAGATACCGCCGACGAACAAGCGAACTTCCGCGCGAACCCAGAAAAGCTGAAAGACCTGCGGCACAAGCTCATCCACGTTCAAAATACCTTTTACTCGGCGGTGAGTCATTCTCATGTGCAAATCCGTTCACGTACAAGACGAATAATCGGATCCTTAGCTGATCGAAGGAGCTCCAACGAACCTGGAGGCGATGAAAGCTGTTAAGACTCTAATGTATGAACGGCTAGGAGGCAATCAAGAATTGATAGATAAGCTTGTGCCAGAATGGTCGCTTGGATGTGAGTATCATGACGTAGTAACTAACCTATTGTGCAATGTTCGTCCTCCTAACTCAAATATAGGTCGACGCCTAACTCCTGGTACGGGCTATCTCGAGTGCCTGAAGCAGGACAACGCCGAGCTTGTCGATGATGGAATCACTGAGATAACCGAGACTGGAATCCGTACAAAAGACGGAAAACATCGGGAATTCGATGCGATCATCATGGCAACTGGGTTTGATGTCTCATTTAAACCTCGATGGCAGCAACTTGGTCGCAAGGGTCGCTCTCTGACTGATGACTGGAAGGACGAGCCTACAAGCTACTTCTCACTTGCGGTCAGCGGTCAGCCCAACTACTTCATCTTCATGGGACCAGCAGGACCGGTTGGACATGGGAGTTTGACCTCTGCCATTGACTGGACGGCCGACTATGTACTGAAGTGGCTTGTCAAGATGTCCAGGGAAGACATCAAGTCCTTCGAAGTCAAAGCACAGGTTCAGCAAGATTGGAGCGTATGGGGCGACGAGCTCATGAAACGAACGGTTTGGTCTAGCGGATGCAGGTGAGAACCCTTCTTTGTGCTAATCTGATCTGGGCGTGACCACAATGTCGTTAACTTTAACCCCAGGAGTTGGTATAAGAATGGAAAGGTCGATGGTAAAGTGACAGCCCTGTATCCTGGAAGCATCCTACATTACGTGAGTACCCGCCCACTTTGTATTTTGCGCATGAAACATTCTAAACGCCTTGTAGAAGGACATGGTGGAAAGCATTCGTGGAGAAGACTTTGACATTGACTACTGGAGCAAGGTGAGACCTCAATGTCCGCGAAATGGAGATCCTGTCAAAGCTAAGATGCGTTATTCCAGAACCGGTGGAGATTCTTGGGCAATGGCTTCACTCAACTGGAGGTGGAGAATGGAGATTTAGGATACTATGTCCCTTGCTAGCATGTGGCAGGGTTCCTATTTTGTGCTAGCAGAAAAATATTGTTATCAGTATCAACCATGATAGATTTCTGTATCCATGTCTTCAACTTTCCATTAGATAAGGGAAAAAGTCATGAGCTAGTCCAAAGTCTTGTGGTAATCCGCTGAGAAGATCTTGATCAAAGAGATCGGGAACGTTCAGGAATTGGTGATGCAGTGGCGCATCGGGAAACACGCCCGCATCTGCCATGTTAGTCTGCGGGCTCGGGGCGTTCTGCTCTTGATAATTACCGGTATTCAGAGACACTGGTTCGTGGTGAGGCCCTCGAAGTGCCACTAGTTGATCCATTGCACCTTCGCAAGGGCCAGGATTAATCTCGCTCGACTGCTCGGCTTGGGTGTGGTGTTTCCTCTCCAGATTCTTGAATATTGTCTCGAATAACTTCATGATCCAGCCACACGCCGGCCAGGTCTTCGAGATTTCCGCGCAGGCAAGAAGCAGGAGGCGAGCTTTGTGTTCGGCCAATTTCCGCTGCATATGATCTGGACTTCGCGCCATGAGCACATACATCGTCAGCGCCGAGAAAAGACTCGGACAACTAGTAAGGGTATCAGATCAATGAACAGAAGGCCTCGAGATGTTCTAAGAAGTTCAAGGAGTCGACGCAACAAAACTCACATTTGGAGTTGCGATTTCCGTAATAAGTCCAATGCAAGGAAATCGTCAACAATAGCTGAGATCTTTTTTGTGGCTGTGTACACTGTCGACTGAAGCAATTTCTTATCAACACTGATCATGCTGCTCTCCGGTCTGTGCAGAAGGATTAGTTGCTGGCTAACTGGTCGTCAGTAAGGGCAAGTATGACTAGGATTATGTCTCGGCTGACTTGTAATTCAGGTCCAGCATCTTGGGCCAAAAGCCGCCTTCTTCATCCAAATCTCCGTCTCTTAATTCTGATGGTAGTTCTTGACGCCATTCTCGCAGTTGGTTGCTTAGCTCCTCAAAACTAGAACTCTGCCTTGACATGCTTGTCGAAAACTTTGCTAGTGTGATGGCACCAACTGTCACTTGTCAGTTTCAATCTCACCCGGAGCGCGCGTGGTCCAAAATCGCTGAAAGCCATACAAATTACCGAAAGCTTGCTCATTGCAATTGTATAAAGAACATGAATTCTGGTAGTTCGCCCGTAAACAGTCGACAATATCTCATTTTGGGAAATATCGTCCTCAAAGTCCGACTCATCCAGAGGCTCGACATCATTGTCATCGTCCCGGATGCGCATGGGTCGGCCGATATTGGCGGAGCAGTGACGATCGCGAACCTGGCTTCATTAGTCGAGATCCATTAATGGACGAAGGAAGCGAAACTCACATAAAGTGACCACCATATCCTCTTCCATAGTCGCCGATCTCGAAGTCTCAGGGTAGAATGCTTAGTCCTAGGAGAGGGTGAGCGTTCATCGAGGACGGGGAAATGCGGAAATACCCACGTCCTATGCATTCCTTTACCCTGAGCGTTTCCAATAGCAATCGACAGCCAGTAAAACATATCCTTCTCGTCGGTTGATCCGTTCCATAGAAAGCTCAAAAGAAAGGCAGCCTGGACGAGCGTGACCTTATTGGTCTCATAGTCGGCGTCATGAAGAGCTTTGGCACGTTTCAAGAAGACTTTGCGAGCCGCATTACGGCTTTCAAATCCCGACTCAGCGATCACCTCCTCTTCACACATGGTACTCGCAACGGCGTAGACGGAGTGCAATATCAGAAGGGACAATTGATTTGACTCATACAATTGAAAGAATTGTTCTCTGTCAAAGATAGGAAAGGCCGGATAGACGCATTCAAAGAATGTCTGGATGAGTTTGTCAGAGATCCGACGCTCAGGCAGCAGGAACGCGCCTCTGATTTTGAGGATCTCCGTCTCTTCTGCATCGAGTCTGGCATCGTAGCCAAGGTTTTCAGGCTTATCGCTGACTGTAGAGGGTAATGGGACTTGAAGAGTCGAGGGAGAGCTGCCGTCGGACATAGCATCCGCATTAATTACCTTTTGCACAACATAAGTCAAGAGCCACGACTCTCCTAGGTAGAGACTTTGTCCGCCTTGCAGGTTGCGAGCATCTGGAGGTGACAGAGGTTGCTCGATGAGCCGGGCGTAGAGGTTCTCTGAGCCCTCCTTTGAGAGAGAATGGTTATCCGCCCTAACATGTTTGGATAGTGCTGAGGAGTTGACATCAAGGCGTTCGATTATCAAAGGCCGCCCGTCAATTGGCCTGCTGAAATTGAAAGTTGAACTTGGAGCGCTCGCAGTCTCAGACTGAACTGGCGCAACTGCATTGGTTGTCGAGGCATGACTTGATGAAGTCCTATTGCCTGATGACCCCCCCTGCGTGTTCTTGGACCGTGGACGAATGTACCTGGAGTTTTCAACATTCACAATCTTGCCGAAAGCTCTGAAAGTCTGCCTACCTGCCCCTTTTTGACTCAATCAGCTGGCAGGAGACCTGCGCGGTGACACAATTGGAACATGGTTGAGTATCGTATGCATTACACCGAACACGCCTCGCATGACAAAACGCACAGGCGACTCTGCCTCCACGATTTGGAGGCGGATTTGTTTGTGTCGAAGAGGTCTGTTTGTCGGTGGGCATCCCTTCCATGGCGCTCAACTCAAGTTTTCATCGCCTGACGATTTTGCAGACAGATTAGAGCGCAGTAGAAGCAGTCCATGTCATAGAATGAAGAGACGTTGTGTCCCGAACGAGAATATCAGGTGTTGTCAGCGAGTCATCTGGCGAACCTCCCCGGGCATATGTCACCCCAGAAAGGGTGCTCAATTGCCCCGCAAGCTTAACACGCTTAAGCGAGAGTTTCTTGGGGATGAGGGGTGACGGAACGGGACATTTGGCCACTGAAGTTTCTATTGAGATTTAAGACTAAGTATTTAGGCATGGCTAGGCCTGATGGCGGCAGTGCGAGTTCTTCCGTCCTCTTTCTTCCCATCCGTGCAAGAATGTCGCAGATATTCTGATTGTTCACAACTCCGCTTGGTGGTTCATAGAGAACCAGGACGGGATCTTTCGAAGTGCGGAATCGAGTCACAGCAGTGTCATGGCTGGCTTGAGCTGGTGGCAACGCGCTGCCTATGCTCATTCGCGACCGCAGAGAGCGTCGGTTCTGGGGTTTCTCTCCTTCGACAACTCTGAAACATGTTTCCTATGCAACTTGCACAAAGACCTACGGAGTAGATCAGTGTAGGAATGTTCACGCTGATCCTTCCACACGATGATGAAAGCCTATAGCAAGTGCGACTGCTTATAAAGCCAACCTTATTGCTTAAGGCAGACTCTAGTGTTCAGGTGTGCTCGACCCATTAAATTTTCCTAGACGCCGTCTTGGCCTTGATATCCCCCTCCCACCGGGAACCGGGGCTAGGTCTAGATCGCCATGACTGGATCAAGCCCAAATGAGGTGACAACAGTGATTCCTGTGCTACTGCGCACGGCTTGACATGACTTTATTGACCATTGGCAAAGGCAAGTCTCCCCCAGAAGGCTTTTGATGAAATGTAAAGCGCCGAGATTGGCTCCTTAGTGCCTTTTATGGGCCACCAAGGACAAGATACTGTCTGGACTGCTTTCAAAGGACAGTATATCGTGCTGTCGGCACCCTTAGACCTTAAAGCACTGGCGTCGAGAATTGCCCTTTAGTTCGAAAGACTTGATTCAGAAGGCTTGAAGTCGCCAAAGATGGCTCTATTTCCCGACATGCCCAGTTTCGCCGAGACGTTGTCTAGCATCAATACAGACCTTGAGAAGCTCCCAGACAGATTTGGTTGGCCTAGAGAAAGCAGCACTGGATATCGCATACAGGAGCAGCTGTCTGGCACAGAACGGCCCATCAGAATCATTCATGTTGGAGCCGGCGCGTCGGGCATTTGCTTCTCCAAGTTCGCGACAGACTCCTTGACAAACGTTCAATGGATATGTTATGATAAAAACTCCGACATAGGCGGAACGTGGTTGGAGAACAGGTAAGCTGTCGGCGTCGGAAGTGGGCATATTTTTCGAAAGTAACAAGCCCTGGACTATAGATATCCTGGCTGCGCCTGCGACATACCGTCTGTGAATTACCAGGTATGACACATGACCTTTTGGATGAAACCGAGAATCTGATATTTGCAGTTTACTTGGGCGCGGAAACCAGACTGGTCACACTTCTACTCATACTCCGAAGAGATTTGGCAATATTTTGCTGATATTGTCGAGCGCTTTCAGCTGCGCAAGCATATGAAGCTGAATCACGAGGTTATCCATGCTAGCTGGAATGAAGATGCTGCGAAATGGGTTGTCAAAGTCAAAAATCTTCTGACTGGAGATGTATTTCTTGACGAGGCTGAGATACTTATCAATGGTGGCGGCGTGCTCAAGTGAGTGATGCCCAAACCAGGCATACGATGGGAATTGACCAAGCCTTGCGCAGCGATTGGAAATGGCCGGAGATTCCGGGTCTTCACGACTTCAAAGGTATATTGTGTCATACGGCAAATTACCCTGTCGGCACCATTCTCGACGATAAAAAGGTCGCGGTCATTGGTGTCGGAAGTAGTGGCATTCAAGTAACAGCAAACATTGCACCCAAAGTCAAGCACCTATACACGTGGGTAAGATCCCCAACATGGATCACCGCAGGATTTGCCCAGAAATATGCAGGTCCTAATGGCGGAAACTTCAAATGTCTGCCCTACCCTTGGCCTAGATTTGCGTTCGAGCACTAATCGTGATCAGATACGGAACAACAGAAACGTGGCTTCGTCGAAAAGTTTTCTGACTACGTAGCCTACACCAAAGCCATCGAAGACGAACTGAATCAAAGGTTCAAATTCATCCTCACTGGCACACCTGAAGCTCAAGAAGCGAAGGAGGTGAGATACCACCAATGCCTGGAACGGTGATGGAAGTCTGATTTGTTTTCCGGAATCTAGTTCTCCACCCAACAAATGCATGAAAAGCTGAGTGGACGTAAGGATTTGATCGAGATGATTGTTCCCACGGACTTTGGGGTGGGCTGTAGGCGGCCGACGGTAAGTTGATCCTTTTCAAAGACTACTGAGCTCACTTCAATAGCCAGGAAATGGGTTCCTAGAATCCCTGACTCTTCCACACGTTACGACCTTTGGTAGAGAGATGAAAAGGATCACAGAGAAAGGATTTATAGATCACAACGGACAGGAGCATGAGGTCGATGTTATCATTTGCGCCACAGGGTATGAGACGTATTGCCACAAAAGTAAACTTTTACTGATTTGGAAAACAGGTTCAACACTTCTTGGGTGCCTCGATTTCCGATCGTGGCCAGAGGCAAAAATGTCCAGGATATTCAGAAAGATACGCCGATCTCGTACTTGTCGATAGGAATTCCCGAGAGTAAGTCTCCGTCAAGTCCATGATCCATCGTCAACATTCTAAATGGACCAGTTCCAAATTACTGGACTGTGACAGGGGCTTATGGCCCGCTTGGTCACGGCTCGTTTCTGCCTATCATCGAGCTACTTATGCGCCATTTCGTTCAAATCATCAAAAAGATCCAAACAGAAAATATTTCAGCCATGGCCCCGCGGCAGGCAACTTGTGATGCATTCATGGACCATGCAAATCTATACCTGAAACGTACTGCGTGGGCTTCCGGTTGCCGCAGCTGGTTCAAACAAGGAAAAGAGGATGGTCCCTTAGCCATGTGGCCAGGGTCAAGACTCCTTTATTTCGAGCTACTGTCTAAGCCCCGCTACGAAGACTACGACATTAGGTACCTGAGCGGTAACCCATTTGGCTTTTTGGGAAATGGCTTCACGACTAGAGAGTATGACGGTCGGGACCTGTCCTACTACCTTGGTACGACTGAAGAGCCAGGGGCCCTAATTCCCGGAACACAAAAGACGGAGTGGACCCCGGTCAACGGTGTATCTGGCATGAATGCAGTTCATGCGGACGGGATATGTGTCAACGGTCACTAGGCAGTAGGGGATGGTGGAGGATCGCATTTCCATTTAGATGAGTTCGATTAAGAAACGCAAGGCGAGGTTCAATCAGTGCAATAAAGTCACAACACACACCCGTTTTCAAAAGATTTCAAAGGATAGAATGTTAATCTTCTGTCTTGTCCTCAGCTAAAGTACTGTCCGCCGTCCACCAACAGGCTTTGCCCTGTCATGTTTCGCGAACCTGGGCCGGCGAGAAAGCTGACGGTCAAGGCTATGTCCTCAGGAGTCAGCCTTTGTTTAAGGGCCATACGAGTCTGAACAGCCTGCTCGTATGACGACCCTGGTGCTGCCCCCGTGTGTTTCGTGACATTTGCATCGATTTCAGCCCACATCTCTGTTTCAACAGGCCCAGGACAGTATGCGTTGACGTTAATGCCGTGTTGTGCGAGTTCTAAAGCTGCGACTTGTGTGATGCCTCGAACCGCCCACTTACTGGCCGAGTAAGCCACTCCAGACACTGAAGGTCGAAAGCTTGAATTCGAACACGCGCCAATGATTCTCCCGCCTCTACCTTGCTTGATCATTTGTCTGCCTGCTTCTCGATAGCACAGAAAAAGGCCTTTCGCGTTCACCCCCATCACCTGATCCCATTCCTCCATAGTCTGATCAAACATTCTGTTCGGCTTGACGATACCAGCATTTGCTACCATGGTGTCTAATCCACCAAGGCTTTCCACGGTCATGGTGACCATGGCCGTGACTTCATGTTCTTTGCTGACATCCGCGTGAATGCATATCGCACGACGACCTTTTTGCTCGATCTCAGCTCGAGCTTCTTCTAGGTGGGATGCCTGGATGGAGAGGTCGGCCAAAGCCACATCGTAGCCATCGTCGGCTAATTGGAGCGATATTGCCTTGCCAATACCCCGTGAGGCTCCTGTCACCAATGCTACAGGCATGCTTGATTTTACCAGCTTGTCATTTCGATTTCAAAAGATCAAGGTCAGAATACTGTGAGATATGGTCCACTCGAGTCTTGGAGACCTCATTCAGCTTGTGCATAAAGCGCAAAGGCCCAGGCCACCAATATCAGCGTGGTTGATCTACCATGAAATCGTTCATGGGAGCCGCGCTACAGACAATATTGTGCATGGAATCGGCGACTTCTCCAGTGTGGGGTATGAATGTGGCATGAGTTCTAGTAAACCTCGCTTCACTGTTGCGTCAACATATGTGCGCTATTTGGGGTAAATGATGGCCCTCGGCCCAAAACCCTTCGACTCGAACCGTCCCCAAGGTCTTCCACTACTGCACACCGGACGATTTACGTTCGGATATTGAAGATATACCACTCTTCCCCACCCCGGGCCGAAGTCCTTGGGCCCTGAGCCAAGATCCCGGGGTGGATGAGCCTACCAGTAGCGCAAGGACAGGTATCGGCCCGCAGTGGGGGAAAGAAGTGCGCATCTCGGTCGGGTCAAGAAGGCTGGTCGAATTGATCTTTCTTCTCGTCGTCTCGAGCTGCATCACAAATTCTCTCCAGACGCCTAGTTGCTGCATGTAGCACCCGCGCTCATGGCTGCTATACCAGCATACAAGCCGCCGCCAGGCTTTCGTACAGCGCTGGATGATTTTAGGGATCACCTAGGGAAAAGGTCTGGAGTCCAGCTTGGTGAGTCGACACATGTTGAGTGATGAGGCCTTCACTTTCCGTGGACAGTTCTAATCCACATGAGACGAAACAGCAAGCTATGGAGATTTGCACAAATTCTCCGTCACTTATATGAATGAATTCTGGTCTGCTGCTTGGGACTTTTTAGGTGTTATTGGATCCAATAAACCGGAACAGGTGAGACAACACGCGGGATAGAGTAACTTTCCTCCTCGACGAACTACTAAACGAAACTTCTAAAGGTAGTCGATGATAATGCGCGGATTGATGAATTTCCAAAGTTTTTCGAGGGTGCGCAGATCAACTTCGCGGAAAATATCCTAGGTAGAAATCGAACGGGGGATGCCATTATCGATATGCGAGAAGATAACATCCAAAACCCTGAGGTCTATTCGTGGCAAGATCTTAAGGACCTCGTTGCGCTGTTTGCGGATGCTTTGAAAGAATCCGGGCTACAGAAGGGCGAGATCGTTGCACGTTCGTTGCCCTTAGAGCTCTCTCCTCTGCTTAATACGCATCGAAACAACGCTAATATCCTATCTAGTCGTCGGAGGCAATAGCGTGCGGTCTCTTGCTTTACTTTTAGCGACAGCATCAGTCGGCGGAATTTTCTCTTCGTTCGCTACAGATATTGGCGATAAAGCACTTGACGATCGCCTGCAAGTCCTTGAGCCACGACTTTTCATCGCCGAATCAACGTATTCATATAATGGGAAGAGGATCGATATTAGTGATAAGATTGTCCGAGCTTTTACGCGGTTAAACTCGAAGAGCTGCGAGTTCATCACTATCGGGAAGACTTCTACACCTAGCTCTGCGTACGTTCGCAACGTCACGACGTGGCTGAATTTACTGATCTTTGTCAAAAGGACTCTTTTCGACGATTTATTAGCGCGCGCCAAGCGATCCAGTCTTCAGTTTGAGCGCGTTGAATTCTCAACGCCGTTGGTTGTGATGTTCTCCTCGGGAACAACGGGTGCGCCTAAGGGCATCGTTCATTCTCATGGGGTAAGAAACCTTTTAAACGGACTGAACTTGAGACGCTTATTGGACCCAGGGATTGGTCCTCAATGGATTAAAAGAACATGTTCTGCACCACAACCTAGGCACTGAAGACATACATTATCACTACAGCGGGGTGAGATATCAATCTTGCGTTGCAGCCTGTCTCTAACAACTGACATGTGATAGATCGGCTGGACTCTTTGGAACATTTCCCTAGGCTCTCTCCTTGCTGGAGCAAAGATGATACTGTACGATGGCAGCCCTTTCTTTCCCAGTGCGGAGGGTTTCTTGAAGATCCTTTTCTCTCACAAGCAAGTTAATCAATCCTCAGTACTGCAGAAGTGCTCTAACAACGAACAGAATCACATCATTCGGCGCGGGACCTAGATATTTCTCGGAGCTGCAGCGGCTCAATCTAGAACCCAGTGAGTAATATCTGTTTGTGAGGCGTGTTCGAACCTCGAATCTGATATGAAATAGAACGCTTTGCTTCTCATGTGCACACTGTCATTTCGACGGGCGCCCTCCTTCCAGTTCCTCTTGCAGAATGGCTAGTCAAAGCATTTGGCCCAGTCTGCCAGATTAACATGTCTGGAGGTACCGAGATGTGCGGATCTTTAGTCAACGGCACCCCCGCTTTACCTTCGTACCCAGGGCAGTCTTCAACGAAAGCCCTAGGAATTGACATCGCAATTTTTGCACCCGATGGAACAGAGGTCGAGGACGGAGAGAGTGGAGAATTAGTCTGTCGAAAACCTTTCCCGAATATGCCGATTATGCTATTGAAAGACCCAGATCGGAAAAGATACTATAATTCTTACTTTGCCGGCTATCCACGTAAGCACGGCAAATGCTCCCATCTCGACAAAGCGATAGCTAATATGACCCCAACTCACAGACGTCTGGACACACGGAGATTTCGCAAGGGTGGACCCTGTGACGAAGGGTATTTTCATTCTAGGTCGATCGTACGCCGCACACTTTGACATGACTTATCCGATCCAAATACTGACAGTATGGCTAGGGATGGCGTACTAAACCCTTCTGGAGTACGTTTCGGAAGCTCGGAGATTTATAATATCCTCTTGACGCCTAAGTTTTCATCATACATCACGGACGCATGCGTTATTGGACAACAACGAGCGCAAGCTCCGTACTTTGATTCAATTGAGCAAGTCGTGCTGTTTGTCAAGTGCACGTCGTCGTCCAGCGCCAAAAGAAACCCTTTGAAGCTTGACCCCGGGTTAGAACAGCAGATCCGCAAGGAGATTGCAAAGGAACTTAGCAGGAGACATGTTCCCGCCCATATCTTCAGAGCTCCTGAGATCCCTTACAACGTGAACGGTAAGAAGCTGGAAATCCAAGTCAAAGCTATCCTTTGCGGTGGACAGCCTGCGTTTGAGAAATTGAAGGTGACGGAGGAGGACAGCAGGGCATTGGCGTGGTTCAAGCCTTTTTATCATATTGAGAAGGTCATTGAGGAGACTCAGAGACCGAATGTGAAGTTGTAGAGAGAAAATGATATAATAAAGTCCATGTTGCCTGGTTGGGCAGAGGGACAAGTGATCGCTATTTTGACTGCGCCAATGCGAACGATGGGGACGATAGGCACTGAACCCAGTGATCATAATTCATTCGTACTCATTGCTACATGCTTGACGCTGTCTAAGTTTTTCGATCTCGCCTCGTGGCTCTTCATTGCCCTTGCATAGCAGTCTGCCCCAAGTGGTAGCCTCAAGAGGTCGTCTCCCAGGCCTTGTCCCAGGCCAGTACCGGTAGCGACCTCGAAAATCCTCTTTGCAGCGATCATTGGATTTCCCAAGGCTCGACTCCCCGTGCTTGAAAATTTGGCCAATGTGCTTCCAACGGGGTTATTATCCGCTTCATAAGCTTTGCTAGGCTGGACGATCTGTAATGCTTCCTTACTGAAGAAGTTGGTTCGAAAGCCGCCAGGCTCAACTATCAGGACTCGGATGCCCAAGGACCTAACCTCCTTGGACAAACTCTCGGACCATGCCTCCAATGCAAATTTGCTCGCCGAGTAGATTGAGCATGTTGGCAGTGGATCGATGCCGGCTACGCTTGAGATATTGATTATAGTGCCCTGGCCGGAAGACCGCATGAGTGGCAGGATCGCCTGCGACGTTCTCACAGCACCCCAAAAGTTCACTTCGAACTGTTGCTTGGATCGCTCTTCTGGAAGATCTTCTGCGGCACCGAGAAGACTGTACCCCGCATTGTTGACAAGAAAATCTATCCCGCCATCGAACTCGTTCCATGCTCCTTGGAGAAACGATTCGACATCAGATTTGGACCATGTCACATCAAATTTCAGCCAGCGACCGTTGGCAGATGAGGAAATTTCGCTGACGAGCTCGGGGGTTTTGGAAGGATTCCGGGATGTGGCGATCACATTATCGCCTTGTGAAAGGATATAACGGGCGAGGGCCAGGCCGAATCCTGAAGAGGAGCCTGTGATTAGCCAAGTGGAGGGCATGTTGACGGTCTGCTTCAACTTGGATCGGAACTCGAAGTTGCGCTGATCGCACGTTTATGAGAAACCCTGTAGGAGTACGTCTGTGGCGTTGTGTGAATGATGCTACATTAAGCGGCCTCGTGCAGGGCGCAAAGACGATGGACGTTAATTGATCGATTCCAGCTAAGCATTCGTGGAGGCTGAAAGGCATTTACTACTTAGGGTACACATATGAGGTCGGTTACTAGCATGTGTCAACCGAGGCCTTCGAGCGTGTCCAGCCTCCCAAGATGACCGTTCAAGGCGTAGTTCAAGGACAGACGGCGACTTGGCACATTGTGACATCTAGCGTTGCCGTTTGGCCCTCTTTGGCTACACTGCCTTCAGGAGTTTTAGGTCTCTGGCTTGAAAATGCCTGCTCTGCATCACGCAATCTGGATGGATCTCAATATCTCTGAGCCCTAAAGTAACCAAGATCGATGAAAGGGTAGGTCGATGTTCCTTGTGGTGATAGACAGGCGTGGGACTGCCAAGCAAGTCAAGTTCGAAAGGGGCGTCAGCCTTGTGGTCGGAAAACCACTATCGAGCAGCCGACAAATGCTTAGTGATGCAAGATAATGGTGGGAAAGTCGCTTCACTTGCGAACGAAGTGGAATGAGGCGTAGCTCTACACGTGTTGATATTCTCCTGCTCTAGACTGTTCCCGCCGATGGGCCAAAGCTGATCCTGCTGAAATCGGGCTTTCGGCCCAGAAGCCAGGCTACACCCTCGATCTGATCTTTTCGCGCTTTGACACTAGCCTTCAATGTTGGGAAAAAACTCCAATGGCCGTGAGGTAAGCCTGGATACACGTCCATCTTGGTCCTGATTCCGCACTCTTGGCGCAGTACTCGCTCATAGATGATACCATCGTCGCGCAATGGGTCCATGCCATCGACCTGAAAATAGGTCGGGGGAAGCCCATTGTGGCCCTTGGGATGATTGAAAACTGCAAAATTGACCGTATCATCAACATTGGGATTGTATCCACCCATGAACATGTCAATCGCCGGTAATGGCAGGATCGGAGCGTTCGCGTTCTGTTGGGGTGAAAGCCAATGTTTGCGGTACTTCGTAGGTATCCTCTCCTTTGGACATAGTAGCGGGATTGCCAGATACTGCCCTGTCAAAGGTGCTGACAGCCCTTCATCTCGAGCACGATGGGCCAGTACAGAAGCTATGTTCGCTCCAGCACTTGAACCGCCGACGATGAAGCCTTTGGCCACATCTGCATTCCAGGATGCAGCATTGGCCACGCACCAATTCAAAGCGTCCCAACAGTCGTTCGGAGCATAGGGGAATGGGTATTTCGGCCCCAGTCGATATGCAATAGCAACACAAGTGGCATTCAGAGCGAGAACGAGATTACGACAGGTTTGTTCTTCGCCTTCTGGAGAGCCAAGACAAAACCCTCCTCCATGGATTATCATCACAAGCGGACTGCCATTCTCCGTTTTATCGGTGGGCTGGAATAACTTTGCTCTGACAGACGAGCCATCGCTTGTTGGGTACTGCAAGTTCGTTGTCTTGACTCCAGGTGGTGAATCTCCAAGAATACCTTTTGCACGCTCAGCGTTCTTCAGATACATCTCAGTAAAGCCTTCGAGATTGGAGTAATCGATGGTCGGGGTGGGGTTTCGTTCTAGCAGCTACAATAAGTTAGATTAGTAGGTAATTGTTCGTCCTGGACTAAGCATAACGAACTTCCTCGAGTTCTGGATCAATCTGACTCAACTTGAGCAGGTACTTCTCGTCCAGAAATTCTGCCATCTCGTCAACAGTGCTCCCCATTCTGGTGAATTATGGCCCTTTTTCTTGAGCACGCCCGATATGCGACGCCTAGGGAATGCTAAGAACAAGACGCAGGAGTATGAAGAATCCCCAACTTCACCTCCTCAGGAAGCAAAGATTAGAATCAGCTTGTAAAGCACCTAGAACATCGAAGCCAGTCTTAGTGCCAAGACAGTGTCTTGATTAGCCGTAAGAGAGACCCTCCTCCTGGTCAGGTACATATCCGCCTCGTGGATAGTACTCGGCATCTTACTGAGTAGGTACCTCATGGGATCAAGAAAGAGACGCCGTCTCGGCGCCGCAGTCATATAAATCCGCCTCATCCGGCCAGGGAATAGTCTATTTTAGAGCCAGATCTTGCCTCGAAAGATAAGGTTTCTGCGCAACGTGCTTACTCTTGAGCAAGCTTTCGTAATGTGCTGTAGAGATGAAGGAGTGTTTTGAAGTAATCTTGTAGACATAATCAAGTATGCTTCGCGTGCCCACTAAATTTGTTCTTATTTTTATCAGGTAGAGCATTCGCGCCTGATTTGCAACTACGATTAAACACCATTAAGTCTCCTGAGTCACAGCATTCGGAAATGGCTGAGAACGAGCTTCCCAGGAGTCTTCAGACTAGTTTGGATGGGACCAAGGTATCATATGTGCAACTTGGCAAATCTGGTCTGAGGGTTTCTGTTCCAATTCTTGGAGGCATGTCCTTTGGTAGGCTTAACAATGGTCGAGGAAGTTTCAGTACTTTGTCCAACTTTCTGAGTCTTCCATAGGCCATAAACAATGGCAACCATGGGTCCTTGATGACGAGACTACGGTCAACAAGATCCTGAAAGCGGCGTATGATCAAGGCCTTAATACGTTCGACACCGCAAATGCATACTCAAATGGATTGTCCGAAACCATGATCGGAAATTTCCTCAAGAGTAACAACATTCCGCGAAACAAAATCATCATTCTTTCGAAATGTTTCAGCCCCGTGGGTGAAGATCCAAGCGTGCTCAATTATAAATACCCGGATACAATGGCGAAGTCGAAAGATTATGTCAATCAAGGTGGGCTTAGCCGCGCTGCGATCTTCAATGCCGTTGAAGCAAGCCTCCAACGGCTGGGTACAACGTACTTGGATCTTCTACAAGTACATCGGTTCGACAAATCCGTGCCGGTCGAAGAGACAATGAAAGCACTTCATGACCTGGTGGAGCAAGGTAAGGTGAGATACATAGGTCAGTGAGACATTGAGATCAGGTTCCTTTGTTGACGCATTTCCTGATACTGAGAAGGAGCATCCAGCATGTGGGCTTACCAGTTTTCAACCATGCAACATGTCGCCGAGATTCATGGATGGACGAAATTCATCTCAATGCAGAACCATCACTCGCTATGCTACCGTGAAGAGGAGCGGGAGATGAATCCTTATTGTGAACAGACAGGAGTTGGGTTGATGGCTTGGAGCCCTCTCTACGGTGGTCTTCTCGCGCGACCATTGAAACATCCAGCAACACAAAGACAGGAAGCCACACAATCCCAACCAACTCCCGAAGATGAAAAAGTCATTGATGCTGTACAGAAACTAGCTGAGCAGAAGGGTTGGACTATGAGCCAGGTGGCTCTTGTTTGGTTGGTGCAGAAATCATCGATACCAATTGTTGGCATTGGTTCTCTCGAGCGGCTCAGCGAGGCTATTGAAATTCACGGCAAGAAGCTGACCTCGGAAGATATTGCTTCACTTGAGAAGGTGTACAAACCTAGATTAATCATTGGACATGCATAGACAATCCCCTCAAGAATGAGGAACAATGAAGTACTGGGATAGTTTGTGCCTAATGGTTTCTCTTCAGGTTTGCGACGCAGCTGGTGGTAAAGGGTAGCCTCCCATATCCTCGACAATTACTCGGAACCCACTGAGCGCATCAAGAAGATCCTGTCCCAACCAATTGGAAAGCACTTGCTCTCTCGTATGTTCGAGCTCTCGTACGAATTCGCCCGCAACCTCAGCACTTGATAAGCTACTTCCACGTGCCTAGGGAACCTTTGAAGATAGAGGGATCAAAACTCACCAGACAACACGTACCACTGCAACTAGGATCCAGAGCCGCAAATGCGATCGCCTCTGCAGCTTGCTCGGTGGTATTGCTTGCAACACCAGCCTTCTCAAACCGGTCACCGAAGCCGGCTGTTATACGGGTTGGGGTGAAGCTTGGAGCGATAGCATTGACTCTGATCCTGGTTTTCTCTGCGAGAGGTTGCGATGCGCGGAATAGTCCCAAAATACCGTGCTTTGACGCAACGTAGGCGGCGTTTCCTGAGAAGCCAAAGTATCCTGATGTCGATGTGATAAGAACGATTGATCCACAATGGGAGTCATGCTCTGAAAGAGAATTTTGGCGCAGGAAATGAAGTCCTAGTTGCAATGCTGCACAAGAGTTTCGTCAGTGAACCCTCAGCAAAGTGATGAGAGTCAACTTACTGTTCATGGTGCCTTTCAGATTGACATCAAGGACACTGAATCCTTCTCTTGACGCGATAGGCTCCCCGTTGACATCGGTTTCAACTTCGAGAACGGCACGACTTTCCATGATCCCGGCATTGGCCACCACGATGTCAATCCTTCCGAAAGCTCGAATTCCTTGTTTAAAGGAATTCAAGAGCTGCTCCCAATCGGTCACACTGGCTGGCACAAAGATTGCTCGCTCTGGGAACCGCATTGACAGGATAAGTTCCTGTGCATGTGATACAGTCGATGGAAGATCGGTAATGATGACATTACAGCCATGTTTGTTGAGCAGAGAAGCTGTTTCGGCCCCTATTCCACGAGCAGAGCCCGTGACTAGTGCAGTCCTGCCTTGTGCATTCTCCAGCAGCTTACGGTCCCAGCACATTTGATGCATGGCTCGATGATTCTGTGACGATTGACTTTGACTATGTGAATTCCATCCCTATGACTGGAGTGATGAGATCCCCCCCAGAGCAAACTGGGCTGCAAAAGAACAACCTTCCTTTGCGACGCGAACATGTTCCATATTGCCCTGGAGCTCAATGCTTCACATGAGGATCCTAGCCCAGAGACTTAGCACGTGTTCGAGGGTCATGCCTCAACTGTGTTCTCCGTAGGTAGGCCGCGTAGGTAGCTGTTCATATTGGACTCGCCGTCTTGGCATCAAGGGGGTACGCCGGGAGGCCCAAGGCTGGAGAAAGGGGTGATTGTTCACTTGGGGATGCTTAATTCCGGGCATGTTACAGAGGCTTGTCATGGAGGAAGTCGAGGTGAGATCTAAAGTACAGCATTGACAGAATCCTTGGGCACAGCTCCAAGTTCAACCCAAGTCCGGATCCTTTGCCATGTCTGAATCATCACCAACAGGTAAATACAGCTCGAAGCTGTTTGGAAAACGCATTCTCGTCCTCGGAGGAACATCAGGCATTGGATTCTGCGTTGCCGAAGCGGCACGAGAAGCCGGAGCAGCAGTCATAATCTCAGGTTCAGGACAATCAAAACTCGACTCCGCCATTCAACGTATTGAAAAGGCTTACTCCCAATCCTCCAACGGAGGAAGCGTTCGAGGATACGCGCAGGACCTATCGGACCCCAACACTATCGAGACCGCACTCATATCAATCTTCAACCTTGCGACAGACAATGGCGTCCATAAGCTCCATCACGTCGTTTACACAGCAGGCAACGTCGTCGGACTTGTAGCCATGGCCGACCTTACTCCGGAGCTAATCACGGCGAATGGAATCATGCGGTTTCACGTACCGATCATGATCGGTAAGATCGCACCGCGGTTTCTGGAACAGAGTCACGAGTCTTCAGTCACTTTCACAAGCGGGTATAGCCACATCAGACCGCGAGCTGGGCGGGTGCTTATGGGCGGATGGGCAGCAGGGGTCGAAGGGGTCACGAGAGTTCTTGCGGTCGATTTGAAGCCTATTAGAGTCAACTGTGTCTGCCCTGGTGCAGTGCATACAGAGCTCTTTGACAGACTGCCGAAGGAGAAGCTAGACCCACTGGTAGATTCTTATGTGAGCAAGACCTTGACGGGGAATATCGGTCGACCCGAGCAGGTGGTTGAGTCGTACATGTTTTGTATCAAGGATTGTTTTGTCGATGGGTCTATCGTCCATACGAATGGTGGATACCTCCTAGGGTGAATGGAGCTTTTTGCCTTGCTATTATGCCAGCAGACGTCATTCATAAGGCCCTTCTCATTCAGCTCTGCAACTGTAACTACGATGTTAAGCAACATCATTTGATGGTCTGGGAAAGGCCCGAGAAGAAAACGGGCCCTGGACATAATGATCATCCCATGAACCAAGTGCTTCCTGCCACTAATCTAGAGAGGCTCACACTAACTAAGGCGTCTCCCCTATCCTCGCAACAACCTTGAAGCCAGACACCTTGCCCTGGTCCATGAGAGGTATACCGACCTCCAGCATTCCTAGCAGTCCCCTTGAGACAAGTCTGATTGGATGTGGTTTAACTCGATCATTTGCAATCAAGGTCTCCACCAGAGATGTGAACATCTTTGCAAATTTGAAATTTTCTTTACTTGCTGGAAAATGTTTGCCAAACTTGTCAAAGGCCTCACCGGCAAATGTCACCAGCACACTGAAACTGTGCTTGACATCCTTGCGTGGAATTCCATTAAACAAAATCGTCCCGTACTTCTTCTCGGCCTCGACATCTGTTGAAAGCGCCTCCATACAGATTTTAACTCCTTGTTCGGACCCGACTGTGTCCCAAACCAACTTGAGCTGGCCCTTGGTGTGTTGATGAATCTTTTGGCCACAATGTGGATCGTTGTAATCGAACACGGCTTCGGCACCCCGAGACGTGCAGAGATCGAAATTTCGTGGCGAGCAGGTTGTGATGACAGAGTAACCAGCGCTAATAAATCAACACACATCAGTGATCTCCATGCATGAGCTTTTCTTGGAGGCGACGTACAGTGTCAGGAATTGAATCGCAAATGCCCCTGCCGATGTGCTCCCTCCATAGATCAATACATATTCTTTTTCTGGACCTCCAGTAGAGCCATGAATCGACGGCAACCTCAACTTCATCTCCTCGAAGAGTCCCTGTCCAGCAGTGATGGCCGTCGCCGCAATCGTAGCCCCATCGTCGAAACTCCACGCCTCTGGCACCAAAATACAACAATCACCTTTGACGGCGATGATTTCCGCCCATGCACCATCCTCTGCCTCGTTCGAATTCGCCCCGTGTGCAAATCCACACACTCTGTCGCCTTTCTTGAATGATTTGGTCACCTTGGGCCCGACTTCCAGTACAACACCAGAGAAATCGCTTCCCAATAATCCGTTGGGCGCCGCTCGTCGTGTACTAATCGATTTTGCATCGGTCGGGTTGAGACCTATCGATTTGCATGCTACGAGCATGTAATCGGGTCGGAGTCGAGGGGGTGGTCGATCGTGCACGAGTTCGGCGCGGTCACCGGTCCAGATAACGGCTTTCATTCTGGCTTGGTCCTGGTCTGCTACTTGGTGTGTCTCTTCGAGCGGTTAATCAGATGGTAAGGTTTTGAAAAGAGCCGTAATCTTATGTTATCATAGTCGTGCTCAACTCTATTCACCATCACTTATTGTTTTCGTCTGGTTGACTTGGTGGTGTGTGGTGGCCAATCCAGTTTACCACAAGTTTGGGTCGCCGTCTTCAACTCCACAGGCTGACAAATGAAGCCACCATATGCACGAGATGCATCGGACTTAAGGTTTGCACGAGTCCGGCCATGCCATCGAGCGTCGAGACCGGATAGGAGAAGTAATATTCGAGAGCAACTCTTTAGAAGGGCCATTAAAGGATCTTGAAGGAGGCGAGTATAGCTACAGCAGAGCGAGAACTTCAATACCGCTACTCACAAGGCTCAAGAGTCGTCCGTACATCTTATATTGAATTAATTGCTGTTGCCGAGTGGTAGTTCATGTCCAGTTTTCAGCTCCGTTCAGAATCGTCTTTCCAACTCACTATGCTACTTCTCTACCAATCGCAGAATCTCCATAATCTGGTCCTCGGTCTCCAGCGGGATGGGGTTCGTCCTACACCACATGTCTTCTAGACTCTTCTTGGCCAGCTCCTTCAGTTTGTCTTCTCCTTCTACGCCCACATCCTGCAGGGTTCTCGGCATACCCAACTCTCGGAATATTGCATCCAGAACATCGCCGAGATCGGCTGATGACTGTTTCAGATTCCTCCGAGTTTCCAGCGTCTCCCGAATATAGCTGTCTGACCAGAGGGCATCGAGCGCTCGTTGCTGACGATGCGCATTAACGCGAGCGTTGTATTTCATGACAGTTGGGCAGAGAACGCACGATGTGTGTCCGTGGACGACATTCATGGTGCCTAGTTCGTGCCCTATAGCGTGGGAACCGCCCAGGTGGACGCCTCTGCATAGTCCTGAACACCAAAATCTAGGATTAGCGATCTCACGTGAAGGCACTATTGAAACGTATACGTACCGTCCATGGCGAATACAGACCCAAGTTGCGTTTCCAGCCGAGCTTCGAGATCTTTTGGATCCTTTCTCAACTTCAAAAGCCCTCTCACGACCAACACCAAGCCTTTCTCCGCCGCCTCATCCGTTTCCTTCTCAATGTCTGGATTCAAGCTCGCCAGTAGTTCAACACAATGATCAATCGATCTCACACCACTACTCATCCATACCCATTCGGGAGAATGAGCCGCCAATTCTGGATCGAGAATCACCACATCGGCGAACAATCCTTGATGGACAAATATCTTCTTGACGCCGTCTGTCGCATCAATCCCACCCGCATAAGGTGAGTATTCCCCCGCGGACAGTGTAGTTGGCACATTGATCATGGTGAATGACGGCGGTTTCACATCTTGTGGGTCATTGTCCGTCACGTATTTGTAGTCGATATCGTGCTTCATCGCGGCTTTGAGCTTGTCACTCATGCCGCCAAGGTCTTTTAAAGATGTCAGGTCGTTCGCCAGGCTCAGGCCGGCGAGTTTGACTCCGTCTGTGATGGATCCGCCTCCGAGTGTGACCACGAGATCCGCTCCGCTTTCTTTTCTAACCACAAAATATCAATCAAGGTCGTCCCTGGTACTGGGTAGAACTCACATTTCTTCAGCCAATTTCAATACATGCGTCCACGGAGTATGACTTGGAAACCCGATGTTAGTCCCTACCAATTTGTCCCCCAGTGCATCCTTTAACCTCGTGAGGCAATCAGTGTGTTTCGCCAAAGATCCGGACACAACGGCGAAGACTTTGGTTTTCCCCATTCGCTCGACATGGTGAGACACGAGTTCAGGAAACGGCTGCCCCGATGACACGAGACCTCTCGGGCGCCAGGGAAAGGTTGGTCTTGTTGTCGCTTTGGCTGATGAGGCGTCTTCGGTTGATATGGAACCCATGCTTGCAGGCGTAATGTCTTGTCTGTCGAGGGTGAAAGCCGTCTATGATAGGCGGCATATGGAGTGCATATGGAGTCGAGATCTTGGAATCAAGACGCAGAGGTCTTCATGTCGCGCATCGAAGTTCTGAGTTCTGAGTCTGAACTCGCCTCTGTGACGATGGCTTTTTGCTCTTGCCGATCACAGTGGCCGATCCTGTAAAGAAGGTCTCGCGCAGGTCAAGCCAGAACCCAAGGAGACCCAGTCAAGGCAACCAGTCTTCAAATTGGTGAAACACGGAACCCAGGACCTGGCCTTTACGTTCGACCGAGGATAGCGGTCGAATTCTCGGTACCGAAGCACACAACGGCATCGAATCAATCACTAATTGCATCATGTCAAAACCCTCAAATGGTGGGCTAAGATTGTCTAGGTCGTGATAGACTTTCAGTAGCTTCGCAAGCGGCCTGAACCGTTGAAGGTCAAAATTCGCCAAGACGGCGTCTTCTG